CAGCTTGCCGTGAAGAATTTTCTGGACTTTAAAACGGACAAATAAGTTAAATATTTTAAAAGTAATTAAACTTTTTTAAAAATCGCCAATTTGGCGACATCAAGATGAAAATTATCAAAATCACTGCCTTATTCTCAGTTTTTTGCAAAATTTTATGAGACCAGATAATGCAGCATTGGATTAAGTTTTGAAATATTAAAAAATTAGATCACAATTGCTTTTCATTTTCACAAAGCTATGACTTTTCTCCATACTGACGCTTTGCGCAATTTTCAGAATAAGCGTCACAGACAGAGCTGGTTCTACAGATGCAATGATTACACTGGTAGGCTAAACTTGATCCAACAGCCATGAGTAACTGTTGCATACTCTCAACAGTTATGAAAATATCATATTATTCTCAAGAAAGCACCATTTCATATGACGATGGAACCGTCGGAAAACAGCTTTAACGAAAGGAGAAAAGTGATAAAACCCTGGCAATGGTATAACTCGTCTTTGGCGTTTGCGTTTCTATACGGTAAGTTGTAACAGAGGCTGCAGAATATAGCAAAAACAGCACCATAGTTAATTTTCAATTATATAAAGGGCTTGGTCCATTGAAAGTTAATTTTCAATGATGTATACAGGTCTCACACCGTGATCCAACTGGTCAGCATATTAAAACACCTCATGCCTCTGCTATAATGATCGATTTCTGGGATATTGGAGAATGGCTAACAAGTTTCCGGGTACATATTTTTACGTAATGAATGCTAAGGATCCACTACCTAACCTCCAATATCAGAGAAATCAACCATTTTGACAGGTTTTGATGGTCTGGGTAGCTATAATGTTAGATGCTTGAATACTCTTCTATGTTTTTGAAATAGCCACTGTAAGTGATATAAGGTATGAGGAATATAGCTTGAAAACCGATGTTCAGTTTTTTTGGTGGTATAGATAGCACTGATTTCATTATAATGGGCGTTAACGCGAGCAACATTGTGCTTATAGGATCCAGGATTATCTGAATTGTGGAGATATTTCCTGTATAGAATTTTAAGTAATTTCTTTAGACTTAAATTCTAAAATGTTCCCCTCCCCCCTAAAAATCATTGTTAAAACAAGAAAAACAAAATTAGTTTTTAAATGATAAACAAGTGAAAGGGAGTGTATTATGTATTATGCTGCTTAGGGTTTATTTATTTACATTTTTTTTTAAAACTTCTATTAAAATCGAGCCTTTGACAACAAAATAAGATTAGATATCATTTTATTGCATCTTGTAAAAATCTATCAGCAACTTTTCAGTGACACGATGGCGCGTTAGATAAGTGTTTATTTTATGTGCGCATATCATTAACTTTATTGCTTTTTAAAATATCTGATTTTTTTTCAAGTACCTTCAAAACAATATCTGTGGGAATATTTTTAGATAAAAAACAAATCCGTTCTAAGGTCTGCTTCTCAAATTTGATATTAGATTTTTAGATAAAATAAATTCGCATTTAAATGCATGTTAAATAGTTATAAAAAGAAATATAATTATTAAAAATTGGGCGGTTTTACCCTCTTCTCGCTGTTTTATCCTACCACCGAGACTGCTTCGTAGATCGTTTCGGATCGCTTAGCAATTCGAGCTCGCTTTGCTCGCTGATTGAATACTGATGTATTTTAGTTTAGCTTTGCATGATTGTTACTATACTTTTTAAAGTTATAAAATAATTCATCATACGAACTCTGGGATACATTTGGTTTATATACATTTCCGTTTCGACAGACCGTAAAAAACCTATTACACAGAGCCTATATTAGTATATTAGTTACCTATTACCTCAATGTCTACTACCACACTTTAGGTACCACCGGCAAAATAATAATTTGGTGATATATATTCCGAATTTAACATTATGGTTTCTTGAAACGGAATAGTACATCTCTCTTATAGGCAAGAAAATAAAGAAGAGAAAAAAGAATTGAAACAGAAATTTTGATTTAAATTTGATTAAAATTTCAACAATATCATCATCATCATAGTTGGCCAGACAGCCCAATCTGAGCCAATGCCTTCCTCTGAAGATTTCTCCATAAGAAAATCACACTCCTCGGAGTCAACCCATCTCAACCGCGGCCCCGACTTTCTTGTTCCAGTGGGTCTAAAAACCATCTTTTTTATTGTATTGTCATCACTCATTCGAATCACGTGGGCGATCCAATTCTTTCTATTTATTTTCAAGTATTTAATAATATCAGGTTGTTTATAAATCTTGTACAGTTCAAAGTTAAATCTCCTTCTCCAGTTATTGTTTACATTTACACCATCAAGCATACTCCGCAAAATCTTTCTCTCAAATATTGCGATACAATTTTCCTCCAGTTTTGTTGTTCCAGCTTCAGAGGAGTAGGTCAAGACTGGCCGGACGAGAGTTTTGTAGATTAAGAACTTTGTTTTTCTAGAAAGAAACCTAGATTTAATAAATCTTCTCAGCCCATAGACAGCCCTATTCGCCAGATAGAGTCGGTTTTTTATTTCAGGAGTAATTCTGTTGTCAATGGTAAAAATTGATCCTAAGTAAGTAAAACTCCTCACTGTTTCAAATCTATAAGAATTTATTTGAAGATAGGGGTCTGGGACTCTGTTTCTTGAGAATAACATTTATGACTAAGCCCATTTGCTTTGCAGCCACCTCAAGGGCAAGAAATGACTCTTTCGGGGCGGGAAGGGAACGAGCAATTATATCGACATCATCAGCGTATGCAAGTAGTTGTACTGATGTAGTAAAAATATGACCACTGGCATTAATGTTTGCACTTGAGAGAGTCATTCGTGATTCAAACATCAATACCAGTGATCAAACATAAATTTCAACAACATATCTACGTCATTTCACGTAAGTAGCAAATGAGTGAACTATTCTAAAAATTTATGTACACATATTAATTGCTTCAAAAGAAGTCAATTATACAGTTTACGAAAGGCTCCTTCATGAAAACAATAAAAATTTAGTTTTTTAAAGGAAAAAATATGCAGCTAATCATTTTTCTCGTAATATTTAATAAGTATTTATCTAATTTAGATTTTTCCCTCGTTGAAAAAATTTAAAAAGAAGAAGGAAATCTGGAGTAAGCTTTACTTTATTACTAAGAAATTAAAAAAGCTGTATTTTATTTATGAACTCCATTTGCAATTCGTATAGGCCTGTTTATATATCCTTTGTAGGTATTGTTTTCTTTCTATACTGCTCACTCACTTGATTTTTCAATTTCCAGTGCTTTGTTGTCAATGCGAGAAAAGAATTTTTTTTTATACGCCATAGTCTTTTATATAATAATTAGATAGATTCCTTTTATTTTGTTCCGTTAATAAAATATAAATAAAAAATTTAGTACATCATTGAGTTTTATATATTGAGGGAAATAAATAGTATATATATATATTAGTTTAGTTATGCTAATACAAATGTCTTCTCTTGTAAAAATTTTTTAAGTTTAACTTTGGCTATGTTTTGCCTTCGTGATAGAACAATGCATATTGCAATTCAAAAGTCTGAGACGTGGTTTCTTAGGATAGAGCGTTCTCTTTCCTATGAGGTGAACCGTATTCGAATCCCAGTGATGTCGATAAACGCACTCGACTCGCACTGACCACAGTGCTGACGTAAAATATCATCAGTGGTCGACGGATCATGGATTAGAGCCCTTGCCTTCAATATAACCGTGGGTGGTTTCCGTGGCTTTCTTTGCAAGTGCGGGTTCAAAAAGTTATCCACGAAGGCAAAATTCTCCCGATCCTTGATCATGGAGATCCATTGTCTTCTGGATTGGGTTGAAAATTACAAGGCTACGAAGTTGAAGATTGGTAGTCGTAAACTTAAATTTGGGTCGGCAGTTTAACGATGGTTACAAAATAAATTAGTTTCATTAGAGCCCTGGTGGCTCAGGGGATGGAGCGTACACCTTCCAATGTGATGAACCGGGTTCGAATCTCAGCGATTGCTGGTCTAGACGAATTCCGCACTTGGTTCGCACCATCCACAGTGCTGACATAAAATATCGTCAGTGGTAAACGGATCACGGTTTATAGTCCCCTCGCCACCCGACTAACAGTGGGAAGTTTTCGTGGTTTTTCTCTCCATGTTAAGCAAATGCGTTGTTAGTTCCATCAAAAAGTCCTCCACGAAGAGAAATTTATCCTACTACTTGATCCAGGAGTTCTCTGGCCTTCTGGATTGGGTTTAAAACTGTAAGGCTACAGTGTTGAACATTATTAGTCGTAAACCCAAAATTGAGTTACGATAGTTAATAAAATAAAAAAGTTTTATTTGGACCGGAATAATCTGGTTAGTAGGGCGTCGGACTCGTGTTCATGAGAACGGGAGTTACAATCTAACTGGCCCTAGAATCCCTTAGTGTTAAATAGTAACAAGTGCCCTTTGGAGGACTTTGTGACCCCGACAGATTTTACGTGCACAAGTTTTGGGGTTTCCAGATAGCCTGGCTGGTAGGCCAATGGGCCCATATACAAGAGGTCGTGGGTTCGATCCCCGCCGGCCGAAGACTCGTGTAATAAATGGTGACTGATGCATGTAAAATTTGTTGAGTCACAAAGTTTTCCATGTTCCCATTACAAATCGAACCTCTGGGGTATTGATCCAGGAGTTTCCTTGTCTTCTGGACTGGTTCAAAATTACAGGCCTGTGGAGTTGAACACTGATAATAGTAAACTAAAAATTGGGACTGAGGTTCAACGGCGTTTATAAAATAAAATAGTTTCATTTAATGTCAGTAATATGATCAGCACGTAATTTCTCCTGTGAGGATGAGATAAAATAGATGGAATTAGATGACTTCCTTGACGACTACAACTTAGCTTGAGATTAGTGCTCCTAACTTACTTTTAGTGGTTTTTTATCAAATAATGTTAAATAAAAACCCTCATACCTTCAATTAATTTTAAATAATCTACTCTTCTGAAAAACTAAATTAGATAAATGAAATGAAATATTATTTTTGTTTAGGTGGTCCATCTTAAACCCAGTAATTCGATCAAGAATTTTATCGCGGGTTGCAGATATTTTAGAATCAAGATGCCATGAGTTCGCAGTTGCAGAATCGAAAGATCAAGGAAAGCCATTGTGGTTGGCAGAATCCATAGAAATTCCTAGGGCTGTCACGAATTTCCGTCACTTTGCTAACACCATATTATGCGATAAAGATATGTAAGTTAGTATCTCTTGTATGTTGTGTGGTATAATTGCCTAAATTATAAAACTGTGCCAGGAATTTCATTAACAAAATGTACAGTTAGTAAGTACATAATTCTTTGTAGGTTTAGAATTCTTGTTGCAAGAGCATTATACTAGAATATACCCAACAACTAAGTATAATTAAAATAAAATTTTTATCGGTTGCCACCCAATAACGAATTTTTCAAACATTTATCTGTATCCTATCTGTTTGTTTTTAGTAATTTTTTGAAAATTTAGACGTTTATTTATGAGAAAAAAAAAAGAATTAGAATTTTGGAATTAGTCAAAAAAAGTACTATTTTAAATCCAGTCTAATTTAATTTTGTTAAAAATAAACAAAATACAAATAAATAGCTTTTTTTAATAAGTAATAATATTTTATTATTATTTTATTTTTGATAGAATAGTAATCAGAAAATAACATTTATATTGTACAGATACTTATAGAATTTTTCAAACATCTGAAGTAATTTCTTATGCAAAAATCTAAAACTGAAATTTAAAAAAAAAATAATAATAATTTACGTTATTGCTATTTTCGGGAATTACCATATTTATTTTCAAATTTTGGGTATATATTTATGAATATTTTTTTATATTTTCGTGAGCAATCAGTAGTAGAAGTGATTATGATTTAAATTAGATTTAATTGGACACGTGTAAGCGACGTCAAGCGAGTGTGGCTTGTGAATCGACAAATGTCACAATTTACCTCCAATGGCGTCACTTGCAGGCATCCAATGGATTTTAAAAGTTAAGATGAATGTTATGTATTTTTATTACACAGATGCATAAACCAAGTCGAAGATGGTTTTCTTAACTATACTACACGTTCACCGTGTGGGGTGGCAGCTATTATCGTACCCTGGAACCTGCCATTGTATTTGCTAACATTTAAACTAGCACCAGCCTTAGCATACGGAAATACAGTGGTTGTTAAGCCAAGCGAATTCACATCCGTCACTGCATGGATGCTTTGTTCCATTTTAAGAGAAGCTGGTAAGATACTATGCTAAGTTTCCTGCTTATTTATTAACTCCTTAATACTTATTTACTTACTATTTATTTCCAACTGTTTTAAATTTCCTATTTAAACCTTTATAATGCCATTTTTTTCAGCTATGTTAAGTTAAAATATCTTTAGAATTGAAATTGATTTATAAAAAAAAGTTCATTCAGCTAATAACCTAAAATTAATTTGATTTTTAAGACCATTTTTTGGCGGAAAGGTGGGTGGTATTTTCGAAATTTTACCTTAAGTAAAAATATTGTCATGAACTTGAACTTCCGTGCTCATAAACTCTGACTGTAAAACGGCAAATAAATCCGATGAGAAACTATCAGATATGTGAATACGTAACACACAAGTGAAAATAGTGCTCCAATGTCGGTCCCTGTACTTGATCCCACGCAAACCTTTACTGTTTCTCACATTTATGTAAACAAATCCCTTCATTGTTTTTATTAAATCAATTTTCTGAAGTTATTAGCAGATAGCCGTTCAAATTGCAGATGGGGAGATAGTTTCCCATCAACCATTAAAACTTAGGAAATATGGCAAACAAAGTATACTTTCTACAGTCATATAAAGAGCTAAATATAAAAAATAATAATAAGATATTGCAGCATGCATATTGTGTACCTTAATATTAAAACAATACAAGATCCGACATGCCATCCGACTCTTGATAAACTTAAAGATCAGCTTAACAGGTTAACCCTATCATCTGGATTCACACACAAAAGTAAATTAAAAAAATTACACATTATGTAAGGAAAAACAAGAAGTTTTTGAAATCCAATGAATCACCACTGAAGAAAGAGTGACTGAAAGTAATAAAACCTGTTTGATTGGCAGTGGTAACTGCGAAGTTTAAAAACGCAATTATTAGAAATACCTCCAAGTTTTATCAAATTTGTTTTCAGTTCCGTTCAGTGATTTGATAGATTTCAGTTGTGTTTTTCCCCGCTTTAATATAAATATAAGCCCTCTAATGAGCTTATATTTGTTTTAAATCATTTTGTTTCCTCATTGTTAAAATCAGAAATGCACTAAGCGATATTGTAAGATTATTTTACAGTAAGTGAGAAAAGGATTGTGATATCTTGTAATACAAAAATAGCTAAACCTCGCCAGCCGAAAAAAAAATAGAAAGAGACAGTTTGACTATGTTACCGTCCAAAAACAAAATAATAAAATTTTTTTAGCCCCTCAGAATTATATAAATGATTTTCTGTCATCCGAATGAAATCGAAAAAAAGCAAAACAAAAGTAAAGCTGTGACTTGCTTTTGTGTGATTTGCTTTTTCTCTTTAAAAAACTGATGTTTCTTAAGAAGTAATTCAAATTTTAAAAAAATATATATTTTAATGTTTTTTTAAAAGAAACACAATTTTTTTCATGACAGAAAGTTAAATCTTTCCTATTGCAAAAATTATGGTATTGAACTATATTTCAATGAACTATTTTCTAAAATTGGTTTTATTTTTAATTAACAGGTGTTCCGAATGGTGTTGTAAATGTGGTGTTTGGCTATGGTCATATTACAGGTGAAGCCCTTATCAAGCATGCTGATATTCATATTATATCTTTCACAGGGAGTGACAGTGCGGGGCTACATATAGCCAGCATAGCTGGTAGTATGGCCAAAAAGGTTTCTTTAGAGGTAAAAACAGAAAAAAAATCATAAATAAAGTCTTTTATTTCATTAAACGAAAACTCAAAACTAAATTTTTTTAAAAAAATGGCTCGCTAGTATTATGGTGTTTACATAAATGGATGACATGAATTGATTTGGGAGGGCAGAATTAAAATAAATGCAAAACTGCATTAATGGATTCCCAAACACCAAGTAAACCGACAATATTATTGTCACATGTGCTCGGTTTGATTCTGCGTTTATCCAATAAATTACGGATTTATTTTGCATTTGCTTTCTAAAATAAAGCCAGTTGAATTGGAATAATCGGAGAGTTGAATGGGACAAGAGCTAAATACGGTTCAATTGGACGTAAATGAAAAAAAATCTCACTATAGTATTACATGTTTTAGGTAGCAAAGTTAAGCAGTTTGAAGCTACGTCTGACTATAAGAAATAAGATGAAAGGTCATTAAGTCAATTCGGAGTCATAGAACTCATATGTATTTAAGACGAAAAATCTCACTATAGTATTACATGTTTTAGGTAGCAAAGTTAAGCAGTTTGAAGCTACGTCTGACTGTAAAAAATAAGATGAAAGGTCATTAAGTCAATTCGGAGTCATAGAACTCATATGTATTTAAGACGTTAAACAAGCAAAGAAGGTTCAATTAAAAATGCAACAATATAGGAGTCTAGAATGTAGGAAACACTTGATTAATCGGAGAAAAAAAAGTGAAATTTCATCAACTTCACAAAAGTTTGAAGCATAATGTATTCTTTTAGTTCCTCATTTACATTTAGAGGGCTTCAATATGGAAAATATAATTATAATTCGATTTTAAAATAAGCTTTAACTTGTACAATTGCAATATCCATTTTTTTTTTTGTTCTTCACAAGACCATTTATTAGTAGATAAGAAATTTTAAGATAGTTTCAAAAACTATCTTTAAAAGTTTTAAGTATCGTGGTTCATTTAAGTTGAAGTTTATTATTGCCATGTAAATGCTACAGTATTGTATTAGTTGCTAGGGAAAAAAAATGATTCCTAATCAAATCCATAATTCTGTTTAAAAAACTATTTGGGTACCTTCAATCAAAATCATTTATGCTTATTTATTCTATTTCTACTTCAGATGGGTGGTAAAAATGCAGCTATTGTATTTGATGACGTTGACCTTGACAAATGCATCCCTGATCTAATTAAGTGAGTGTATACACAATGTACTGCACTAATTTTTAGTACTATTCTATATTTTCTGAATTTTTATCTTCTTTGACTAAAAATTTTATATTTTTTATCATTAACCTTTTTTTTGGATCCGACCTGTGCAAATGTGCTAGACGTGTTCCTAAGTATGACCTGGAGTCAGATACCATTCGGGAAATATTGAGCTTTTACGTAGAGTCCCACACACACGTACGTAGGCTCTGCTCTGAGACGTTACAGCAGAACAATCTTGGTTTTCTACTGAGCTTGAGCAGAACCTATACACGTATGTGAACTTAGGGGATGCTACGTGAAGGAGCAAAATAAAGAGATTTAGTTTTCGGGAAGGGGGGCATTCTGTACGTTCAGAGCCGGATTATACCTTTCGTAGGCCCTAGGCATAGCCGTTTTTTGGGCCCTCCCCTCCTTCCCCCACTCCTCCCCTCTTTTCAAAATATATGCTAAAATTTTCTTGCATATTTTTTTTTACATTTTTATTAATATGGATTTTAATTTACAAATTTGTTTATCGAACTTTATCTGCAATACCGACATACTGCCGATATTGCAGTTGATATCGATAATACCATTATGATTAGTTCGATCGATAACTATGTAAACACTTCACGTCAACAATACAACAACAAACCAGCAAAAAAAACAGCGAAATTGATAGTGAGATTAATTACAAGAAATATTTATACTACAAATAGCTTCATAGTTTTCATGATACTACTATGATAACTAAGTGAAGGAAATTAACATTGTCAAAAGTAAATCTTTTGAAATTATTTATAAATAAATTTGCAAGGTAGGTTAAATGTTTACTAACAGAAAAAAAAAATGATTTAATACTATTTTAATAAAATGTTAGTCACGTTTTTTCAAATGAGTCATTTCAGCAATTGACCAATGTTTTTTACATATATTTTTCAGGATCATAAATTATAGTCAACAACAAAAAACAGTTTTTCGTAGGCCCCTAAATTTCGTAGGCCCTAGGCATGTGCCTAGTGTGCCTATAGGTTAATCCGGCCCTGTGTACGTTAATTTAAAGGGGGGTATCCTGCACGCTAATACAAGTAGGTTCTGCGCAGCACAGTTACTAAAAAATAACCTCAATTTACAATCTGAAAGAAAAAACTATATACGCGAAAAGGAAAAAAAGAAAAAAAAACAAATTTGATATATTTATCCATTTGGCAATTTAGTTCAAGCAGCATATTGCAAGTATTTTTCTTTTCCTTTTTAAATCAACTATTTAACAGTTTTCAGAAATTTTATCTATGCATCACAAAATTTTTAATGAATAAAATAAAACAGTATTTACATAATTCTCCCTAGTATAACATGGTAGGCAGTGAAAATAGAATTTGACTCTTTTTAACCTTAGCCCATTAATGCTCGACTTCATAATTTGTAGTTGCAAAAACATATCTCTACGCAAAAAAAGATAAAATTGAAGTTTAGTTAAAAAAAAGTGGATGCTTCTTTCTGTAGTAGTTTGCAAATATAAAAACATAATTTTTATGATTTTAATAAATTTTAGTCAGTATGCTTGCATTATTTTTTTATAGATAAGTATCAATAAAAGGTCACTTCTTAACATTTTAAAAAGCTTTGTATTTTTAAAAACTGACGTAAAAGGCTAACGTGTAGAATTAAAATTCATCAATTACCGGATACTGTCACTAACTTTATATATTTACGTTTAATTTTCAGGGGGAGTTTCTTGAATCAAGGCCAAATTTGCTTGAGTACGAGTCGAATATATATTCATAACAACATTTTCTCTACATTTGTAGAAAGATTTGTGGAAAGTGCAAAGTAAGACATCATAAATATTTTTATCTCTCTCTCTCTATGTGTATATATAAATGTAATACAAAAATTATAAATACTTTTGTATTAATAAAACCATTAAAACTCTTTCGTTTTCATAAAATATCTGTGGTAAAGAATAGGGGTAGAAATTCTATTTTGGAAATTCAAGGCTGAAAACATACCATTGAATTATAATTAGATTTATATTTCAAAGGAGGAGTTATTTTTAGAATCTTGTCCCTCTTTCACTTCCATATTAGGAGGCATTAAATGATTTTCCACAATGCGTAGAGTTACAAAGGTATGTACGACTGGAACCTAATTACATCATTCTCTATTAGTATTTAATGCGAGACCGATTGTTTTCGCATGCCTCTTGCTAATTAACGTGTTGTAGCCCTGTTATTATAAGCCTCGCAGGATGTTAGCTTCGCTGAGGAAACCTTTTGGAGGAAACTTAGCATTTCTATCTCTTAGAAACTAAGCTTAACGGAGGCTGGCTGTGACTTCGGAATTCCTCATCCCATCCTCCACCGGGGGAAAAAATACATAAAAAATATCAAATATCTCATTCGCATGGACAGTTGAAAATTTATCAAGTCAAATTCTTCTGCAACTCATGGTAATTAATAAATCATCCAGCTTCTTCAACAAAAAATAAATTCTTCTATCATCATACTTTTCGTTTTTTTTAAATGATACCTACGCCCAGTGGAACTTAACGAACATCGACTTTGCATTTGTCTATGTTGCATGTTATGTCTGCGTTCTGAAGGCGATGAATACAACTAGAAAGCTGAGATTCGATGAAGTGAATGAGGCGGGGTGAGAACAATTTATTGATGATAAAATTCAGAGTAGCACTGGGATAGGCATAATCAACGCTTTCCGAACGGAAGGGATGAGGTTTCATAACGAAAACTTTTTAACGTCTATCAGGAGTCCAATGCAGATTTTCTTATATCGAATCTTAGCTTTCTAGTTGTATCCATCGCCTTCAGAACGTAGACATAACATGCAGCATAGACAAATGCAGCAAGGAGAGCCCAGAGCTAAATATAAACCATAGTGAAAAAACAAATTATGACAGAACAAGAGGACTACCCTCCCTGCTGACTTTGCAAGTAATTTTTGACAAATGACAGAATGTAACATCAAAATTAAATATTATTCAATTAAAAGATCCCAATTTTATTTGGATGAATTTTTTGATCAGTGGTTAAAGGCATTGAGCTGTAATTGCAAAGGACTGGGGTTCGATCCTTACTGGCGTCTGGAAGCCCAGCCATATTCAGATCAATGGGTACCAGGATGTCTGGGAAGTAAAGACGGCATGTGCGTAATGCTTCTACAATCATGTCTTTGATCTCGAAATTGAGGAACCTGAACCATCATGACTCCCTTCGCTCACAGCTGGCTGTTACGAGAATACGTTACCTTTTATCATTTTATTTTCAAATCCATTCAAATTTAAGTTAAATAAATAACGATTTTTATTGGTTGCTACGATACCGTCAAGAAGTTTAATCAAATGATTTTGAGATATCGTTACAAAAAAGAAAAAAAAAGAAAAAAAGATTGATCTCGAAGTTAAACAGGTAAAATTTTGAAACAAAGAATTTTTAAAGGTAAAGGTAATTAGATGTGAATTTTATTACTTTGTAAAAATTTTCACTTGCGCAATCAAAAAATTATAATGACATTATTTTTTTGTTCTTTGAAGCTCATAATTTCCTGTTTGACTGAACCTATTTTCATTTTTTAAACAACGTTATACTGAATTAAGTTACAATTTGTCAATTTTTTTAAATAATACTTTTTACATTTTGTTAGGTATTTTTGGTAGTATCTTCACGTATGAAGAAGAATACATTTACTTTAAAAATTGAGATATGATAAATTATACGTTATTGTTTGTAATAACATTCAATAGAAAATCACTTTTGGTTAACAGGAAATATGTAACTTTAATACGTAACAAAAATAACTCTAAAAAATTCGTCAATGAATAATAAAAAAACTAACATTACAATATTGAATCAAGAGATACTAAAAATCTATATTTATAGCACCACAAAATTATAAATAAAGTGTTTAATTTAACTTTTTCTCATAACAATTCTCTCTGGCTGACGGCTTATCGTATTTTAATATTTTTTAGTGTCTCAGTTAAAAAGTTTGCAATTAGATGAAAATAAAAATTGTAAATTTATAAAATTAGAAAATACGCAATTATTCAATGCATTATTTACTTAAATTTATGTTTAATTTGACATAGTATAAAATTATACCAAACCAACTGTAATCAAAATTAGCATACGACCTAAAAAGAAACATCGTATTTTATAATTAAAAACTTAAGAGAAGAACATAATGAAAAGAATATAATGAAAAGAATATAATGAAAATAATATCAAGAAAAGAATATAAGAAAAAGAGAATATAATGACGATTAATATCAAACAAAGAAAATTGTATAAGCATTATTTCGATCACCGTTTGCCTATTGGTCAAATAAATTTTTTTTGTCTATAGCCTTTCATGAAATACCACCACATTTTATGTCATATGGGTTGAAAAAACTGCATCAATTGATGTTTGTCTCCTTGTCCAATGGGTTGGATTAGTTAAGCCAACGTTTCAAAATTCTTTTCCTTCGTCCTTCCAGACAGAAAATATAAATAGGTTAATAATACAAAGAGAGTAAAAGTACTTAAAATTAATATTCTGTGTAAGCATGAAAAATGCACGCAAGGGAAAGTAAAAAGAAAAAACTTAGTCTGGAAAACAAATCAACTCCTAGAAGTTCCAAAATTATCGCCTGCTTTCTTTATTTGATCTTGTGCTGCTTTTTTATTAACGCTTATGTTAGCCTACTTTTTATGACCCTAACAACTCTTCATTTGTGATTACTGTTCACTTCTCACCCAATATGTAGACAGTAATATCAAATTTTCTCAGATAAATATGTGCCACTATTATCTTTAAATTTGACAAATCTTACAGTAAGTCACCATTGCTCAAGCTCGGTAATGTAGCTTAATATTTTTTTCGATAATATAATGTAAAGAAAATTTTAAAGAAAATTATTTGAGATACCAGTAATTATTCTTTTCTCTTTATATTTAATTATAATTGAAGAACTTTTTTAAAAATGTGAATATTTTTTTTCAAAAACGTGACATTAATTACGTGCTTGTTGCAGGAAAATCAAAATTGGCGATCCTTTAGAAGAAGATGTGTGGATGGGGCCCGTGTGCAGTAAACAGCATTTTGAAAAGATAAAACACTATCTTAGAATAGCCAAAGAAGAAGGAGCGACGTTTTTAACTCAATGGGACCAACTGAATCTACCGGAGGAAAATAAAAATGTAATTAGTTATAAATTTTCTTAAAAAAAAAAAAAAAGAAATTTAAAAAAATTTCAGAATATTTTTAAAAAAAAAGAAATAAATCTATCAAAGTAAAAGAATATTTTTTCTAGATTTTCTTTTTCTTCCCGTACCGTTGACAAATTTTCGTTTTATATTTCAAATCACTTTTGTTTTTTCTCATTCACGTCTGACAATTCTTGAAAATGGGAGCCTATTTTTGAGCGAGTAAAACATGTCGACTGTTTCTTCCAATTTATATATTTTTGAAGCGAATGAAGTTTTTAATCAGGTGATATCTTACCGTTTCAATTTCTTGGGGTTATTTATTTAAGCTTATCATACCTATTCTTTGACTAGACGATAAAATATTTCAGTGAAATACTGTCACAGAATTTCAGTCACATTATTTTATTTACAAAGCTAAAACGATATAAANTCAAATTTTCTTAAAAAAAATTTTTTTTTTTAAATTTCAGAATATTTAAAAAAAAAAAAGAAACAAATCTATCAAAGTAAAAGAATATTTTTTCTAATTTTTTTTTTCCTTCCCGCATCGTTGACAAATTTTCGTTTTATATTTCAAATCACTTTTGTTTCTTCTCATTCACGTCTGACAAATCTTGAAAATGGGAGCCTGTTTTTGAGCGATTAAAACCTGCCGACTGTTATTTCCTATTTATATATTTTTGAAGCGAATGAAGTTTTTTTATCAGGTGATATCTTACCGTTTCAGTTTCTTGGGGTTATTTATTTAAGCTTATCATACTTATTCTTTGACTAGACGATAAAATATTTCAGTGAAATGCTGTCACAGAATTTCAGTCACATTATTTTATTTACAAAGCTAAAACGATATAAATCATAATTCATTCAAAAACTAAGCTTTTTCGTCTCTGTGATCATATATTTCAATTTTGTATTTTAATTAAACATAATTAACTTTAAATATATAAATTGAACTTTTTACTTTAAAGTTTTTTTTTTTTACCTTAATTGGTGTCTTTCCTGCAATTTAAAATTAATGAGAAAGAATGCATAACTAAGGGGTAACAAATTGATATTTTTAGCGTCTAAAAACAACGATTTTCGATCAGCATATTTTTTACTGTACGGTTAGGTATTTAATAGAACGAACAAAGCGGCTAAGATATTCCTATTTATTAATCATTGATAAAACAAATGTAAGCAGACAAGTGTAGGCTCTTAGCTGACTTTCTCCTATTTGAATTGTTATAAAAAAATTTCTCCAAAATTTAGGGATACTTTGTGGGACCGACCGTGCTCATTGGACTTTCAGACGATAGTCGGTGCATGCAGGAAGAAATATTTGGGCCTGTTACCTGTTTAACTCCTTTTGAAGAAGAAGCTGAAATTATTGACAGGGCCAACAAAGTGAATTATGGTTTGAGTGCATCCATATGGACAAATGATGTTCAACGGATACACTCAATTGCACCGAAATTGGAGGTAATTTAATTAACACTATACAAAATAACTATTACTTTCGCAAATTTTTTCAGAGATTTTATTAAAGTTAAGTTTGTTTTTTTTTAAATCCCGTAGTGGACTGATCGTAAGGACACGGTTCCCAATAGAACACCGAAGTCAAGCATCACTGGCTGCGGTCAGTAAGAGGATGGGTAACCACTTTGATCTGCCTGCGTAGGGACCGAAGGTGCGCGGTATCGGTCCTCGTTAAACTCTGTTCTACCGTAAAGAGCTCGACTTCGAGTGCAAGTCGTCGTGCTACCAAAGCAGGGAAGCCATCCCCTCTGCAGAGGATCAAAATTGTGATGGCATGATTCTGATCATCCTCAGGGATGTTTCCCAGACCGTCGCCAATAGCCCATTGCGCAGCTCTGGTGCGACGTAAATGAACTACAACAATCTTTTAACTAAGAAAATATAATTTACAAAAAGAATACCAGTAATCTGTTTTGAGTGATTAAATAGCTCAAATAAGTCTTCCCATTTTATTTTACATTATTATTTCCTGTTTCTAATTAAATTTAANAACTACTAATAACAATAACTAAATAAACAACAACTAAATTCCATTCGTTTAGCATTGCGTCATATGTTGTTCCTACTAAATCGAAGTAGTTGTGTTTTTTTCATATTATACCCAATTAAATAGCTCAAATAAGTCTTCCCCATTTTATTTTACATTATTATTTCCTGTTTCTAATTAAATTTGAATGTGATAAACAATGTCCTTTTTGAGTTATTGAATGATTGGTACTTTTCCATTTCACCTGCACATGCGATAAAGTTGCGAATGCTAAATCACAGGGCATTAGTAAATTCAACTGTTCTTTTTTTTTAAAAAAAAAGTCTTTAGGTGATAGCTTTTTAAAAAAAATAATTAAATATAATAGGCGAATTTACTTGTGCAGGTGAACAACTACCACTGGCTGCGGTCAGTGTGCGGGTGGGTGACCACTTGGATCAGTCTGCGTAGGGACCGAGGGTGCGCGGTATTGGTCCTCGTTAAACTGCTCTACCGTAAAGTGCTCGACTTCTCGTGCAGGTCATCGGGCTACCGAATCAGAGGTTGGCATCCTCTATGCAGAGGATCAAAATTGTGATGTCATGTCTTCGGATCATCCTCAGGGATGTTTCCCAGACCGTCGCCCATAGCCCATTGTGCAGCTCTAGTGCGACGTAAATGAACTACAACTCGTGCAGGTGAAATAGAAAAGTACCAAATGGTTTAAACCATTTGGTAACCAATTTTATTAATAATATGGGATAACCTTTCGCAAAAATGTGGCGCTGTACCAAAAGTAATGAAATAGATGATTATTTTGAAAGTTCGAATGTTAGATCGAATACTATTTAATTTTATATAATATTAGAAGATAGGATTCAAGAGTATTGCGTTTTCTAGCAGGGCAGTATTATATTGCATCTTTCTAATATTAGATCATATCTTTTTGCTATCTGGGTTACTTGTTGCTTTACTGGAGGCGTTTCTAGTGGCAATATCAGAAGTGTAGATGTAGGTGCCTCCATAGCCGGATTATACCTTTCGTAGGCCCTAGGCACAGCCGTTTTTGGGCCCTCCCCTCCTTCCCTCTTTTCAAAATACTATATGCTAAAATTTTCTTGCATATTTTTTTTTACAGTTTTTTTAATACGGATTTTAATTTACAAATTTGTTTATCGAACTTTATCTGCAATACCGACATACTGCCGATATTGCAGTTGATATCGATAATACCATTATGATTAGTTCGATTTTGCTAACGTTCACATTGCATTAAGAATATATTAATCGATTCTTAGATCAAATGCAGAAGGAGAAAGATCTTTCTCCAGATTAAAATTGATAAAAAATTATTTGCGTTCAACAATGAATCAAGATCGTTTGGATCGCTCGCACTTATGTCTATTGAATACGACATTTTGCGTAGTTTGGAATTCGACAGCAACAAGATTTCGTTGAATCCAAAAAAGTAATATATTAGATCATAAGATTCCGCAAAATAATTTATTACTGAAAAATATTATATTTTCATTTGTATCTTCATAATTTTGTGCAAAATACACTTGTTGTTTTTAAAGCTAAATTATTTTTGTCAACAAATTTTTTTCTTCCAAGTTTTTCGTAGGCCCCTGGATTTCGTAGGCCCTAGGCACGTGCCTAGTGTGCCTATAGGTTAATCCGGCCCTGGGTGCCTCATATCTTGTCACAAAAAATTTGAAATAATAATAAGAAACAAAGATACCATAGTGAAGAGATAGTCAGGTATTTAAAACCATTAATTTTATTTAAATTAAAGATAATGAAAATTGTAATTGTGATAAAAAGGTGGAATTTCGAAAAAGGTATTAAGTTGAAACATTGTATACACTTACCACATTGAGGGGCCTCCCTGGCCAAGCGGTATCGCCGGTCCAAAAGCTCTGTTAAGCGTGGAGGTAGCGGGTTCGAATCCCGCTGTAACCCTGGATGTATTCTTTGTGATGTCTTTCTCTGAATTGTTCTATCTGTATTTTCTACTTGACAATGACTTATAAGCCTATATATTGAGCACACAAGTCAGCAAATGCTTGTAATTTCAATAAATCAAATTACCACATTGATATGAAATATATCAATAATACGAGAAAAAATAACTCACTATTTTACAATAATTAGAATCAAAATTTAAGGATTATTATTATTATTTATAAAGTGAACTAAAAAATATCTATAAACAAAAAAAAAATCCCTTTATTGAAATTAGAAAGGTTATTTTGTCTGGAGCATGTACCTTCAAACCTCGTGCTCCTTCCAACACAGCGGGTTGTTATTTAAGCCAATGATCACTATTAAACACTGACCATAAATAATATAATAATGAACAAGATTGAAAACATTTCAGTAGCAATTTAAATTTTTGTTAATTATTTCCTTATTAAATAAACGATTTTCTTATAAAATTAAATTTCTAGGTGGGAACCGTCTGGTGCAATTGCTGGCTCGTGCGAAATCTCCACATGCCTTTTGGTGGGCTAAAAAGATCTGGTTTGGGTAGGGAAGGAACTGAAGATTCAAGAGAATTTTATACCGTGAAGAAAACAATTTGCGTCAATTACAAGATGAAATGAAAATTTTCATCAACTCTGGTGTTCGTTATTTTAAGAAGTGAAAGTGGTAGTCTATAAACTAGGCTAGACGATGAATCGTTATGCGAAGAATAAGTGCAGCTATTGGTTCTTTGTATAGTCGTTCAGAAGAAGTTCTTTTATGTCGAAGTTCAGAACCTCTAAAATAAGTAGAGGAATGATAATTTAGAGTTAAAAAGCTTGGAATTTTAATGCTATGGAAATTCAAAGCAAAGCAAGCATTTGTTTAGACCAGGGATGGGCAAACTTTTTTGGTCGAGGGCCAAAAATCAAGAAAAAAAATATTTGGTGGGCCAAGTAAGATCTTCAAAATTTAAGAAAGAAAAAAAAGCGATATACAAGTTTTAATTTAAATATTTAGTGGGATGAAGGAAATTGCGATTTCATTTCTAAAAGTTCCTTATATTAAGGTTCGAAGTGAGATGTGCTTATTTTAAGGAACAAGGCTAAATCCTTTTCTGTTAGTCTACTTCTGAAATAATTTTTTCTAAGGTTCATAATTGAAAACTCTTGTTCACGTATATAAGATTAAGCTAACATAGCACTGATTTTCTGGGCGTGAAATTTTAAATTTTGGAAACTAGCTTTTGGTAATGATTTGTCAAACTTAGGCATATTTAGAAACAACTGCTTCAGATGATTGTTAGATTGTCCGCTCTTTGGAGCGTAAAATGCGCAGTCTGCCAAATGTGAAGTACAATTTACCTATATTAGATTCCATAAGTCAGCTCCTCGAGAAAGACAAACGCTAGTTGGAGCCAATCTACGGCTATTCTATAAAGAACTTCTGCTTTCAACATTTTACCAATAGAAGCTGTCTGTGCTAACTATTTCCATCAATTTATGTTTTGTAGAACAAAAATAGAGAAAGTAAAAATGTCATCAGTACTTTGTTAAAAAAGGAAAAACAGAAATAATTTTAAACATAGTCGACAATAAAATGGATGTATATTGTTTATATTTGCCACTGATCGGCAAATAAAAATTCTATCCGCGGGCCGGATAAAATCCTCCGACGGGCCACAGTTTCCCCATCCCTGGTTTAGACGAACAAGACAGAATTGTAATCGTAGGTGAACAAACGATATTTAAGTAATCAAATGATAGTGCTCCATAAACGATTGACTAAGAAACGGTAAAATGATGAAGGTATAGTGAATATATAGGTATAGTTTCCTATATAATAAACTTTCATGCAGTTTTTGATCTACTAGAAATTGGAAACTTAAGATTCACACATTGTGTAACAAGCTGTACAGCTATATTAAATAAAATATGAGAAAGTCTGTTATATTTTTTTTAAAAGAAAATTACTTGGGATGAAACAGTACGCACTTTAGTACAGCAGGTTTGTATTATTAAACGTGTAAATGGGAAGATTTAATAAAAAAATGTAATAAAATTAGTTGTTTTAAGCATTACAACTGAATTTCAGAAGCTTTCTTTTAATGCTTATAAAATTAATGTCTAGTACTTTTGGCAAGGTAAAAAGCAGTAGCGAATCAAGAGTTATATAAGGTTTAATTTCATTTTAGTTTACAAATTTTTAAAAATCTTTTAAGGTGAAACGAAATAAACTATATTGATTTGAATCTATTAAAAAACATTAGTTTGTGCAAACTTAAAACAGATGTTCAAAATACTAACTTTATATTTTTGATCAAATGGTTTATGATTTTGGTAAACCATAACAGCAGTGTTAGTCTGATTAATTGTAGAACGGTGAGATTCCCCCCTCCCTCCTTTTTCACTGCTACACTTCTTCAAGTTATATAAACTTACTATTTGATACAATATTTCTGAAATAAAGATACAACTTTTCAAAAGTACAAAACCGATAAATAAAGGAATGAGAATTTTTTGAGATGTTACTTTAAATCAATGTGAAGAATAAGATAATATGTATATTTAAGAAGGATTAATTACAAGCTAAAAAATTTTTTTTACCCAATTTTACACAAGATAATATAAATATATATATATCTAAATACAAAGGCATATAAAAGTTTGAAGAATTGCGAAACTTGTTCAGTAATCCCATCCATTTGAAGGTACATTTTAAAAAAAAAAAGATTTTAATTTAAAAAAAAAAACTTAAAAAATTTATTAATATACCACTACCTCTGAAAAGAAAAGAGAAATTTAACCAGTGGAGAATAATTCTAACAAAGTAAATATTTGAAATATTACTCCGAATTAAACCTATAAACACAGATAAATTTACCAGTGCGTAATTATTATTTAAAGAGTGAATTATTTTTCAAAAATGGAATATGAGTAAAAAGGCAGTGTTTTTAAGGGATAGTGGCTTATTTTTACAAAAATTGCAAAGAGGGTGCATTTACGGGGATCAAAGGGCAGGCCACCCTTTTAAAAAAGCTTAGGGAGAACACTGCTTGACCTTACAGTCATGAATAACTGTTGCAAACTCCTAGCAGTTATACAAATAGTAAAAATATTACTTGTTAAAAAATGCTATTTTATTCATATATGACCAAGTCCATAAAAAACAGCCTTAGTTTATAGTAGTCAGACTTTTTAAGCTTTGTACTCAATAAAATAACAATGAACTTCCAGACAACTGACAAAAAAGTGGGAAGAGTTTATCCAGTTTTTATTAACTTCCTAAATATACTTTTAATACATACATGGGAGTAGTTATAAGGCACACACATGTAACACAACAGGCAAAAATATCTACATATTCACAGCTAAATGTCTAAGAAAAAAATAAATATTTTTATTAAAACTAAAAATATAATGTACGTCATCATACATTAAAATTGAATGCAAAATATTTATACAATCACTAATATAAAGTAAATCAAGTTGTTCATATAACAATATCAGTATAAGCATAACTTTAAAACTCTGGAATAAGAAAAGCATTGTATCAATTCCTTTTAAAAATAGATTATATATTCTAAGTTACATTTTTTTCTAAATCTTAGAAGAAAATATTTATAGGAGTTGAAGTATTCCAGATCTTAATTCATAACAAATTGTCATTGATTTTCCATTTGTTGACAAAACGATACATTCTTATAAGAACTGGTTCAAATGCCAAAGAAACCAAAAAAAAAAATTCAATTTTAAACAAACCAAAAGTTTAAAATACATATAACATGAAAAGGTTGCCTTAGGAAATTGAAGTGATTACCAGGAGGCCAAGCATTTTCATTGAACAATCTGTAAGAGATATAGTTCGTTCACCAGGAGTTGGCACGTGGTTCCACCTCCTTGGACGCAGAGTTAATTTCAGAGCGGGAGTAAGAAGAGAAACTTCTACGAGCTTGAAATTGAGACAACCCTTAATGCACGCCAAACACAAACAGTGAATTCTTTTTCAGTCAATTACTCCGCTTTATCATCTGCTATTATACCTTTTGTTTCTCTAGCTAATTAAATATATTTTAAATTTAAAAACTGCTGTTTTTCGAGCAAAATGTCTCAAAAAGGATAAACTATTCACTCAAAGAGAGAAAAGTCATAAAAATGGTGTGAAATATCATCAAATTTATGATATATTTAATGCTAAAAAAATGCACATAAAGTTTGCGAAATATTTTTGCTATACGATCGTCAAATAGCAACCTCGTTCAATATTGCTCACAACCTTCTACCAAAAATAGCGAAATAGTATCGCCGCATACCACGTGATGCAGACGGAACTCTTGTTGAATGAGCTATACCAATTACTGGATTGAGGATTCAGCCTGTAGGCAATTATTTGAATTTAAAAATATTTTATTTCATTTATAATTCAATATTAGTTTCTTAAACACTAAAAAAATTTCTTAAGCCTTTTGAATCTTGGAACAATTAAAATCTCAATCATTGCTTGTCTCCCACAAAGTATATGTCCACAATAACAAAAGTTTATTTTTAAGTCACATGACAATCCTTCCTTATTTACCGGCTTTAATGTTGTAACAACATTTTTCAATAAGCATAAAAACTAACAATTGTGGTTAGGTAGATTTTTGGAACCTAAAAAAAAGTTCCAATTTATAACTAAAGTCAATTTAAAAAAAAAAAAAACTTTACAGACAAACAGATTTATTATTTTTATGTATGGATAATATACATTAATAAATAAATGGAAAGAAAAAAAAATGCTAGTGCGCTAGACAATGAGATTTTGCTAGGTTAAATATATATGGATCCATAACACTGCATTTTGTTTGATGATGAACAAATTAGGCAGAGAAATCACTCTATGAATCTTACCATGAATGAAACAATTCTCAGAACAACTGCTGGAGTATTTAAATCAGGACAGTCAGACTGCAGACTTGCAACTGAGTCTCTATTACCCACAGCCAAAGATGAATTAGATTTTGCAAAACATTTGGATCACATTGAAAAGGCTAAGGCAAAGTGAATGAAAATATAGAACCAAGAGCCTTTAGATAAAAAAATGAAAAAACACAACAAAATTTCGATACAGCCCTTGAAGAAATATGATCGCTATTGCCAGACACCTCTTTTACAAATAAATCCTGAAAAGATAAAAGAAGTCCAAACAGTAACAGCTTTTCCTTCAACTCAAGTTAGTTTGGAAAGATTATTCTCACCTCCTTAAGTTTATAAAATTGAATATATGGTCCTTGGTAAAAAGATCTTGCCAAAAATTAGAAATTACTAATTCCAGTTTTTCCCGTAACATAATAAAATGTTAATATGAATAATCTGTTACGCCATCAATTTTTTTTCTTTTCTGTACCATCTATTACTTTGTTTATATTGGAAAAAAAAAGCTATTACACATGTGTAGTATATGCTCACATGTATATGAGGAAGTCTAAGTTTAAAATTCTAAAAGGATGTTCATTTTTGCAACTGACTCTACAGCTCTGTTAATAATAATATCAATTATTTTTTTAATTGAATTACTTTTTCCAAAAATATTCTTAGTTTGTTTAAATTGAATATTGAATGTTTTAAATTTATCACTGCTTGCCATCCGTTTCAGAGATGGGATTTAGCAGCCAGACAGTAGAGTTAATGATCTAGCTGCTATATCATATTTTTCAAATACTTGGAAATCATTAATTTTCTAGCATTTCCTGTCAGTTTAACATTGTTACTTTTAACTGTTTATTTATCTTGTTAGTGTGATGCAACTTCTGTCGAATTACATTAATTCTGTTTTACCATCCTTGTTCATCTTACCGAAAGGTGTACCAAAACGATTAAGGTTTTAATAAAAACTTTGCCATTCATGATTTTTAAGCGTTTTTTAAAAAAAAAAATTAAAATATTCAGTCTAATGTGGTGGAAAGGTAGACAGAATTAACAAGAAAAAAAAACCAGACGAAATTGAAGTTTTACTACTCACCCCTTTCCCATACAAATAAAATACAAGTTACACATTTTAAGCTAAATGATTAACGTGAAAATAGTTCATTTTTCTGTCATTTCAGAGTTAAAATGCATGTAGGACTGCTTTTATTTTTTCCTCCTCCATCTCCCACATTAAGTTTTGCAAATGGCTGGTTCTACCATTCCACATTTTTTCACAAGGCCAAATAATCAGGAGCCTACTGTAATCATATAAATCTATTATATAATAACCAAATAGAAAAATAAAAATCAAACATAACCCAGATCTTAGTAAAAAAATCACAAGCCTAAACACAAGGTAGTGGTGAACTTGGCTTCAGATAGATTGTTAAAACGTTAGTTTGAGAATTAAAGCAACAAAACACAGACTAAAGCTTTAATAAATAAAATAAGAATTCAACCAGGAATAAGTCAAAATTTATTTCTAAAAAAAGTATTTTATTTTAAACTCAAGAAATTGTTAACTTCCATTGATCAAGTAATTATAGCAAAAATCTTATTGACGCATAAGATATTTTCTGTCAATAATCAGAGTTAGTTGTTACATTATATTTTTGATGCTCAATTATATATAGATGAGTGCATTCATAATTATGCTGCAATAAAGACTTACAAAAAATAAAGTTATCTTATACTATAAAATTTAAATAACTTATATATATACATTTTTGATTCTTTTCCTCCTATTAACCACAATTTTTTTTTCTTAATACAAAATTACTCTTATAATTATAATTAAAAATGGGAATAATAAGAGAGAGGGAACAGTTTTTAAGTCTTGTGTATTAAGTTTTTAATCTTTAAAAATTTCAATGTAAATGTCAAGTTTCATAGCTGGTAATATTCAATATTTCACTTTTTTGGTGCTTTTGATTAACATGAGCTTATAAAATAAAGATATTGAGAGAAATTTTTTTTTTCTAATATGAATAAAGTCAACATTAAAGAAATAAAAAAAAAAAAAAAAAAAAAAAAAAAAAAAAAAAAAAAAAAAAAAAAAAAGCATTTAAAATTGCAATAATTTTTAACTCATGTCACATCCACATATTTAAATAGCTATTTTCGCACATGAAATTTCAACACAGCAAAGAATATAATTTGCATTACAGGAGGTTACAGATCGAGTCAAATGGAAGTTTTTTTACTATAAGTTAATAATTCTCTAAATAATCATTGAATGTCTACATCTCAGCTCTATTAAAGGACTGTCAGACTTTATAAACAAAGTATTCGACCCAAGAAAATGGAACTAGGCAGAATTGAGTTTGGAGCATTTGACAAAAAATGCTACTAAAGCAGACAAGCATCACATCAAACAATAAGAATAATTATTGAATGTTAAATTTTCTGATACCACTCACTGTACATTTTTCTAAAGCTAGTTATAATTTCAAATTTTTAATATTTTATGAAAAACTTCTGTGATCTGCAGTGTGGCCAGCATGGTATTTTTCACTGTAAGTATAACAGTAACAAATTTTTAAATACTAAATTTATGTATTACACCATACTTCTTATTCGTTTTTCTACTCACCTTCGTAATTTTAAGTACTTAAGCCTTCGTAGTTTTAGTGCAGCAAAATAAAATGTATTGCTAAGTTAAACTTCAAAAACAGAACTGGCAACTTGATAGAATCCAGAGTACATTTTTCAATCAGTGATTTAAGTACCTTAATATAATATTGATGCATGTGAGTGTCCAACAAATCTGCCCTAATATGCCTGAATTGACTAAATGTCAACCCAGATGGGCATTGGGGAAAAAAAATATGCATGCTTTCTTAAAGAGAGAGTTAATTACATACATCTTGCAATCATCTTAATAAAATGATTTATAAATTTAAAAAAAGTATTTAAAAGAAAGTTTCTTATTGTAAGAAAAATTCAATACAATAACTTTACTAGTAGTGATTCTTAATCAAGTTTTAAAAATGAAATAATCAGTTAAACCTACTTTTACAACACAAAATTTCCTTCCCCCCCTTCAATAATGATGTTTTTAAAAACACCATTTCAATAGGACCAAATAATTATTCAGAATAAAGCAAGAATTTGATTATCCCAACTAATTGGGAACAGATATTCTCCAAATAAACAAACCTCTGGAATAAACATTTTTTTTATTTTTAAAAAATTTAGCATGTTTTATTCTAATTCCATTTGCAGTGCCAGATTAAATTTTTGCTGCAAGGATAACATACCACACTTCTTAATAGCAGAAAAGGAAGCTATAGTTATCAAACTTAAACTACATTAATAATAACAAAAAGATGCAGGATGCAACCAAAATTTTACATTTCAATTTCTACTGTCAAATCGAAGCAACCAACTTCATTTGTCGCTAACAAAACTTTTATTTGTTTACTCACTTAAAATTATCTATAGTGTCACTGAAAGCCTAATATTAAGCTGAAATTGGGGATATTTATGTTTCAGTATCTGTTGGTGCCAATTACAATCACCAAGGCACAAAATTTTAAAGAAATAAGTCGAGGTTTGCCTGAAGATGGCTTGGTATCTTTCTGGGATGTTAATTTTAGTTTCTCAAGGGCCACTGCCAGGAAGTCACCACAATACACAGTGTTTATTTCGGCAGTGATAGACAGCATGCTAATGAAACTGAGAAGACTAAAAATTTAACACTGAAAAACTAAATATATAGCACTTAAAGTCACAAAAATTCCACTTTTGATAAACAGAGGCATTTAAATTAAAGAGGTTTGTATAATCAAGGTTCTACTTTATATACACTAGCATAAAAACTAGTTTCCAAAAATTGTGTCATCATAAAATTTTGGCTGGAATTGTTACTTAATTGACGATCCATCCATAAATCGAGCATTCAATAAACATTAATAACTAATATTTTTCTTTGATTAGAAGTAGTCTTCATGCGCATGAAAAAATAAAAATTATTTGATTTATTTCTACTAGCTTCTGTTTCTTGTTCAACATATTTGTTTACTCAGAATGGCTTTCAGCCACGTGTTTATTCAGAGTCCTACGGAATTTGTAATATTTACTGCAATGCTGACATCGATATATTTTATGCTTTTTTCCAACTTTTGCTTGGGGTTTAGGTACACTTTGAGGTTTGGGAGATTCTGGTGAGCTTTTATAAGCAGTATGTGTCAGGAAATGCTTTCTGAGACCATTTAAGTGTACAAAACCTTTCTGACAAACTGAACAAACATGATTAGATTTTTTGGACTCTGCAACTTCTACTTGTTCCTGTACATGATTTTGCAAATGCAGCTCTAAATCTTCTGGTAATGTAAATGATTTTTTACATAATTTACAAATATGCTTATGACTTCTCATGTGAGAAGACAAGAGAGGTCTTGTCTTAAAAGCTTTTTCACAGACTTGACACGGAAATTCAGCTTCGTGATCCGATTGATAATGCCTAATGAGATATTTTTGGCTGGTAAAAGATCTATTACACTGTTCACAAGGAAAAAATTTTTCAGAGACTTTGGTGACAATGGTACTCTCCCCATTGACAGGTTTAGGAGGAATCTCATTTTCTTGAACCATAGGACTTTCAGTATTATCAAGATCAATTTTATCAGTGCAATTTTTATGTTTATCACAATGTTTTAAGAATGATCCATGTTTAATGAACACTCTCCCACAATCTCTACACTCAAAAGGAGGTTTTGGTTTTCCTGAAGCAAGGGTTTTGGTTATATTATTTGGCAAATCTTCAGACTGTCCATCACCCTGCTCGTGCAAAAGCATGTGTTTTTTAATATTTCCAGCATGAGTGAAAGATTTATTGCAAATTGGACAAACATGAGGATGAGATTCGGAATGAGTCAAGTGGCGGATTTGTAAGCGACATATTCTTAAAAAGGAATTGTTGCAAGATCTACAAACACCAGGCAATTTCCCAGTCTGCGTGAACTGTCTCACTTGAATGCTGTTAACATGGACAAAACCATTTTTACAAGCTTCACAGTAGGGAGATGGGTTACTCATATTCGACTGCCTTCGTATTTGAAGCGTGTAAACATCTTGAAGAGTTACCTCAGTCATCATGAACTAGAATAATAAATTAATACAATTAATAACTCAATGCAACTAAATAAAATTGTTTCAAACTTTATATTAATTAAACAACATGCAATCGTGTACATAGTCATTTTTAGCAGGTGTCGACTATGCTATCTAGAACACTGGTTTTCAATACAATAAATTTTTCCCATTAGTTTTACTTTTTTAAGATTTTAAATAGCTACTCAACATAAGTTGTAAATAAAATGTTCCACTATTTAGCAGTGATTAACATTTTAAAGTATAATTTTTTTTTTTTTTAATATACTAAACATAGTCAATATCAGTTTAAAAGTTTCAGTCGGCATTTAAAAGCATAATTATTTTTGAAATATCAGGGTGCGTAGTCAAATCTTTGAATCAAAAATAAGCACTTTTTAAAAAATTTTCAAGCACTCAAAAAATTCATATTTAATCAGTGATATAATTGAAAAACAAAAACTTTTTATTAACAGTTTTAGCGTTAAGAAAACCCAAAAAGAAACAGACGTAAATTGAAACAATCAGTACTTTCCCACATCATCGAGTGAATTCAACTTGACCCTGAACTCAGAACAAAAGTACCCGTACCCCCTACATCAAAAAAGTGTTAGAAGTAAAATAAAATTAACAATAATAAAATAAACAATAATAAAATTAAAATAAATTAAAAAGAAAAAATTTTCATAAGGATCTGATATTCTCTATCCGAATTGGAGTACTCGGGTTTCGGTTTCAAGTGTGCGCGCATGCGCAAGTCATAACGTGGGTACGACATGAAGTTCGCGNCTGCCACAGATACGGAAATCTCCCCCATATTGCAATCGCTAAGGTGCCAAATAGGCTTTAAACTTGCAGATTTTTTTTTAAATATAAAGATTAGCTGGGGGGTGGCTATGAGGAGATCCCTTTTTGTGAATTTTTGCTTGCAGGCCATTGCCTGTAAATTGCTAAGAGTGAGAAAATTTTTACCAAATATGATACTATATGGAAAAATCTATATTAGGGGGAATATTTGGTGTATGAAACTCTATACTATACAAGAATATTTTGGGTATATTATTCCACATTTAAGATAAAATTACTTATTTATTTTACTTTTTTAACTAAGAATGTTTTTTATAAAATAGAGCAGATTTAAATGATAGTTTTTCGTCTGTCTGTAAAGCATACGAAATATAAATACTGAACAGTGCATGTGGATACATAAGCTGAAAATTTTTTTTTCTAAAGAAAGAATATTTTGGTATAGTTTAAAATAAGTAAAAATGTATTAAAGGAGTGTAAAAGTACAAATAAAGCAATCTTTTAAACGTTCAAAACACAGAAGGAATATTAGTTCAGAATACAAATATTCCAGTACTAGTAGAATCATTAATAGAATTATGAATACAGCGATACCTGAAACTCTAGTGTAACAGAGAATTAAATTTAAGCAAATTGAAAAATCATAAATTAAGCAATAGTTTTGACAAGTATAAACAAGTAATTTACTATCAGCAAGAAAATCGGTCGAAAATAAGGAAGGAGAAAAAATTTGATAACTGTGAAAATTAATAAGGTGTGACTGTTAATTTGACTTTCTTATTCGATTGCACTTACCTTCAATCAATGAAATAAAAAAGATTACTTTAAACTGAAGTCGATTATTCTAGAAATAACGTTTTAAATTAATAATTGTTTTAGTTGTTAATTAACGGGTTTCGCCACCTCGTACTACGTAATGTTTTATAAACAACAGATGGCGCTACTGAATTAAATGAATTTTAATTTGTCGTATATAATTAAGTGTATCTGTTTAGAAGAATCATATATAAAATTAATTATAATCTTTTTTTAAGATTAAATAATCAATGAAGAATATTAATTAAACAACAACCCTAAAATTTTTGTCTTTATAACTAATTTTAAATACTTGTATAGACTGTTGCCACACTCGAAAGGTAATATTTAATTTCAATTTGTAAAATAATTAAAATGACTTAAAATAGATTTTCCATAAATTAAAAGAAAAAGAAACTTTCAATTTTTAATTGCGAAATTGTAGAAAAGTAAATAGAACTGCTTAAACAATTCGCAATGTCGGTAAGATCTGTTAGATGAAAAATATTAGAAATAATATAGTGGCGCCATCTAAATATTAAGCAAATAAAAACTTCTCTTCCTAGAAAAAAATAGATAAGTCTAAGAAAAGTAAACGAATTTTTAAAAACTTTATAACTATTTAAAGATGTCATTAATTAGAGCTAAATTTTGATGTCATTTTAAAAATTAAGAAGTTAAATACCCATATAAAGATCTTTTAATAGGATTTAAAAAATTCTTCAAATTTGAACACCAAATTTTAATTTATGAAAATTTGAGTTTTTTTGGCAAAATTGCAGTAAATTTAACCTTTTATTCCTTAAGCTTATATTTTATAAATTGATATTTTCATCAATAGCAGATGAACTAAAACCGAGGACCATTTTGCTACATAAAACAATATATTATTTTTAAATACCTTAATTTAATTCTAATTATTGTGGGATGTGCTAGTTTAAATAATATTTTCATTAAATACTATTACATGTTCATCTCCCTGAAACGAAACTGTATTAATTTGTTCTTCAAAGAAATAAAACGAAAATGATGATTATTAATTAGTTCTTCAAAGAAGCTAATCTGATTATAATTTTTTTTTTTTTTAATCTTCTATGCCTATTTTACATAATGCACAGGATTAAAGGGGATATGTAAACAACAAAAATTTTAGTTCCTTATAATAAAATTAAATGATGTTTTTTCAGGGTTAAACCTCTCTTTGTAGTTACTCTATTCAAAACAAATCTCTCTTTTTAATTTAGTAGATATTTTTATAAAGCATCTAATTTCATAGACATAATTGAATATTTTTGAAAAGCCAACAAGAAAATAGTATTATTTGTTGATCATTACAAATCACCAAAAAAAATTGCTGTAATCAATTATAAAAATTATGAATATAAATCACTTGAGTGCCAGGCTTTGGAACCCTTAAACTTTTCCAACTACATCCAGTTGTTGAATTGTGTTTCAGTAAGTCTGATGGTAATTTATATTTAGAATTTTGATTCATTGCACCATTTAACACTTAATCACTGTCATAACATGGTGCATAATGGCCTGCAACAGCAAATCAATTATAAAAATAGATTTATACAATAACAGATGTATACAACAAAAAACTTGATTGTGGATGTTACTTAAGTATCATTTTATCTATAGTGAAGATCTATCATTTTATCAATAGTTAGTACTCCTACCCTGAACTCAAAAAGAGTTCAGGCTAGGAGAGTTAAGAATTTCTGCCTCACAAACAGAAGGTGCTGTAATCAGGCATAAAAATTATGAATATCAATCACTTGTGTGGCAGGCAACTGGTCGAAACTAGAGGCATGGTAAGCATAACAATTATTAACTAAATCAAATTATTCTATTTTGTTTATGTTTATAAAATTTAATTCTTATTTCATTGCACTTCACTTAATCACCGTCATAATATCTGTTGCAACTACTATTGGCAAGATACCTTGTTTAATAAGAGCTTTGTAAAAGAAGAAAGAAAAACAATGACTAAAAAACATTAAATTCTGTCACATTTATTTCAATACACAAGAATATATTTCTTTGGACAATATTATATGACTGTAAATAATATATTGTAGATTTAAAGGTAAAAAAAATGCATAATGAATCATTTCTAATTTAAAGCACATTTAGAAATAATTTAAAAGAATTCATCTATTATTTTTAATACATACAATATAATGCCAAAGGCATTCATTAAGGCTCACAGACTGCATACAACATTGCTTGCATAATAAAACTGATTTTTCGACAAGTTTACAAGTTTTATACAGTAAAACAAGAAAATATATACTTTATAGGCTAATAAAAAAATTCAAATTAAGTGGCAGAGAATATTAGTCTATTATATTTTTAAGCAAAGTAATTAAAAAAATTAAATTGAAAAGCAAATCAAATGCAGTTAATATTTTTTTAAATGTTATTAGTTTATTTAAAAGATTCCCAACCAACTACAAACTGTTGTCTCACTAAATATTAAGCATATATTTTATAGCTCACAATTATTTTATGCTATACACTAATACATATAAAAATATTACTTATATATGTTATATACATACATTTGCGAGAAAATTAGAAGAACAAATAATATGTATATAAATTATAATAAAAATTGGCAGGAAAGATTTATAAAGAATAAACTACACAAAATAGAACAAAAATTAATTAGAATGTTGATACTGAAAATGAACTTGATTACACTTTTATAAATTCTTTGACATATGGTAATGAAAATAAACACGTTGTAAAAAACTAATGATCAAGATTCTCAAAGGTGATTGAACTTGCTAAAACAAACAACTTTCATAAAAAATGTGGGTTCAGAAAGCCAAGCACGAGTTCCAAGAAGGGCATGACGTATCGGTAGCAAATTTTTATTTTATTTTTATGGAGTCTATTTGAAGTGTCACTGCAGCTGGTAGTCGTTCATTTGTTGTAAAGTTCTTAATGTAAAGATTTTTTGTATTTTGCTTTTGTCATTACTGTATTATTTTCTTTTATTGTATTTTTCATTTTCACTAAGCAGGTACACTCTCACTGCTTGTTTTCAGCTTTTTGACCTCACACACTAAGATGAAATTGTTTTTGCAAGTTGTTATCACTCCTTACAATTAGTTTCATTACATCTTGCATTGCTATCAATAAATGAATATAAGGATGTACAAAGTTTCAGAATTATAGGTTGGGAATCTTGAATGGGGAATAAATTTGTAAATAAAATTAATGGCAGTGAAATTGCTAAAAATTGTTATTCAATTTAAATACTAATTGCTAAAATGGGCAGATATTGAATGAACAAGTTTTTCATTGATAATTTTATTTTCGATATTAAGAAATAAAGTTAAATTTACAACAAAAATATAAAAAAAATTGATATGGCAAATTAATGTTATTAAGTTTATTTATAAGAACTGATTTTCTAAGTCAGTATTATCTAACAAAAGAAATAATATTTCATCTTGAATAATAATAAATAAAGAAATAAATAGAATAGCAATAATAAATAAAGAAAAATATAGATCACTCAAACTTTATGATTATTAATTAAAAAAACTCAATGTTTTTAATATAGATAAATATTATGTAAAATATAAACAAAATTATTAAAAATGCATATTTTTTTAGAAGCTAAATTATGATTCTGACAAAGAGATTTCCTTACCAACATTAAACATCAATATTTTTCATTAACAAAAGAATTTTAAAATACATACAGGCAGATCAAATTTGCTGTTGAGTAAATCAACAACACCAGGCAAGGTAGGTTAAAGAACACCAAGCAAGAGAGGAGTGTTTAAACAATATATCTAATATTTGCTAGACAATTTCAAGTAAAATAAACTGTCAATTTATAATCAAGGAAAGAAAAGAGAGAGTCAATCACTCAATATTATTTCATAAAGGCAGGGAAATATGGATTGTAATAAGAATATAAATTCTGGTCTATAAACATTTTTATGTTAAAAACACACATGCAAAATTTTAGTAAAAACATCTAAGAAATATCGATTGATTAATTAAATAATATAAGTTTAATGAATTAAAAAAAATTTTAAAAATAAAAAGTGAAACTGTATTTACAGTTAATAATAAACATCATATAAGATTTTGATATTTGAAATGTTGGCAAACCAAAGGAATAAAATAACCCCTAATAACAATATATTTTACTAACAGAAGAGATATGAGAAAAAGGGCATCGAAATAAAAGAAAAAAGAACAATTTCAATTTGCAGGTAGTAATAAAGGTGTACAAATAGGGGAAAAGTAAAAAAAAATAAATAAATAAAAATAATAATAAATAAGTAGAAATTAATATTTTTTCCAGAAAAAGTGACCAAAATTAAGTTTACAACCATAACAGATATTTATTAACAAATAGAAAAAAAAAGTTTTTCTCTCCAAGAAATTGTACCCCAAAAGAATGTTCTACCTGTCATTAACTTTTATCCACAGATAAACTGAAATAACATATTTGAAAGCTTAAAAAAAATGTTTTAGGATCAAGAATAGTAATACTGCAGTAAATCATAACAGTATGTTATAAGGAGAAAACACACTTTTTATGTCAAATTTTATTCGATTTCTTTTATAAATCAGTTATTTTATTTTAAGCATATTTTCAAAGTAAGTTTGAGCTTATGTGACATGGTAGTGATCAAACTTCACCCATTCATCAAGTAAGTCATGCTCATGCGAAAGCATTCTTTTGCTCCAAAAAAGCCAGCTATGATTTCACATTTGTTTGCTAACTATAGTAAAGTTAACTCAAAAGAATCTTCAATGTATAGCAGCAAAATTTGAAGAAAAGAATTTTTTTCCATACAATGGGATATTTTTTATACCAGTTAGTCACATATTAATTTAATGAAAAAAGTGACATTTGATAACTTTTAGTGATCAATAATAAAAAAAGTGACATATAGGGAAGATAGTGATTTGACGGGAACCAAGAATTTATAAGAACAGCATTTAAGATTAAACTAGCAGAAAGATATTAGTGATAGAAAGGTTTGTCACAGAAAGCCCGAAAAATTTTGCCACAGGGTCCAGTATTTCAAATTACTGTTTTTATCTTAAGTTTCTTTAAAAAGAAAAAAAAAAGTTTTTTTTTTTAGATGTATTGATAAAAATGTACTTTCTAAATTTAAAATGAAAAAAATGTGTGTAAATGTTCACTGTGACAAAAAACAAAAATTAATTTCTTAGAAAAGGTTAATCAAAGTTGGTTATTTTATAATGGGCTTTGATTTAGAGTCTAACTCACCTAGGCATGATAATAATTCTTCTTTAAAATTTCTTAATATAAATATTCTACCAATTTTTCAGAAATTCTGTCACATAGAATTGTACCATCTTCAATTTCAATTCTAGGTAGGTATAATTACAATTTACCACACAGTTGAACATAACATATTAAAACAGAGATTTAATAATAAAGAATAAATAAATCTAAAAAAGGCAGTACTAAATAGTAGGTAGTTTTTTCATGGATACAATCAGTTCTCAGTTTCTATGATATTTTATATAAAAATATAATTCGATTGTCCATTCCATAATTAATATTTATAAGCCTAATTCTCTACAGCTAATTATGAATAGAATATTTTTTTAGCTCTTTGATTCAGTAACTATGTAAGATAAGCAACACACATAATCACATTGTTTCAAATTATTGAAGGAAATAAATAAAATAAACTTTTTACAGTATAAGAATGTTATCCACACTAGTTGTATAAATTAAGTTTAAATGATACTAAATTTAAACTTGAGATTCTTTATAACTATAAGAAAAAAAATGCACCTCTTAAAAAAAAAGAAGACTAAAACATTAACTAAATTTAAAATAAATATTGCACAAAATGATTGTGGCAAAAAAATAGTATAAATACAGTAATAAAAAATATATATGCAAAATGAGTTAGCTAAATGGACTAAAATAGTTGCAATTCAAGATAGATAAAAATAAACTGCATAATAAGAGAATTATAAACTTTATCAGCTTATTATAAAATAAAATGAACTATAAAAAGTGAAATAAAACAGTAAATAACAATATCTATATATAAAATTACATTTGACCATTTCATGGGAGCAATGCATATTAAAACAAGCTGTCACAATGAAAGCAAAAAGTTATTTATAATTTCAGAAAAAATTTATTAGCTCTATGGTAAAAGCCTGATGCAATGAGTATGGAATAGAACAAGAATTTCACTATTAAAGTCCTTTAGAATATTACATAAGCATGTTTTTGGTAATTTTAGACTCTAACCTTGTTAATAAACGTAAGCAAATTACAATCCTCTAATTTTTGATTTCTACTATAGAAATCTAATTTTTAATATTGAATGAAAATACATTTTATAAAATGTTCTGTAGGTATTATTTGGATTTTCCCATTGTGCTTAAAACTCTAGGCATTGGAAATTCTTCAAAGAAATTATCTTTTTTATGAGATTTTTCCAAATTTAACTTTTATTCCAAATTTAAAAATTTTCTAAGAGTTATTTTTTCGCAGATTTTAAAAATAAGAGGATTTTGCTGTTTTACTTAAATATTGCTCAAACCCCGCCTTCCCTCTTGTCAGCAAAAACAGTTTTATAATACCAATGTGATTTTATAAAGTACTGAGAAAAGGCAATCTACTGAAGATTTGTGCTTAATTCAAAATGTAATTCTATTTTATTTTTGTAATGTTATACATTATATTGCATTTTATAGTATTAAGACTGATATAAGAAAAACAATGTGAATTGCATTATTTTAAATTGAAAAAAGGGAAGAGATTAATTATGAATCTATAGTTTTACAGAAGTAGAAAACGAAATTTTTTAACCAGTAAATAAAATTTCATATTTTTATTGTTAGCAGTAGCTTTAAACAATAGATTTAAAATTTCAGAATCATAAGCAGCAATTTATAATGAGATACAAATACCAATAAAAAGTATCAGTGTCACACAGCCAGCTATGTATAAATGGCTGTTATTTCTATAAACCTTATGTAAATTATGTCAATATAAAAGAGTATTCCTATTATGTAAATTTTCAGTGAAAAGTTACTTAAATTTTTTATCTTTATAGAAATTAAATTTACAGATATGTTTTCAGTTTTAGGATAAATTAAAATTACAATAAGAAATGTAGAAATTCTTAAACAGTGCATACAATTGGAAGTCGTTTAAAATGTCTTAATACAAATAGTAAATGCTGGTGATTTTTAGACTCAGTTGACTAAAGAAATGTTTAGATTTGGCACTACAAGAAGATGTAATCTAATTAAATGACTAGAATATTTAGCATACAAAGTTTAAGTTAAAAATATATATATTTTTCCCTAGTCAATGATTACAATAAGCTAATATACATATATATTTAATAAAAAGGTCCAAATGAAGTAAACTTTATGTCCCTTGATGGCATGTTACACATTTTTTGTATATATAATTTTTTTTTATAAAGAAAGCAAATAAAAATAAAAATATATGAATATAAAAATTAAGAATTGATTTTCAACAAGAAAAATTGGCAGTATGTAAACATAAAATAACACTTCCTAATATTAAAAAATACAAATCTAAAAATGGCAATGTACAATGTCTACAAAATGTATAAGTTTTCTGTTACAATAAACTGTACAGTTTGAAAAATGTCGTAGTATGATGTCAAAAGCATCACATAAAATGTCTATCAAAGCATCTACATTATTTAGAATTTTATTTTCCACTCGATATTTTGGACAGCACCTAAAAAATAAAAATTATTCACTCGAACAAGCATATAAGTTTTTTTGAAAATATAATGGGAGCATGATTAAGCACCAATACTATCCCATTATTATAATCAATATAAAAGAGTATTCCTAACGAATGTAATCTTACTGAAAATAAAGTACGAAATATAAAAATCTAATAAGATTTTAATATATTATTGAATAGCAATCATAATAAAGGGTAAAAATATAAAACAAAATTATAAATTTAAAATATACCTAATTTTATTTAGTATAGTGAAGTCTTGGAATTACTTTCATAAAAAATGAATTTGAGATATGAGTGAGCTAACCTTGAAAAAGGTTTTTATACATTTCTGTATATATAACGTGTCTAGCTGAAGCTGGAGAGATGATCAGATTATTATGCTACTTTGGTACATGATAGATTATTGCTTTTAAGTGAGAGATAAAGAACTCACTTAAGTATATTATAAACTTTTGAATGAGTGTGTGTTTGAAGTAAGATAGATTAGATTTATATTCAATATTTAAAATTATAATACAATAATCACACATTAATATTTAAATGAGGAGAAAAGCTAAAATATTTTAAAAATTTGATAAACTATTATCAAGATTGGTAGATGAAACTAAACAGCTTTCCCAGAAATCGCTTATCACTTCTTGTTTAGTTTCAGTTTTCACTATATGCTATAGAAGAAAACTTGTACAAAAATGTCAGTTGAACATGACAAAATTTTTGTCAATTTCTTGAAAGTAGAAGGGTTGTAAAAAAAGCTTTTTTTTAAAAATGTAATTTTTTTTAGAAATTAATAGATAAGTTATACTAAATTATGTAATTATTTTAAATTATATTTAACTTTTACAAACATAGTCTTTGGAAAATAGATATTTTCAGGGACCTAAAATTTTTAAATAACCATAGCAACAATAAAAAAGCATTAGCTTTATAGAGACAACTTTATAAATAACTCATTATTTTATTCATTATTGTGTTAAAAGCGGAGTTCAATTGAACAAGAGTTTGACTCAAATAGCCACATTGAAGGTAAATTAAATAGTGTTGTTAGATATAAACTAAATATGCTGCAAAATAATAACGGCAATAATTGGCTTTAAAAAGGAGATTTTAAGGCCATGGAATCTGTGTTTACCTGGATATAAATTTTTCTTAGCCAAGAAATTTACTTTTCATTTTGTGCAAAATTCCTATGATCAGAATCTAATAGCAAAACAGCAATTTTTTACTCTAAAATATAAACTGTTTCGTAAAACGTTAACATAATTTAGTTTTCAAAACAAATTTTTAAAACATTAAACATCCTTGATTTAGTTTAAGGAACCAATATTTTGTGACTTTGTTCTTAAAAAGGTTATTTCAATTTTAACACTTTTTCAAATTGTGTTGCTTCTGTATCTCTCTTTTATTTCAACTTTAAATTGTAAGCAATCAACATACACATTTAAAATTTGAATAATAAAAATTTAAAAAGAAATAAAAAACACAAAGCTATCTTTGCCATGTTTTAACTTTTTGTCTTTCTATGACTTCTAAATAAAAGAGTCAAATAATTCCAGAAAGAAAAAATGTAAATGCTTATAATTTTTAATGAAAAGTTTAATTTAAATCTATCAGTTTATTTATTTTGTAAATTTTTTTGTGAATCACACAGTTAAATTCCAAGATAATAATGAAGAACCCAGCAAGTAAAAGTAAAACTTCTGGCAGCTCTCAATACTTAACAATTAGGGCAATATTTTGCAACTATTTCCAAGATTTAAAAGGTAAAAAAATCTGTGGAATCTTCTTAAATCATAGAACTCTAGTAAATTAGCTTAGATAATATAAAGATTGTATCCTAGTATGTAGAAATAAGAATATTAGATTAAACCATAAAATTTATTTTAGTTACTTCAAATATATCTGTGTAAGGAAACGAAATTTTTAATTAACTAAGCAGTATGAGCAAATAGCAATTCTGTCACCGCTGATTATTTTTTAAATTGTTAATGCATTTTCATTAAAATGTGTTATAACATGGCATGCTTTTAAAAGTAAATGAGTACCCACAATATCAATCAGCTTCTAGAAGGGTTACATATTAAGATACACTAACCACCAAGAATATATTAATCATGAAATTTTAAATAAATACCCTAATGGCTTTCAATATGTACAGTTTAAATAATTTACCTTTGTTAAATCTACACCAGTAAGAGCTTGAACAGATGGAGGTATCTGACTAACAAGTTTAGTAACTTCAGCTGTGACCGGATCGGATCCACCAATTAAAATAATATCTTCTGTTTTGGCCAAGGGTGCTGAGACTTCAGCAGCAATCTGTAAACAAAGTTACAATAATGATGAAAAATCTAATAATAAATGAAAGGAAAACTAAAAAATAATAAAGTGAACATTTTTGTTTGAAAATTATGATAAAAATTACAAATAAATTTAAATGTTTTTCGGCATGTCTTAGGAGTCTCAATATGTTCCTTGTAAGAATAGAACATTCAAGTGTGTTCTCAAACAAGTTGGGTGCATTTCAATTTATATATCAAATTAAATGAAGTAAATTATATAATAATAATAACAGCTAAATTATCAGGATAATTTTTTCTCAATTGTTTGGAAGTTTTTGTTTCAATGACAATAACATACAATTATTATGGTTTTAAAGAAAAAATTTATAGATCCAGTGTAATTAATTTAAAGAGAGAAAAAACACCTTACTAAAAAGCAGCTCTTTTGAAATAGACCCTCCCCCTCAAAGAAAAACAGCGGGGTTTCTCCAGACTGAACCTATTTTGCTGAGCCCTGATAACACTTTCAATTAAAGTTGGCTATCATGGTTTAAAATCTGAGTCTTTTCTGTGCGGAATAAGCAATATTACAGTAATTTCAAAGCATCATTAAAATATAGAATAATTTTGCACACCTTTTATAAATAAAGATATTAGTTATATTATTCATTAGCATGTTATTTAGATGAAACATGTCACTTTTTTGCGCACATACTTTATCACTAATGTTTATTCTCTTTCATTTACCAAATGTCCAACATTTTTCAAAGGAATTAAGAGAACAGTTGCCAGTGTGAAGAAAAAAAAAATTCATTCATATATATAAATAAATAGAAGACAGAAAATCTTAAGACTCAGTTAAGTTTAAAATCTGAAAATACTATTTAAAAAAAAATAATGATTAAATTTTACATAATTGCAGAGTTCTTGCTTAAAATTAATTAAAATAAATATAGCAGAATAAGATATAAAAATTCACAAGTACATTAGATATCACAAGTACTTTAAAACACTTTCTTGTTTTCAATTTATCTATAATGCTATAGAAACTTATAAAATCCAAACAATGATAAATACACAACAATACAAGTGAATTCAACAGGAGATAAAATGTTTAGGTCTTTAAATACCTTAGGAAGAGCTTCTAAGACCAAGCTCATAATGGCTGCATCTCCATACTGTTTATATGCAGCAGCTTTCATCCTCATTCCTTCTGCTTCAGCTTTACCCACAGCTTCAATGGCATATGCATCAGCTGAACCAAGCATGCGAATTTTTTCAGCTTCTGCTCTAGCAACCTCCATAGTTTGTGTTCTAAAGTTTTGAAATTGGAACATCATTAATTGGCTAAATTACCCAAATTCACAATAAAAAAATAAATTGTAATTCGGATTTGATAACATAAGCAGTCTGTAATCAACATTTAACAACCAATGAATCAACACTAAAAATACTTTAATTTGAAGCACTTTATTTTTTGTGTATCACATAAACCCCCCAAAAAATACATGAATATAAACATGAAGTTTAAAGTGCTAGTCAAATGACCGAGCAGTTAGCGTGCTTGACTGAGAAGCCAATGGTTGTGGGTTTGAGTCCCGCTCAAGGCATGGATATTTCTCTCTGTTGTGTGTGATGTGTGAATGTGGCCCTAACTGTCAATGGGTATATGTGGCAGCAAAGTATGGCTAATGTTGCTCACCTCCATGACTAAGATTCACAGCTGCCTACCGGGTAATGTTAAATAGCGAATGCCTATCGTGAAAAAAAAAAAGCTTAATGCAAGGTCTAGGTCCTAAGTAAGAAATTAGGTATTTATGTGTTCTTAAAAAAGTATTGTGATTCGGATTTTGAATATGGTTCGATTGAATTTTTGCATAGTTCGTTTAAGTTAAACTTTGAGTTAGTTTTGAATGCTGAAAAATTATTTATACATGTTTTAAATAAATTCATGTTTCTGAAATTTTAATTAAAGGCTACATCTTTTAGCATTTTAACAAAAAAAATATATCTGTATAAAATATACTGCAATCAAGCACTAATTATTTCAAAACATGTTACCGTTTTCCTTGTGCTATTAGCTCCACTTTGTAAGCTTCTGCCTCTGCTGGAAGACGCACCAAGGCAGTGAGTTCTTTATCTCTCCTAAGAATTTCTTTTTCTTCTACTGCAATTTGCTTCCTTCTTTCCACAATGTCAATTTCAATTTCCTCGCTACGTATCTTTTGTTTCATTTTTGCTGCCTGCAACTCATATGATAACTGTGCCTCAGCTTTCTAAAAAAAAATATTGCATCATCATAATTATATATCCAATAATTAGTGTATTTTAAAAGGTACAGTAGAGAACCATTTATCCGGTATCCAGATAACCGGGAAACCAGAAAACTGGGAAAAATTTTGATCGGTTTTCCCGCCATTTTAAACTACAACGATTATGAAAAAAAAAAAAAAAACAGAAATGAACTCATCCTTGAAGTTGAGTAGAGGAAAATGTAAGGAAGGGGAGAATTTCCCCCCCGTTTACCTAGAGAAACGTCATTTCCTCTGTGACCTTGAAGGCAGGAATGTTTTATTTTCTCCTTTAGGCCGTCAATCAAGCTCAAGGGTGTGGCGTGCTGATTTTGTTATCTGTTTAATTTACGAGGGGGGTGGGGAAAATGCATTGCATGCATATCAGTGAACAGAAGATGAAAGAGAAAAATATATTTATCTATTTGACATCGATTAATAAAAATAAAATCTTTTTCTTCTGAATAAATTCAAGTGCGGTATCATTTGCAAGTTGTTATTGATGTGGAATCACATCTGCTGTAATTAAATATCGTGCTTTTATCAACAAAAAATAAATAAATAAAAGGAGAATTGTTTAATAATTTAAACATACGATTATTTTATGAACCAGATTGCAGTTTTGTTTTTCTGATTCCACTACGTTTGATTTTTTTTTCTTTTCACGATAAATTTCGCACTCAATAAATTAATTCTTTTTATTCATAAATTTTATCATTAGTTTTTTCTTTAAATTCCGTTGATCTTGCCTTGTTCCTGGTTTCAATATTTATGTTAGTGCCTTTTTTAACTATCGTTTCGGTTCGATAATTTTCAAGTGTTTTTATTTAGATTAATAAGTTTTCCTTTTATTTCATCGTTTCCCCCATATAATTAGGTATGAAATATATTGCATTATTTAACCATTGGTTTTGTTTATATTAGTTAATTTAGGAATTGTAATTATTTTTAAAAAATAAATACGAGAATTTTGTATTTTTTAATCTTGTTTTTCTTGTCTAAACTTGCAAATTTTTTTATTCTTTTAAATGTTATTTTTCTCTTTAAAGTTAGGAGTACCTTTCTTTTTTCTCTTACTTTATGCATTGCACTTTTTCCTTGTAATTCGGGGTCGATAAAACATCGATTAACGACACTTTTTGGTCGATCCAGAAAACCGGGAAATTCAGACATCCGGGATAGCGATGGTCCCGAGCATCCCGGATAATTGGCTCTCTACTGTATAATAAATTCTGCAGAATAATTTATAAGATTATTTTCTTACAGCTGCACAATATTCTATTATTGAAATTAGCCTGCTACCCCAGGTAGTCAGAGACAGAATATTATTCTAAAAATTTGGCTTAACATAACATGTATAAAAAGCAAAATTTACAGATATGATCGATAAAAATTATACACTTAAAATTTACATTGTTAAAAAATTGGGTAAAATTTTTATTAATGAAAGGGCATAATTTTTATTTTAGGGTTTTAAAATTATTAAAAACCCTAAGCAAATATAAACCAAACTAGCCAAAATGTAACACAAAAGTGCACATCAGCAGGATAGTTTTATATGACTGTTTTTCATGGTGACAGATTTCACAAGCGAAAAAAACTATTTCTACCATTAATGACGATGGAAAAATCTTTTTAATTCCATAGTTTCTCTCTGTCTGTCTCTTTTCTTTCTTTTTGTATGCTTTATACTAACAAGCCTAAACAACAGCAAAATCAGTAATGTAATAGAAAAAAGTACAATTAATCTGCCCTGAAAATATTTAATTTCTTTTGACCAGCACATTTCACATTCAGGATTTTTTTGTTTTAAATGAATAATATTTAACCAAGATAACTTAAGATCTAAATTTTTTCAATCAAGTTTAAGATTAATCATACTTGAGAAAATTGCAATAGAGGAATTCACTGTCATTGTGAATAATATTTTACAACATTTAACTGAAATATATAAGCAAATCTTTCAGAGTTTTTATTTCATTTAACTATCTGAGAAGATAAAATGTGAAAGTTCTAAACAAAGTGAGTACGAACCTTTGTATTTACTTCAGCATCAAAGTTAGATTTTTGTAATTGAAACAAACGGTGAGAGTCTTCTACTTTAGTGTTTGCTCCATATTTTACATCCATGGCAGCCTTCTCACATTCAGCTTCCTGCAAAAAGCCAAATATTGTTTTATTTTTCGCCAATTATTATAAATATTCTTAGAAAAGATAAGACTACAGTGCATGCATAATTGAGTCGGTGAGTTAAGAAATATGCCATCTCAAAAGAAAATCCACTACAGATAACCTGTTTTCTAACTCATCGATTCAATTATTGTAGTCAAGAAAATTAAAGGGCAAGATAATCGGTGAAATTATTCGAAAATGTGCAATAATTAGTGTAATTACAGCACTTTATATAGTACATTATATAAGAGCTGTAGAAAAATTTGAATAAAACCTAGAACTTTTTTACATTTTCAAATTCTGTAGGGAAAGAGGTTGATGGATAAGTAATATGGTAAATTCGTGAATCCGTTCCTGTAAAGATGCCACATCTTTTTTTTTCAAAAAAAAAAAGAAAAAAAAAAAGATGAGGCATCTTTACAGGAATTACTATACACATCTAGCAGTCTCTTTAACTATTGTCAATAAACAATAGTTCATTGTTATAAGTGAATATAAAAAAAGTGGAAAAATTTTGTTCTTTGACTAACAGTGAGAGTAGCAGTTTGAATTAGTTTTTCTTTCTTTTTTCGTGTGATTATTAAGATGGTATTAATTTAAGCTAGTTTAACATACCCTTATACCAGCATCTCTGTTTGCTTGAGCTACACCAACATCAGCATCCCTTTTTACAGCAGCAGTTCTAGCCTTGCCCAACGAGGCTAAATATTCTACTCTATCAAAGACATCTTTAATTGTAAAGCTGAGAATTTCAATACCCATACGTCCAACATCAGGAGCAGCTACTTCACGTACTAATGAAGCAAATTGGTCCCTATCTCTATACACTTCTTCAACAGAAAGAGTACCTAGGTAAACAAAAACGACATAAGGTTTTATATATGTCAAAAAAGTAGACGTTACTTTTTTCTGTCATGGCCATAACATTTCTTAAAATGTAGGGCATTTTTTATGGAACTTATAAAAACTCCTCTCTTGTATAAAGCTTAAAATATCTTTTATTTAAAAAAAAAAAAAAATTAGCTTGAGTATAACATGTAAAAACCATGATCTATACAAGCCATTTTAAATAATCAAATTTTTAAGACAAAGTTGTAATATGCATTTTTTTATATGAAATTATAACTATACAAAATAAGAGTATACACTTCTTGTCAACTGTGTGTGAAAAATTAAAAATAAGCATTCAATGTGTGCATAAAAGGAGTTAAAATTACTAAGCAATAAAAAAGAACAATGAAAGCAGTTTCAAGGATTAATGAGTGCAGCTTACAGGATGTCTGTTCTCTTAATTAAATGCATATAGTAACAAAGAACATTAAAAAATGAGAAAGGTAGTGTTTGTAACTTTTGCTTTCTTAAACCAGAGCTTAACTAAGTGAATCCCTATACAATAGTAAAGTTGATTTTATATCTCAAAACTAAATCATAATTGTATTTTTCCGATTCACAATTTCCACAATGTAAATTTATTATGTTAAATAGCCATTCAGACAATTCATAATATCTATTTAGTTCACAATATCAGTTTTTATAACACATAAACCATGCATGCTAAATGATTATTGTAAACAATGCTTTGTGTGGGTTATAATAAATAAAATTCTAAACACAGTTATAAGCAAACATTCTTAGCTACTTGTTTACCCTAGTTGGAAATACGAATGAGTATGTCATTATGTAGAAAATTTGGGATTGACAAAGAAAAGAAGTTTAAAAGTGATTAGTTTTTCAGAATATCATTTTCAGTATTAACGTTTACATACAAAAGGTTTAATTACCTAAAATTGCTCTTAAGTGTCCTTCTAGAGTTTGAAGAATTACTGATTTGATGTGATCTACTTTTTTCCCAAGAAATTGCTCGGCTGCAGTAGCAAGAAACTCTCGTTCAGTCATAACTTTGCACTGTGCCACACCAGTTACAGTTAGAGGTACTCCTTGTGCTGTTTCAACATGCTCACAACGTGGTGAAAGAGTCATAACTTCTAGAGAAAGCCTTAAAGAATAAACATATTTAATTAAAAGGTCACCAGTGAAAAAAAAACATAATATACAATATATGCTAAATAATATCTTGTTTTCACAAAATATTTAGTAGCTGATAATTAAAAAAAAATGTATAGGTATTAAATAAACATAAAGTGTCAGCTATGAAAAAGAAAAATCATATCCATTATAAATTATGTTTATGTTTTAATCCTAAAGTCAGGATTTAGTTTTTGCTGAGAAACTTGAATATAATATACATGATTTAAAAATGGAATAATATTAAGAGAATATAAAATTTTTCGAAGAAAATAAAAGCACAGTTATTTTGAAAACTTGCTGAATAAATGCCAATAACACTTTCATATTTCCTGATCAGTTAGGTATTTGTGGGACTATAAAAAAAAAATGATGTTTCATGAAAACACGGTAATAGTAGTCACTATTATGTTATAGTGGCTTTCTACAAGCAGCAAATGTGAGTATTTTGCTTGAATACATTTCAGAAGCATACATACTCAGATTACTATTGTAGTGTTGGTGATTTTTTTTTTCTATTTTATTCATTAATGTATGAAAAAAATTTTTTTTTTAATTATATATTCTGGTTAATTAAGATAATTTCATTGCTATTATATTATTTTAATATTTAAATATAACTAGTATACATGACACGAACATAATATAACATTTCATTTGCTAACAAACATAAGCAAAAATTAATTATAAAATAACAATTTATTTGTCTTTTTTTTTCTATACAAACTAACAACTAAAGATTTAAAGCTCTATTAATGTTTCGTTTTAATTTTGTGAGTAATACAGCTATACCATATATAAAGCAATTCTCAAACAGTAATTTTGGATAATTAAATCTTCAAAACCTTTAATGTCTTATAGCTTAAGAAATTAACTATATTAAAAAAATTATTACCTTTGGACATCAGTGACAAGCCACCAGGCCCATGCCCAACCACCAACAACCATCTTTTTACCAGTGTTTCCACAACATCCACCTATACAAAAAATATTAATTTTAGAAATAATGCTAAGTGATATTAATTTATAGTAAACATCTGATTAATTGATAAAATATTTTAAAACTTAAGCAAAATTATCAATTTGTCCAAAAATACTTCACCAATTAGTTCTATCTACGAACACTTCAATCAACAATGGACAAGCACCAAGGCTTTATCTTTTAATCACTAATAATTTTGAACCTCCTTCTATTGGCATGACAGCAATTTGTGGGCCAGAGCCTTCCCTCCGAGAACCTTCATCCTTTAGCTCTTTTCTTTACGATAGTTCTCCCATTTATAATTCTTAGAATTTTAAAACCCTCTTCCACCCAGTCAAGCTATCTGATAATTTTGCCCCTAAGTCGGACAATGTGAATAATTGGTAGTGCAGAATTGGTACCTATCACTCCGAACTTTCACTCAAACTATTTTTTTCACAAAAAAAAAAACAAAACAAAACGAGAAGACTTCTTGAATGTAACAAATTTAAAATGCACCTTGCTGCACACACGCAGCTTAGTTCAGTTAGCTTTCAGGGTCTGACTTAAAAGTCCAAGCTTAACCAACCAGCTTTTAAAAGATTAAGAACAAGTTTTCACGTTATAAACACACCAATTGTATTTGATTATTTATAAATGAATCTAATTTTATTATAAATGTATATTAACTATAAACATAGAAGTAATTGATAACAGAGTATAAGAGTTTATAAGATGCTAAAGAGACTTGGAATGTAAGATTTTTGATCAGTGTAATACCAAGGACACTTAAGTAAGATTTATTTTTATTTAAATAGAAATCATATAGGCATCTTAAATTATAATTATTAATTAATTCTATTTTTAAAAGACAAAATAGGTACATTCTTTATTTATGTCACACTAGAGCTGCAGAATCCGTTATTGGTGACAGCCTGGGAAATATCCCTGAGAATGATCCTAAGATCCAAATGTATTAAATATCATAATTAGTTAATTGTCACTAATATACTCTGATAAATAAAGGTGTAAAAAAGGATTCTCATATGTTTTCCTTAAAATGTAAATTTTTATACAGTATGATTAAGGAGAATTTTTTTATTTTATTTTTAAATATAAACTACACTAAAATTTCATTAGATATTCAATAAATGAAAAAATTATAAATATTTTTTAGACTTTTAATGATTGTTTGTAAATTAAATTATTTTTAAGTAAATCAGCTTAATTTACATGTCATTAGCAGTTTCTGGTACTACTACATAAAAAAATGGGAAAATTATTGCTAGTGTCTTTAAGCTTAATTAACTATGTTAACATGTGTTACTGATATTGTGGAAATATACATTCAAGTTACTTGTGTGATAATAGGTATTTCAAAGCCTTCAAAAATAGAACATTGTTTTTGTTTCTTTTTCTCTCTTTTATGCTTGCTAGATCAACAGCCATTTCAGGTTTGCCAATGTTTAACTTTACTGAATAAATCCCTTTAATGAATATTGTGATATATATATGTATCAGTAACTATTCTCATTAACTAAATTTACAGAAAAATATTAATGGTCGCCTGGCAGTGGAAAAGAGTTATCTTTTCAATTCAGTTTGCCTCAATCTATTATTATAATTAGTTTCTCATGTGCCACAGCTTAGAAGTAGAATTAATTTGACTAAGGTACCAGTAGGTACAAAGAGACTTCTCGTAAACATGATTACCACCAGTTTTTTTTTTAACAAATCTCACTGCATACAGGTATGTTGGTAAGATCAAGAACGCCAAAAATATACAGTTAATTACACAGGAACTTGGAAATGAATGAAAGAAAATTGATTACATTCAAGTGGTTTAAATATTTCTGATGGATTAAGTGGTATATAAACTTAAGTTATTTCGTTACTTAAAAAAATCATACAGTTCAGTAAGCTGAATATTTGATTTTTTTGTTAAACCTATCACAAGATTTGGATCTAAAAAAAACTTACAAAATATGTTTAAGTGCTGAAAATAAAATTCATTTCATTATAAAATTAATCTCCTACATTAAAGAAATAAATCAAATTTTTAATAAAAATAAATATTTTACCAGATTAATGGAAAACGAATGATAAGTGCTTTTTTTAAAAAATCAGTTGAAAGTAAATAGAGCAAGAATCAGATTGTACTATTTACATCAGCATGAAATACTGAATGATCTTTTACAACTACCCTCATACACTTAGACATTAATGTGAGGAAAAAAATTTGTATAAGATATCATCATTTTAAGGTATAGGACGGGGGAAAAAATAAGTCTAAATGCAAATTTGATCTAACCTGATACAATAAGAGCCTCATTAGGCCCTACCGTCTGTACGTTACCCATACTTAAAAACGAATTTGAAAGAAATAGTTGATATCATCAGCTATGTAATTTTAAATATATCATTTTAAAATACTTAGATGCTCAAAATATATTAAAAACTTGACACATATTTGAAAAGTTTCGTATCTGACACAAACAATTTACGACCACAGAAAATGATTCAAGGCGGTTACCAGTTAAATTTAAAACGCCGGTAGATGAAAGGAATTTTTTCTTGTACGATTGGCATGACGTCATCCAAATGACGTCATTATTTCATTGCAGACAATTTGCTTAAAGGGTCATTTATACTGTAGACACGATAACGCACCTGTAATCGCCGTCAAGGGAGTATACGAATCTGATTCGTGAAACACAGCGAAAAACTAACTTTAAATGTGTTTTTCTCCCGAAGACGATCGGAGGTGCGTGAATCGCACGCAATGAAAACACAGAAAGTGCGTGTTGTTACTGTTCGATGCAGCAAGATTGGTTTCCAGGTGATCAAAAGATGACACACAAGTTCGAGAACATAAAATTGAGCACACCGAAAATTTTATGGAACGTTAGCAGTGACGACGCACAACAGTCAGTTGTCGAGAAAAGCTGTTAAAGCCCAAAAAATTAATCTACTTTTAAATACCAATCATCAGTGTCTTTTAGTCGAGCAAAAGTACTAAAAATAATGTGAAATAATTCGTTATAAAAGTATTCTATTACGAAGTGGTTAGAAGTTTTCATATTTGTCTGATCAACGTCTAATTTATAATTCTGAAGACAGAAATACCTCGTAGAAATTCTTTAACAGAAATAATTTTTTTAAATAATTAGAAAGGTAAAATAGTGGATTTTTGAAGTTTTGTTTCTTTTCTTGTTTTCTGAAAACTCTGGTCAGCTTACTCATATGGAAAGTGACTTTTTATTATAAATTTCTTGTGTGTGTTACTTCTGATTTTATTGATTTTCAATGATTTTAGATTTTTTTCGTTAACACTGTGAGTAATTACAAATTTAATATTTCATATAATTTTACAAGAGCATTGCGATTTTTGAAAAAGTGTTGCCTTCGCTCCTTAAAGGAAAATTAAGAAAGACCCATGCAAAACCAAGGAAAGCAGAAATAGCTGTGTGAAATTGCCCCAAATGACTTTGTTGTAGTTTCCGCGGGAATAATAAATTAAAGGATTTGAAAAGATTTGAAAATTAATATTTTATTGAATAAAACATTACTAATATCATCCTACCATTGGCACTCAAGTGCTCTCTGCCCCATTTTGATCACCGTTGTTAGGGAAAATGCCTGAAGGACCCTTCACTCTGGATGCGATTTTCCGCCTATGGTCGGGAGACTCATTGGCAATTTTTTCTCTGGTTCAACTGTGTGACGGAGAAAAAGGTGTTTGTTTCTCCATCAGTAGCCGCCAATCGTATAGTGTAATACATGAATGTTCATTTGGGCCAATATTGAATGAATAAAACAATTAAGTTTACAGGAAATAATGTACAAATCGTTGAATGTAAATTTAGATTTTATTAAGCAATTTAAGATTCAGACAATGGCCACTTCTTCATCAAAAAAAAAANCCAGTGATGCTTGACTTCGGTGATATGCTGGAATTGTTATGAGAAAAACCACTGCGGGACGTGTCTTTCTCTCGAAGACTATCGTTGGTGCGTGACTCGCACGCAATGAAAACACGGAAAGTACGTGTTTTTGCTGTTCGATGCAGCAAGATTGGTTTCCAGGTGATCAAAAAATAACACACAAGTTCGAGAACATAAAATTGAGCACACTGAAGAGTTTATTGAACGTTAGCAGTGACGACGCACAACAGTCAGTTGTCAAGAAAAGCTGTTAAAGCCCAAAAAATTCATCTACTTTTGAAAACCAATCATTAGTGTTTTTTAGTCGAGCAAAAGTACTAAAAATAATGTGAAATAATTCGTTATAAAAGTATTCTATTACGAAGTGGTTAGAAGCTTTCATATTTGTCTGATCAACGTCTAATTTATAATTCTGAAGACAGAAATCCCTCGTAGAAATTTTTTAACAGAAATAATTTTTTTAAATTATTAGAAAGGTAAAAAAGTGGATTTTTGAAGTTTTGTTTCTTTTCTTGTTTTCTGAAGAAGCTGGTCAGATTATTCATATGGAAAGTGACTTTTTATTATAAATTTCTTGCGTATGTTGCTTCTGATTTTATTGATTTTCTATGATTTTAGATTTTTTCATTAACACTGTGAGTAATTACAAATTTAATATTTCACATAATTTTACAAGAGCATTGCGATTTTTGAAAAGGTGTTCCTTTTGCTCCTTAAAGGAAAACTAAGAATGACCCATGCAAAACCAAAGAAAGCAGAAATAGCTGTGTGAAATTGCCCCAAATGACTTTGTTGTAGTTTCCGCGAGAATAATAAATTAAAGGATTTGAAAAGATTTGAAAATTAATATTTTATTGAATAAAACATTACTAATATCATTCCACCATAGGCACTCAAGTGCTCTTTGCCCCATTTTGATCACCGTTGTTAGGGAAAATACCTGAAGGACCCTTCACTCTGGATGCGATTTTCCGCATGTGATCGGGAGACTCATTGGCAATTTTTCTCTGGTTCATCTGCAAAAAATCGCACATAGAGAAAAGTCTTTACATCTAAGTAGGTCTTAGATGTGCATGTAGCTTCCCTCTAGTCGGGAGTTTTGAAAATAAAATTGATACGCAAGTATTCCCCCAAAGATTAAGAGAATTGACAGAACGATGTATAGCTTGCTCGAAAACACAATTTTCCTCAAAAATTTTAATAAATTTCCTCTTTTTTAAAAAATTTTTCGTAAAAGGAGCATGAATTTTATAAGTCTATGACAAAATGACACTGCAAAATAAATAAATTTGTAGATATGAATAATAATTGTAAGTGCAGTTGCTTAATTACGTTGCACTAGAGTTACACAATGGAGTATTGGCAACGGTCGGAGAAACATCTCTAAGGATGATCCATCTAAGGATAAGCCATCATGATCCATCTAAGGATAAGCCATCTCTAAGGATAAGACATCACAATTTTATCCTCTGTAGAAGAGATGACTCCCCCGCTTTGGTTGTCCAATGACCGACGTCCGAATGATTTTCAGGATGGCATGATTTTTAGGACAAATGAAGATTTTTCGTCAATAGATTCAAAGATTCGATTTCTAGGGTTTTGGATATTTGGTAACACTTCGTGATCTTCTTGTGATGTGGCTAGAGTTTAAAAATCAGGAAAGTAACTTGATATTTCATTTCATTAATTTCAGTACATGAAAGAATGTTGTTGACACCACTAACATGGCCGCACATTTAAACTAAATGGTAAAATAAAATCGAGATGTCGCCACTGGTGTGGGCTACACTTGTCTGAATTTTGTTTGAAAGCGAGTGATTAAATTGTATATGCATAGTAAAAAGCAAAAAAAAAAAAAAAATTTTTTTTTTTTAAAAATCATAAATGGACCATTTTTGTTGGATTTTTGATAATTTCACCCACAGAAAAGCAAGAGGTTCCCAATCAGACTTATCAAGTTGCATAAGAAAGCTTTATAACTTACAATGGGGCTTTACAACTTCAAGGGGCTTTATAACTTGCAGTGCTTCAAGGATTGAATGATACAGGAGCATTGCATTCACTAAAACTTGTTTAGCACCGGCAAAAGATTGCTCGGTCTTCTCCGTTCATTGAATTAATTTGTCGGAGTTCTTACCTGAGCACTAAGTTTTCTTTTTAGAACTTACAAAACATAAAAGTGGTGGCTTGGCATAGCATGGGAAAGGTGGTTAAAAAAAGCATGGGAGCTTAAATTGTAAAATTTGAGAATGGAATTTTCCTTGGAAGAATGGAATCTGGAGAATGGAATCTTGGAGTAATCCAATCATTTCAGGAACGTTACAATAAGCATTTGTTCAGATATTCGGTTCTTTTTTCTTTTTCTTCTTCTTGATTTTGGTGTCTTGCAAGGTGTTTCTACAGCAAAAATAAATGTTCTGAAGCTGTGATTTTGATTTAGACAATGTCGACTGAAATGTATTTCAAATGAGTTTAATAAAGCAGGCTTCTCGTTATGCAAAGAGAACATTGGCTAATCAGAATAAAATTTCTTAGCTGAAGATCTTCCAAAAATGAAGCGTATACCGACTGCAGCATACATCTCTATTACCTTTTGATTCCTTCAATATCTGATTTAATGCCTGCTCTCGATGATAGTGATGAAGATGAGTTAAAAATATCGGAGGATACACCAACAACTGATCAAGAGCTTCAATTTGCTAACAATAGTAATTATTGTGTTGAGAGGGATATTGTGGAAATTGTATCTAAAAATTAAAAAAAGTAAATATAATATATTTATTCCAATAGTCATCTTGTGAGTGTCGATTTTTAAAAAAATATGCTTATATTTTCTTAACCCTATTTTACAATTTTCCGCATTGTGCGTTTTTTAACGCTAGTCTGACGGGAAACGTAAAATCAGGGTTCAATTGTATTTCATTTGGCTCTGTTTCGATGGGAAGCATACGTTTTTTTTATTACTATGTTACTATATCAGCAAAAAAAAATTTCAATCTGAATTATGAACACATATGGATTGAGTGGTAAGAAACACAGCAACAGTTTATTTCAAAGAAAATTATTTTATGGTGGTGGGCATGCATTTTATACAATATGATTTAAAATATTCATGGAACAAAAATTTGCTATAGATTTATTTGTAGAGTAAAAACTAAGCATTTATATTCAAACAGTAAATAACCATCAATGGAAGAATAATTACATCAATGGTGGAACTGAAGGATCGTCAATGAAGTTAATATTTTTACAGTCTTTCAGATCTTGCTTATTGCATTCCAGATATTCCTTACTTTTCTTTGGTTCATCAGGCAGTTTCACTTTCATAGTTGTTGAACTCAGTGGTGCCATTCTGAAATAAAGTACAATAAAGCTTCAGGAGGATCGAATTATATAAATGTTTTGGCAAAAAAATTTAATAGTACTTTATTTCTGCAAGTAGTAATTTATGTAACTTTTTCTTAGCTTATAAAGAGCGCAAATAAAAATTACTTAATATTTTTTTTAACCAATCTTATTCAAACGAGTTTCTGTCACTGACAACAATACAATTATACATTTATCATACAATTTAAAAAGTACTGTCATCCATCGTAAAGGGAATTCCCTGGATAAGAAATGATACTTAATTTCCCAGGTGATGATGTTAAAAACAAAAACGTAAAAGCATGAAGATTAAAATAAGATTAAAAACTTCTAAACCTGCTTGTTGTGGAAAAACGCAAAGAAAGGGGAAAAATACTGGTTTTATTAGTGATTCTGCTTTTTACAATAATGATTCTTAACATTTTTAAATAGCTTTTTTCCCCTCCTCTTCAAAGCATTAATTTGTGCCTCCTATACGCGTACTTCAATGATTTCACTATTGATAAGGATTTCAAAGATAAGAAGGACAAAGATTGCGATGCAATTTGTGCAAAGTAAGCAATTTATATTTTAGAAGGCGTGCAAAGCAGGAAAAGAGTCTCATGCTTCTGCAAAAGAATAGCTCATTAGACATCTCAGTATGAATAATAAAGGCTTCCAAAGACCTATCAGAGAGAGTGATGTATGGTGGTATCGATTCAACTATGAAACTAAAAAATTCTTTTAAAAAAATAATTTAATGAGTAAGAAATTATGCAAAATAAAAAAATTCTATGGTTTAGACACATGTAGATAATGAATGATAACAGAAGCACAAATAAGATCTTTAAATATTGATGCATACAAACGAAGAGAACAGAAAACAGAGGGACAGATGCATGAACGGAGGTAGCGGGCTACCTGAAGTGTTTAAAAACAATGAATTGGAAAATTAAGGCATGAGGTAGACTATTTTGGAGTTGAATTGTTAAGGAGGCCATGGTCCAATGTGGGCTGTAGTGCAGGAGAGTTACTTCGTTTTGACAAGAATTCTAAAAATTGATAGATTTTGGAACAACATTCATAATATAAGGAAGTTTTATTAGATGTGTAATGCAGGAATAGAATTTCATGTTCCAGCAAATGGTTAATTAGTATCGTTTTAGTATTCGTCTCAAGTATTCTATGCCTGATTGTGGGATCAAATTGTTTGTATAACATTTCTGAAACATTTACGATACTATAGCGAATCGAACTTATAAACTGCTGAATTGCTTGTTTTACGCATATTTTTTTTGCTTGAATTTGATCTAAAATTTGATAATAATTTCCTATTGGTCAATCGAAAGCTTTTATGCAACGTTTCCAAAAACATTTAGCAGACCATTTCAAACTCTGCCTCGTGTATACAAGAAAAGCTCATCTACGGGTGGCTTTGTTAAAAAATACTTTCATTGACCAGCAAATGAAACCTTCCCTTACAATCTCATTGAAATCTCATGAACGCTCATAAACCCCACTGAAGCCTTTATTAAAATTCAGCGATTTTGCATTAAATATTTCACCTATCCTGAATATTGCTTCTTACGTTAATTGGTTGCATATTAAATAAAGAATAAATACTTCTTGAATTTTTATGACACGATAATTTCATGAATAAAAAATTAGTTAAATTTGGAATAAACCTATAAACATACAATTAGCTCTCAAAACTCTAAATGTCCACATTTTCAATCGATGGGCAGTTAAATGTATAATATGATACTGTATAACAAGAATACTCTTGAAATCAAATTTAATTTAATAACTTAAAGATTAATGTAAAGAGTATCAAGTTCGCTTTCATTTGATAAGCACATAAATGTAAGCTTCATATAATTATTCATACTTATCATGATTAAGTGTAGCATAGTGCGATCTTTTTATCAACACTCTGTAGCTATGAAAACTTTTGAAATAGTTTCGCAAAATATTTCGAGTTAGTATTTCAAATTAGCAAAAAGAAAAAAAAGTAAAGTTTATTCAATTTAACAAAATGTAAAAGAAATTTCATTTAAATTATTTTTTATTCAAATTACGTCAAATTCAATATCCCAGCAAACGTTGTCCAACATTATTTTGTTACGCTACAATTTAAATTTTCATTTCCTCAGAAATGCGAAAAATACTGTGATTTATTTACACAAAATTGTATACGTATATTTTATTGTATATGCAAAATTGTAAATTCAAAATATGCAGAATTGCATATGCAAGAATATTAAAAGAAAGTATACACACTAATAAAATAAATATGAAATTATGAAATACTTACATTTTTTTCTCGGAGTATTGATCATTATTTTTCTTATGATGACAATATTCTTCACGCTTGCCTATAATGCCATTAGCCTAAAAATATAAAAAAAATCTATACAAAAAAAGTATATGTTTGTAATATCATTAAATTTGAAAATACCATTATTTTTTTTTATTATTTGCTTTATATAAATTACATTTGTATTTATATTTTGCTTCATGAATTTTAATTTTTCAATTAAAAAAAAAAAATTTTTTTTTTTCATGAGCATAAATGTTTTGAAATTAATTTAAAAGCACTTATTTTCGCTACTAATCATATTAGTTTTGTTTTCAGACAGGCAGCAGTTACAAGCGTGTTTTTATTATGTTTGCATTGTGAGCAATTACATTATGTTTATGTCAGGTGATAGCAACTATTATTTAACAATATTATTCATAATGTTAATAAGTTTCTTATGCATAGACAAATATTTAATTATCTATATTACTCATTTATTGATATAAAATTATTCTTGTGTAAACACATTTTTAATTTCCCCATTAAAATTTATATCTCATATCGATAAAACTCGGATTGGAAAATTTTTAAGCAATTCTCGAGAATGAATCTAAATGTAAAATTTCTTGTAGATTTGTTAAAATTATAAGCAGAATGTTCGGTGAACATTGCTCTTACTATGTGTATTTTAGAACTTTTTTTTCTTCTTCTAAAATGAAGTCTAAAAAAGTAAATATTAGGGGTCGTAAATTAATATTTGCTTGAGATAAATAAGAAGGCAAAAAAAATTGCTCAAGACTTATAAAATCATATTCTATGTTAATTACATTAGATGAAATTGAGGTTATCCAAAGTAGTTTATTCAAGCAGTGGGGCATCCCGAAATTTCTTCTGGGTTGTTTTTAAAATTCAGCAGAGTTAATATCCATGAATTTTCAATGTATGATAATTTAAAATATGAAATCTTTCACGCAATAAACTACTTTCAGATATAATTATTGAAAATACCTCTAAAGGGAGATAAGAAGAGGAGCAAGGATGTTCTTAACAAATTTACTAAAAACGTAAAACATCCTTTAAACAATATTTTTTATTTAAAAATTTATATATTTAAGAATCTAGTCTATTTATCAAATTGACACTGAGTTTCATCTGAGTAATAAATTGGTTTTGATATTATTACATAACCCCTCTGTAATTTCCTTATTTTTGATCAGGCCTACACAAAATATATATATTAAAGGGTGTGATTAAGGAAAACGCTGTAGTTTTTCTACTTCATCCAAAAAGCATGTGGTCGTAAACTGGTATTTGTATGCAGTTACAAACTTATTGCAACTGCAAGTATTGCAAAAAAGTTTTCTAGATATTAAAAATCATATTCCATTTCTGTAATAGGCCTAATTGAGATTATAAAAAAAAAAGTAGTTTATTCATTGGATGGAACTAAATTGGAAAGTAGAGATAAATATTAGTAACATAATACTTATTATCACACTAGAAATAAATTGGTTTTGATATTTTTTCATAATATTTTTGTTTTTCATTTTTTTTAACTAGGACTTTAGATATAGAGTAAAGGATGTGATTTTAGAACACTCTGTAATTTTTTTGCATTGTAGAAAACGGAAAATATCATTGCATGTTAAACGAAGCATGTTTCGGTACTGTTACAATAAATATATAATGAGGAGATGAATATAGTTATTGGGCAGCTAATTTTTAAATATCGTGAAAAGTTTCGCTTTGTTTAAAAAACTAACGAGTGTTTTCAAAATCACATTAAATTCTGCAAGGTATAACTAATACACAAAGACAAAAAGAACACGTCGTTATTTTTTCTTAAAAAAAATTAAAAATCTTACTTTAGGCATTGTTATGAGTAAGTGACCAGTACTTAGTGATCTTTGAGATATGCTTAAATCAGGATTGACCTCTTGGGGTAAAAGCAGTTGGAAGTATTTTCCTCTCACTGTGATTCTAATGTACGTAGGTTGGACATCAACCGCTATTAACGAAGTATCCAGATACCTTAGGAATTAAGAAAAGAATATTCATTTTTGACCAAGAATAAAAAAAAAAAACTAAATGTGGCTCTTTTCAGATATTTTATTTAATGATAATTCTTTTTATGCAGAAGCTCTGAATAACGAAGCATATTGTGAGTTTCATAAATTTTAACTATATATATATGCTCTTCTTGCAAAGCTTTTGTAAATTTTACCCATTTGTAGTAATTTCATGCAATTGTATAGCATATATATATATAAACACACAAAATACAATTTAAGACACAAATGCAATAATAATGAAAATTGAAATTTAAAAGTATAAAATACATAATTCCAAGTGTATCATGGATTCAAAGTTAGAATATTTTGCACCTGTCAAAAACAATGATTTATCATTCAGTGCTTGGTCGGATACATCTATGAGGAGTGACTTATGAGCCATAGGTTCGCTAACCCAGATAAGCTTCACAATTTTCTTCCTTTTTGTGTGTGCAGTAATTTCAGATGTAAGACGTGTTCTAATTTTGATCCTCAACAAATTACTGACAACAATTTGACTAATGCAGCTCATCAAGCAACTAATATTATTTATATGATTTCTTGTAAAAATTTTTAAATTTTATTGGGAATAACTTTAAACATATTGTTACCGGTGATGTTAATATTGTTAAGAATAAGAACTCCAAAACTCTGGCGAAATCTAATGAATAATTACTGATAGACAAATTTATGTTAAAACTCTTTTCTATTTCTTCAGTCAAATCCAAAAAGTTTTGACGTTTCCTTGCCCAATATTTATTTGTTAGATAGCGTTTTTGTTATTTCATCGTATAAACATTCATTTGATATCTCTTGTTGTTATTGTTATTGTTAATTTACGTCGCACTAGAGCTGCACAATGGGCTATTGAAGACGGTCTGGGAAACATCCCGGAGGATGATCCGAAGACATGCCATCACAATTTTGATCCTCTGCGGAGGGGATGGCACCCCCGCTTCGGTAGACTGACGACCTGCGCGTGAGGTCGAGCACTTTGCGGTAGCACAGTTTAACGAGGACCAATACCGCACACCCTCGGTCCCTACGCAGACTGATCCAAGTGGTCACCCACCCGCACACTGCCCGCAGCCAGTGATGCTTGACTTCGGTCATCTGCTGGGAAGCGTGTCTTAACGATCAGTCCACTGCGGGACTTGATATCTCTAATGTGCATAATGTATTTCACTTAACTAGAAGGCTCCAACGGCTGCTCACTCCACTCCCTAAACTCTTTTATTGCTTCTCATTCATCATTGTTTATTTCTTCTTGAACGTAAATATTTTTTACAGAAACACTGAATATTTTGGTTTCAAAATATACAATTATTGTAGCTTTATGTAAGAACATTTTGAAAACAACCTATGGAATACATGTTGCGAGATTCAATAAAAGGAAAGAAATGCGAAGTAATTTTATTCGATGAGACTAGAAATAATTCAACTAGGGAATTTATCACTATTTATTATTTAATTTTATGAATGCTGAGATTTATATCTGGCAATATGCACTCCTTCGCTCTTACTCTTTTTTTCTACTTTTGATTGATATCTACTCGACTAGTTACAAAATAAAGATCTTCTTCTTCTCATTGGCACGACAGTCCAGGATGGGCTTTGGCCTTCTCAACAAGCCTATGACCAGACATTCTTCCCTTAGTCAAGATTCTCCAGTTTATTATCTTTGAAACTTGTAGGTCCTTTTCAAGGCAGTCTAAAAACCTTAGGTTTGGCCGTCCTCTTTTTCTTGTACCTGTTGGCCTGGCACTGAAAACTTTTTTGGTTGTCCTGCTATCCTCCATTCTTATAATGTGGCTGCCCATTTAATCCTTTGAATTTTGATAAATTTAATGACATCAGGTTCTTTATATGCTTTGTAAAGTTCCGTGTTTGATCTTCTAAACCAGGTACCATCTTTACCTATTCCACCAAAAAAGCTTCTCAGTATTTTTCTCTCAAATCTAGCTATCATATTTTCAAAATAAAGATCTAGTGAGGGAAAAACAATCTTTCTGACAACAATGGATGAATAGTCAATATTTAAAGTAAAAAAGCTGAAAAAAAAATGCGAAAGAGCACTTAAATGTGCAATAGCTTTCAAACAAATAGAAATTTCAAAAAAAAAAAAAAAAGTTAAAATGTTTGATACTTCAAGTTTCATCATCAAATTTCAATCAGTGCATCAAATTTAAACTTTGTAGTTGCATTTCAGAGGACAGTAGATCGACTAATAATGGCTTATTTTTACATTTATTAATTCTCGAACTAGTTGTATTGAAATTTCTTTTTCTGTCGTTATTCCAATACTTTTTTCTAACTTCGTATTTTAAGTTTCTACGTATTATATTTTTTGGGTAGCCAAATGAAATGTAACGTTAAGTTGAACACTCAAAATGGCCCTTACAATTTATTCGTAACATAGAGAGATTAATATAAAGGATTCTAAAATGCATACATTAGGAACGGTCATTACAGATCACCTTGTGTGTGAAACAGTTCAAATCTGGCTGGGACATGTCATTTAATTGAATTCTATAACATTTTAAAGAGGTTTACGAATAATAATAAAATAAATTGTATACTTGTATACAGCCAAATCCAATTTATAGCAGTTATTTTCTTCATCATCAGCAAACTCAAAATTAAGTCTGAAAAAAAAGGTGAAAAAAAATGTTTACGCAATACAGAGTAAACTAACTAAAACTAAATTTGAATAATAATAAAAAAAAAATGAATACGTTATTTAAACACTAACACCCTATTTTGCGGAAGAAATTAAAATTCTATTACGGCGCTTTATCGGTCATATATTATGATGGATAGAGATAGAATTCCTAGAGTCGCCCTCAATTAAGCACCAGAGGGAAAAAGATGAAGAGGAAGTCCGAAACTAACGTGGCTCAGGATGATGGAGAGAGGGAGAGGAACGAGGATGGACCAGTTGGAGGGAAGCAAAAGTGGCTGCGCCTATCAGGAGAGAATGAAGAATAAGACTCAGTGCCTTATATGGCACTGGGCATGAAAAGAAATGATTTTGAAGCTTGATAACAACAGTTCAAATCATATTATTAACATTGTTAACTATGCATGTAACATTATTTTTAATGCGTATTTTTCTATATAGTTATTTATTAGTCATATAAAATTAATCCATTATAAGCAAGTTTGAAACTATGAGCTGAAGTAAATAAATAAAAGAATGGAATGATTTGCGAATTTTTTCATGAGGTAACTCAATGCTCTTCGCTGGTATGACTGACATATATGAACTTTGAGATTGATTTCTTCTCACGTTAGAGACTGTATTAAAATCTATGAAAACTAATAATTTTTTTTCTAAAAAATGAAAGAAAAAGAAGATTAATTTAATATATATTTTTTAAATTGATTAGTTTCGAAACAAACAATTTTTAAATTTAGGCATGATTGCAAGAAAATTATCTAAACTGTAGTTAATTGACAGCTGAGAGAAATCAATTAAAAAATGAAAAAACATAAAAAAGACGCACACATTTTTCGTCTTTTATTAATATTATGTTTATTCATTTGCAATCAAATCTATTTTTAAATTGTTAACTGTGCTTTCAAGCAAGCAATTTTAATCAGAGATTCAAATAAAAAAAATGTTTAATAGTGTTATAGAAATTGAGACAAAATAAATTGTATCATAAATTTTTATTATTTTATTATTCATTACCTTTAATTATTTTGTGTAAATCAATATACATATATTTCATTATTAGTATTATAAATATAAGGATCTTTCTTATTAAGAGGATGTTTATAGTTGGTTTCATTAATCTCATTAGTAAGAGATTCCAGTCAATCCCTTTTAGAATCCCTTAGTCAATCCCCCCCTTAATATCATTAGTTTTATCTTTTTTGTAATTTTTCGTAATAAATACAAAAATAAAATTAAAAAAAAGGAGCAAGAAAAATTATTATACATAGATATGTAGGCGTATTTAAGTAATATTTTACTAACTTGAGTCTGTAGTTAGAACTTAATGAAATGCTAAAAGAAAGTTAATCCAAAAAATGACAACTACTAAAAGGGATTCAAAATTATAAAAGGCTAATATATATTTTTATATACTTGTGTTTATTTGTTTATCCTTAGAAATATAGTTCCCTCATAGAAATTAGAAGTTCTTTATATTTTAAAGTTAACTTTCTTCCTATATTATGTTTTTCAAATAATTTTTAAAAACATAGTAATATATGCTGTGAGTACCCATGCTTAGAATTTTTTTTATAGCATGCAAAAAAAAATATAAAAAAATCATTTATTAATCATTATTGTTTTAATAAAAGTTTTAAATATACTTACTTTGCTTCATTGACATTTAAAATTCTTCCATCATTTGTCATTAGTCGCCGTGTAGGTTTCAGTACTTTTATTTCCCTATCAAAAAAAAGTTAATAAGAATATTCAGAGATGTGATAAGCATGTATTGTAGATTTTTTCTATTATTATATAGCCTAATATATATTTGAATTATATATTAGCCATAAAAACAAAATTGAGTAGGTAATTTAAGAAAAGGAAATTCATTCTAAATAGCTAATTCTATATGTGTAAAAAAGGATATACAAATAAAGATTCTTAGTCTCTTGAGATATTCTAATTTTCTGGAGATTCTTAGAGTTAAAAATAGGGATTTTTAGTGGAGATTAGTTATTGGAAGGGTATAGACTAGTGGTTTCAAATTGGCGGCCCGCCAAATTTCTTTTGTGTCCCGCGAACTAAAATATATTGGTTGTCATTTTTTTTGCGGACAATTTTCGTAAGAGATCTATGTGGGATTAAAATACCTTTCTCGTTAATAAAAACCTAATTTCTTCGTTTCTGTGAAATTTATCATACCAATGGGAAAAAATTTTTTTTTCTCAGGTTTTGCATCCAAGAAAATATTTATTCAAATGCAAAAATAATAGTGTATCTTTTTTATTTAACGTTTTTGAATTTTGTGAATATAATTTAGCATGTGTGTATCAGAAATTTTCTCGAAGAAATTTTCCGATTTAACTTTTTGAAAAAACTCACTTTGGACGAAAATATTTACACACGCATTTGTAAATTTTAAATTTAAAATATAAATATGTATTCTCTGGTGGTTGCAGCAGACAAAACTCAATTTTGTCATTGAGCATTTTGTGTGCTATTATGTAAGTTTTAATACCAACCTTTTTAAAATTTTCTATCTTAACAATTAGATATCTGTTGCACAATACATGGGAATCTTTGGGAATCTACATACATGGGAATCTGTTGTTTAATACATGGGTGCACATTAAAGTTAAGTTATTGTAACCCGAATTTCTTAATATGCAATTAAATATTTTTAATATATNTTTGCTTAATTTCATTGAATATTTTTAAAGTTATCGCAAAAAAACGTAAGGAGACAAAAAACATATTTTTTATAAAAATGTTTAAATGTCCATAAATATTTAAGCTAAACTTATAAAGTATTGAGCAATTATTGCATATAATGAAAGAAGCAATAAAGTTGTAACTAGCTATTGATTTATTGCGATAGTTTTTTGACATAGGGTGTTCAATAACAATTTTTTCCCTTTGTAATTTATTGCTGGTTTTTCAAACCTAGAAAAGATTTAAACTTTATTGATATGTATGAGAAATCGCATGATCTAAACCTTTCTGAAGTTATAAAATCATTCTTTAGTATTTCATGAGAAATAAAAAAAAATGTATTAGTATAGAAGTGTTTCTATTATTTTGCCCACACCATGTAAATAGTTAAACAAATTATTAAAAAAAAGTAGCAATTAAAAAGATTATAAACCATATAAGAATTTAATGGTAATGCAACAACTAAGAACATCAAGACTTCTGGAGTCCGCTACATACTGTTCCGACGATACCATTCGAAAACAGACTGAAAAGCTTCATCTTTTCACATCTTATGAGAAGAGGGGAGAGTTATGAACTGTATTAATATAAAAAATTCAACAGTTAAACAATTAACAACCATTAACTTTAAACGATAAACTTTTCAATAGTTGTAGAAATTTTGAGCATGCAAAAAACATTCCATGTCATGAAAAAAACCTATTCTTATTCGTTCTTTTGTAGCTAAGCTTTTGTATTGTTTTATTTGTCGGTACAAACTTTTTAATAGTGAAAAAAAGAAGAAAAGATATTTCAGATTTTATTCGGAGACACTGCATATTTTTTTTATTTTACTTTTTGGTCAAATTGTTAAGTAATTCCTATTTTTTACGCTTTTGTTTTCCAGTTGGTATTACGGATGAATGGTTAAATTAGATTCTGTTTCCATAATAGCGTGTTAACCAATTTCATTCTCACTTACATTTTATTTCTGAGTGAAAAAAATGTATCCTTTTGTATCTCTATCTCACCTTAATGTCTTTTATCATTTATCTATATGTAACCTTTACACCTATCCCTAGAGAAGCATGCACTTTTGGTTGGGAAATGGGGAACAAAATGAAATATATTATAGCTTACCCTTCCGTTTTTTTGCGTGAGTCTCGTAAGTGTTTATACATTTCTATTCGACACTGAGGAGTATAAGCAGTTTTCTCTTTCCAAAAACTGAAGAAAAAAAATTTAATTATACAAATATATCATATTAAGATTTTGGCAAACACCACCTAGTATTTGATAAAACATCCAAACATTCCTCATTCAAACATTCATACGAATATCACAATATAATTAGGTATACGTTGTATAATATTAATTTAGTTACACAGATATCATGTTAAGGTTCTGCCAAACATGTCACAGTATTTGATAAAACATTTTAAATCCTGTGCATTGAGAAACATTTTAAGATATTAGATCTGACGGAAAGTTTTGGCGTCATTAAAAATGACATATCAAATAATATAACGTTACAAATGAATAAAACTTATCATCTGAAAGATTGAGTTAAATAACAATACAGTTTTATCTAAACATTCATAAGAATATAAATATGATACTTCCTTATAAATATTAGTGTGAGTCACGGAAAATTTGAGTTGAATTATAAGCACAAATTGTGTGCACCACGAGTTTTTAAAACAGAAACAAAAGAATCAAGTATTGTAGAATATAATTAGATCAAAGTGGTGTTCAATGTCAGGTTCATTTTGCTCATTTACAGAAACTATCAAGTGTCCGAAAAAAAATTGAATTTTTTTATTTAAATGTAGATAATTAAATATATATCTCACATTAAAAGAAGTAAAACAGATAATTTATTTAAAAAATAATTCGTTAAGTTAGGTAATTATTATTATTTTTGATTTCATATTGATGTTTTGAAACATATTAAATTAAAATCAGTTTGACGCTTAAAAAATGGATTATTTAAAAGTATACCAATGTGGCGTAACTACCACTACGAATATTAAACATCAATTCACTAGTATATAAAGCATGCTAACTTGATTCAATCTTGAGGTACATTTTGATAGATAAAAGTTGGCATTGTCATATTTGAATTATATATTAGCCATAAATANTTGATAACACACCCAAACATTCCTCATTCAAACATTCATACGAATATCACTATATAATTAGGTATACGTTGTATAATATTAATTTAGTTACACAGATATCATGTTAAGGTTCTGCCAAACATGTCATAGTATTTGATAAAACATTTTAAATCCTGTGCATTGAGAAACATTTTAAGATATTAGATCTGACGGAAAGTTTTGGCGTCATTAAAAATGACATATCAAATAATATTTCGTTACAAATGAATAAAACTTATCATCTGAAAGATTGAGTTAAATAACAATACAGTTTTATCTAAACATTCATAAGAATATAAATATGATACTTCCTTATAAATATTAGTGTGAGTCACGGAAAATTTGAGTTAAATTATAAGCACAAATTGTGTGCACCACGAGTTTTTAAAACAGAAACAAAAGAATCTAGTATTGTAGAACATAATTAGATCAAAGTGGTGTTCATGCAATGTCAGGTTCATTTTGCTCATTTACAGAAACTATCAAATGTCCGAAAAAAAATTGAATTTTTTTATTTAAATGTAGATAATTAAATATATATCTCACATTAAAAGAAGTAAAACAGATAATTTATTTAAAAAAGAATTCGTTAAGTTAGGTAATTATAATTATTTTTGATTTCATATTGATGTTCTCAAACATATTAAATTAAAATCAGTTTGACACTTAAAAAATGGATTATTTAAAAGTATACCAGTGGGGCGTAACTACCACTACGAATATTAAACATCAATTCACTGGTATATAAGACATGCTAACTTGATTCAATATTGAGGTACCTTTTGATAGATAAAAGTTGGCATTGTCAAATGCTTTTCCTTCCACATCAGTAAATGAGATTAGGAGACAATTCCCAGTCAGCTCAAGTTTTTTTAAATTTAACCATTCCACACAATTTAAATATAGATTTCTCTTCTTATAACTCTTATATCTTTTAAAGTCCTTTGTAACAACATAAACGTAACGGTTATTTAAGAATTACATTTTGTTTTAAGAACATCTTTTCAAATGAATAGATAAAAAAAAAACTGTCATTCGCTGCAACTTAGATTATAATTAAAATATTATAAATAAGCTTCATTATTGCAAAATTTGCTTGTAAAGGTGAATTTTACTACCGATATTTATTATTATAAGAAGTTTGAAAGTTCCATTTTTCTATAGTAAATAGTGCGATTACATATAAATTTTTATAGGTAATAAGCAATTCTGTAGATATATTGTTCATTAAATTATTTGAGGGATGTTTTTTTCTGTTTATTGAAATTTTGGAAATTAAAAATTAAATGCTTTTTCATGCAATAATCAGTATTTAAAATTTATACAAAATGAAATCTTTGAAAATTTACTCATCGCCAGTGATTTTTCTTTTTACACAATCATTGGAATTTTGCAGACTTTCCAATATATCATCACTGTTCAAAGGTACCTTTAAAAAAGTCAAAATCTTTTTAATACAAAGCATAACACTGTAAATAATTGTATTTCAAAAGAGATACAGTTTTTTATTGCTTTATAACAAGATAAAAAATTACAGTTGTGCAATAATATTTAAAAAAAAATCAAATTGAATTAAGTAAAAAATAGAAAAAATATTAATAGTATACTATTTCTTATACGGATACGGTTATTCAATTTAGCTATACAGTGGCTCACAAGAGAATTTTTGAATCATATTATAAATAAAATTTGACTACAAATTTGGTTGAACATAAAATTTATTCACAAAGAGTTAAAACACACACACACACACACAAAAAAANAAAAAAAAAAAAAAAAAAAAAAAAGCGCAATTTAATACATAAGTAAGAAAATGAAAAACGATATGAAATAAAAAAAAGTGACACTGAATTTTCTCAACAAAAGGTATTTATTTCATGAAAAATAATTAAATAACTGTAAAACGACTTACGTTTTTCAAATAGTTTTTCTGTTGCTCTAATATATCACGTCGAACTATATGGAAATTCTAAGAGAATAAATATTTTTAAGAAATAGTTTAATGTAAATCAAAATATAATCCACTAGAATATTATTTAAATATTATGAGGGAATACTTGATGATTTAAATACAAATGTACCGAACACAAAACAAAAATAAGACCACCTGAATAATGTTTAATCAAATGATTGCACTTTCACGTATTAAGGTGCACTCTTAATGATTCGACAGACTACGTTGTAAAAAATTCCGGATTAAATTCCGTTAAACAGTACCTTCACCAGTACTTTTTACTGTAAAATTCATTTTTACCGAATCATGTCACGGCATAAAAAATCTTTCATACCTTAATTTTCACAGAAGTAATAACCGTAAAATCACTGAATCACTTTAATTAAATAAATATTACTCTAGAAATTATAGTATAATAATTGTACTATAAAAATATATTTTTACGATAAATTGAAGTTTACGGATAGGATGCACCCAAAGTACCGGTACTTAATACTATAATTTGATCCAGAATTTACTGCAGTGTAATCGCAAATATACTAAATAAAAACGAAAAAAAAAATACAAAACATTATTTTTTTCTAAATAAACGTGTCTATTTTCAAAGGATTTATGTAAATTTCTTTGTCGTATTCAATAAAGAATAGTTCAGTGAATATAAACACAAAACTTCCTTTTTCATTTATTTTCAGATAAGACATAGAAAATAAGGTTTCGAAACCTGGATACAGGATTTATGAATCCCATGGCAAAATTCCTTGCGACACTCCTTTCTAAAAACATTTTAAGTCTTATTTTCTTACTTTTGTTTTGATGTATTTTTCGAAACAATTGTGTACCTTTGATTCTTAAAAACTTAATTTTCAATTTAATCCATTTGAATGATATAGAACTTCATTACCGCTCAAATGCGACTACTGAAAAAAATAAGTTAATTATTAGTTTTATTCAGAAAATAATTGTAAAATTAAATATAAATTTGTGAGTTCGTGACATTTAAAAGCTGGGAAACATAAAATTAGATAGGAAACATAATAGTTACCTGCATTGCTAGAATTCGTTCAGATTTCCTTATTTTTTCTCCATCTAGAAACTGAAAAACTTATTATAATTATTGTTGAAACTAAGAAAACATGAAAAGCAAAAATAAATGAGCACTAAGGGAAAGTCAGTATATTATTATTTGTATATTAAATGAATACGCAGTTAATAATATAATTTGTATTTAATTTATCTACATATTTACAAATATAAATAGTAATACACGTAAAAAATAAGTTTTTATTGAAATAACCTACATAAGCATATTTGAATTAATTTCATGAAGTGCGCTGTTATAACAAGCTTAATTTTATTTTCATGTTTTTAGATTTTAAACATCGATATTATTAGCTGCATTCATCAAAAAATTTTTTAAAAATCAATTTATTATATTCGAAAACATTTTCCCGTTTCCATTCATTTTTGTATATTAAAAAGATTTATGAATTTTTTTTTGAATTTTTAACCTTTGTACAGTGAGCAAAAGAAAAAAAAAAGCCATTATGAATAACTTCTGATCTATTAATCAGATCTTCACGATCCAGTACCCAATCTTAATGGCTCGATTGGGTAATTTCAAATATGCTAAGCAATTTGGCTAGATGATATTTTGTGTTTCGAAATTAGGCATAAAATGTATTTTCATTGAATAAACATACCTTTTTTTGACGGATTCAGATTTCTGACCCCATAATATCGAGGGAAGCTGCAATCTGAGTAATATGGTTCCAATAGTTTGGTCACGAGAGCTGTTCAAATTTTGGACCCTTTAGTTTTACTTTTTGGTAGTTCACCATATTTTGATAACTTTTCAATCAAATTGCAAACATTTTTGCACACATTTATAAAATTCGTTTATCCAAAGAAAATTTCAAGCAAAAAATAACTTTTAGTAAATATTTATAATTTTTTTATTAATTGCCGAAATTATTTTTAATCGAAAGGTATAAATTTTTTTACATTATTTTAAACTATGTAATTTTTTATGGCGAAATATAAAATTTGAGCGAAATCGGCTGAATAGTTCCTGAGAAATCGAATTTTAAATATCTATTTTAAAATTCCATTTCTCAGGAACCATTCAATCGATCTTGCAGAGTTTTTTACCAGTTTTATCCTAATTAAAATACCCATTTCTCAATGTTGTATTAACTTATCAGAACTAATCAAATGATTTAAGAAACCCATATTTTATTGTCTTCTGTGGGAGTTTTTCATTTTCAATGTAATCAATAAAAATGATTATGGTAGATCTTGCTTCCTAGCTTTAATGTCTTGTTTATTAGCCTTTTATGAAACAGTATGAACAAATAAAACCGTGCCCTTTCCTTTAGGATCCACTAGGATACATAAAATGCAAATAACTTATCAAAATTTACTTAAAACTAATATTTTACTGTATAATATTTGAATTTATTTTTTTGCTATATTAAAGACGAAATTTGTGCGTTTAAAACTTTAAAGAAAATTTGATATTTACCATTAATTGCGGTAGCATGGTTATTACATAATCACGATATCCATCATATTCCGAACAAGGATTTCCGGTTAAGTATCTAGAAACGAAATATGACTAAAAATATTAAAACATTTAAAATCAATAGTATAAAGTTTAGTAATAATTGATATAATGTTCTGCTCACCAGTGTCGGGTGTCCGAGTATTTCCCAATTATTTTAATTTAAAAAAAAATTGAAAATTCGTTAAGAAAAAATAACATGCTTTACATACTATACTGTTTAATATTATTTAATTTATTACTTAATATTAAACAGCATAACATATTATTTAAAGATAACATTAAAGATACAACAATATGCATTCAGAATTCCATATTTTTCTCATATTCACATTTTTTTCATATTTTAATAAAATTCAAGGCATTTAATGCAGTTAAAATAAAAATATAAAGAATTTAAATTAATAGTTACATTTTATTGAAATTCGCACGAGACTAAAATAACATTAAGAAAAGAAGAAAATATTATTTTACAGAGCCCGGGTTATTTTTCAAAAACAGAAAACATCTGAAATTTTTTTAAAATAAAAGTAAGTACTCGAATTACCATTTATAAATTTTTTTACTGCAATTGGAATGTCTCTTGACCACAAAATTTAAAAACTGTGTGCTTTCTGTTTTGGAGAATAACATAAATGAATAACTAAATAAAGCATTTCCTTATGTTCCCCTCTGTTACCCAATGTTCAAAAGTGCCAAGAAATTAAGTTACCTGAAATAGTAAACAACTTACACTCTAAATAAATGATCCCAAGAAACTGAAGCGGTAAGATATTACCTAATTAAAAACTTCATTCTCTTCGAAGATGTATAAAAAGGAAATAACAGTCGACATGTTTCAAGAGCTCAAATATAGGCACTCATTTTCAAGACTTCCCAGACGGGAACGGGAAGAAACAAAAGTGGTTTGAAAAATCGGACGTAAAGTTGCCAATTAAAATTGGAAAAATAATAGCAAGAAACAAAACCAGAAAAACCACAGTGGCCGAAAGAGACACCCTGTGTTTTTAAGAGGGTAAAACGTCCCCACAAATGAATTTACGTAAAGAAATCAAATGCCACATTAGAGTGAAATAAAATAAAAGTGCTTAAAGTGCTATATATAACATTGAAACACTTTTCTGTTAATTTAGAAGTATTTAACTTACAGCTCTTCTAAGTTGTAGTTTTCTTGAAGGTTTTCAATAGAAGTCAACTCTCCAATAAAATTTACTGTAAAATCCAATTTTTTCAGAGACTCACAGCCTAGAAAATAAAACTTAGTAATTAATAGTAGTGACAGTCAATTCTACTTGCAGACATGAGAATATTAAAAATTGGATTCTTAATCGTCACAAAGCTCCTGTTAAGATTTGATTACACAAGCTAGTTGGAAAGTGGTCGAAATTTCAATTGGCGACAAATTTTATTTGACAATAGTTAATACAAAATCAGCTTAGGATAACAATTTCCTTTCAATAAAATTGTATTAATCTATCTCTTTCATCACTAGAAATGACATTGAAATTTGTTGAAAGCCGCATTCTTAGGTTTGGTTTGGTTAAGGTTTGCATTCTTAGATGGCACAAAGCACCATTTAAGATTTGATTGCACTTATTAATCGGAAAGTGGTCGAAATTTCAAAGGACGATTAATTCTATCTGGCAATAAATAAAAATACTATTGGAATTACCTCCTTTAAAATCGTGTCAGTATTTTTTCATTCTATCATAAAATGGCAATAAGATTTGTTGGTATAGTTCTGATTAAAATTTATATTGTAATCAGACAGAGAGCTAAAGTTGAATTCTGCAGTTAATATTAAGCGATTGAAATATGGATAGGCGATAAACGAATGAAATTTAGGTAAACAATAAACGAATGAAACTTAGGTAAATGATAAACGAATGAAACGAGGAAACTTATGATGCCATATAGCTTCAGTTGAGATTCGGAAAGTGGTCGGAATATTGTTGGACGATAAATTTGATTTGGTGATCAGATTACATTGATTTTATGTTTATTATTAATATATTGTGATTTGTAATTCTTATGATATTTAACAAATAAGGAAATTTTTTGGGTGAATTTGCATACATTTTTGAGCTTGAATTTCGAACTGTATTGAAATAGCGAAAATGAACACACTCAAAATCCAAAAAGTAAAAAGATGGAAATAAATTTAGTTTTCAAGCTCGCAGGTACAATTTTTATCAATTATAACCTTAAATTTCTACAAATACAAATAATTATTACTTAAATTTTGTTATGTGTACGAATGTAATTGCTAATTTAAATAGCAATACCAGATTTTACGTTTTGGGCACATTCAAAACAAATATTTTTTAACTAACTCGAACAATTAAAATTAATGTCAAAAATCATAAAATTTTTTAAAAAGTATTGAGGAAAAATAAATAAAATGACGTACCTTCTAAATTTTCTATTCTGGTTANATTCTTGCCAAACGATCGCCAAATAGCAACATTGTTCAGGATTGCTCACAACCTTCTCCCTAAAATAGAGAAATAGTATCGTCGCATACCCCGTGATGAAGGCGGAGCCAAGTGCCAACTCCTGGTGAACGAGCTATAATCGGAAAGTGGTTGGAATCTTGATGGACGATAGATCTTATTTGGTGATAAGATGACATTGATGTTATGTTTATTATTAATATATTGTGATATGTAATTCTTATGGTAGCTAACAAGGGGGGAAACTTTTTTGGTAAATTCTCATACATTTTTTGGCTTGAATTTTGAACTGTATTGAAATAGCGAAAAAAAAAACACACTCAAAATCCAAAAAGTAAAAAAAAAAAAAACTAAACTTAGCGGCGCGACAGCCCATAGAGGACCAAGGCCTACTGTGCCCATCTCAGTTTTCCTGACCTTTGGGCTCTGGGGTGCAGGAGCAGATGTTCCGGTTAGGTGGTCAGCCGAACGCGAAACCCCCAGTGTTTAGTTCCCAAGCATGCTTGATATTCATTTATCGACCCACTGAAGGGATGAAAGGCTGAGTCAACCTTGCTCGGCCCTAGGATAGAACCAGGGACCTGTGACACGACAGCGCGAAGAGCTACCGCTCAGCCACCGGGCGTCCAAAAAGTAAAAAGGTGTAAATAAATTTAGTTTTCAAATTCACCCATACAATTTTTATCAGTTACCACTTCAATTTTTTGCAAATACAATTAATTATTATTTATATTTTGCTATGCGTACGAATGTAATTGCTAATTATAATAGCAATACCAGATTTTACGTTTTGGGCACATTCAAAACAAATATTTTTAAACTAACTCGAACATTTAAAATTAATATCAAAAATCATGAAACTTTTTAAAAAGTATTGATGAAAAATAAATAAACCGACGTACCTTCTAAATTTTCAATTCTGGTAATATTATTTAAAGTGAAATTCACATATTCCAGTTTTTTTAGTCGATTAAGGTTTTCTGTAAGAAGAAATGTTAAAAATATGAGACTTTATACACAATAACAAGCTTAAATTATTCAATAGTTATGCTATTATACCATACTGTATAAATATTATTACCAGAAAAAACTAGCCTCGAGTAATATATCAGAAAATCTATAATTCAAAATTATTAACCTCTTAAAATTGTAACAAATGATAACCATGTACTGTATTTTTGAATATATCTATGTGTATGATTAGTTAACTACTAGATCAACATGGACATCTCCATTGCTGCCAAATTATAGGGTTTTCGGAGAAAATTTTTCTTAATGGTTGAGACATTTAAATTTTATTGAGCAACTTAGGGTTTTCAAAGTTTCATTATTAATAACAATTTAAACATATGTATAAACGATGTTCCGTTGTGGCCATATTTAATGCATTTTTTAATAATATTTGTCAAAAATAAAATAAAAAAAGTATGCACATTTAATATCTTAAATTAATATTCAAGATTCAGTACGGAAAAAAGGAAAACTACAGGCATCAAAATCTGTTTAATTTCTGGAAAAAGCAGAGAGGAGTTGAAAGGTGAATATTAGAAACACCTCCTAATTTCCGTTTCTAATTAAACACAATTTGATGTTTCCAGTTCTACAGTAATACACTAATTAATAAAATTTCAATGATATTAAGCGTTCATTGATACATGCACTTGAAATTTCTGAAAAACTGGCCCTTTTTCAGTTCAATATATATTTTAACGTTTCATATTAAATAAAAATAAAGACCTTTGATTTGGGTTAAAAACGAAATAAAAACTAGCTAATAATTGGTACAAATGGGATTTGCAGAATATATCAGCACACATAAATCTTTCTTTTATGAAAATAATACCAAATCTTAATCAATCTAATTTAAGTAAACCTCATTTTTGTAAAGTAAATGAAAAACAATTTAATTCGATGTTTCTCAAATTATAACGTTACATTTTGATTTTGGTGATAATTTTCAAAATCGCGCGAAAAGAAGTACCGCATTTGGGATTTTACCTAAAAATTAATAAAATCTGTATAATTCGTAGGCTTATATAAATAATCTTTTATAGAAACTAGAGTTCCTAAGCCTAGGAGCCCTAATTGAAACTTCTTGAATAATACATATACATAAATAAACATAGCGTTTAATTTGGAAATAAATGGAAATGGGTGCCTAATTTATGCAAAAGCTGCTGTTAATTTTAAAACCTATTACTTTATAAATGCTTTGAAATAGATAAACAGAATTTCCACTCATAATTTTTTACCTTTAAGATCCCATCTTCTATAAATTTTAGTTCGATCTTACCGATCGACTACTTTGGATAACTTTCTTGTTATTTAAAATGCGAGATTTTTTTAAAAAATAATTATTTTTGTCTTCAATCAAATTTTAATGTATTACGTTGTAATATTGGGAGTACAAATTAGTTCAGTCCGTATTCAAAAGATGGCTCTGGCTGTTATGAATGTTTCGTAGTGACAGCAGGTTTCGGTGGTTTCAGAGAGGTTAGACATCTGTCAATAATATTCAGTTTATATCGCTTTGACTTTCATACAAAAACCCTGTTTTATACTTTGTTGCATATGTCAAATTTTGTGGTAACTAAGCAGCATTTGTTGAAGGTTTTATGTTTCTGCCTTAATTACAAGAGAAGTTCAGCTGAAGTTGCTGAAGCGCATCGTATGCTTGTAGAATTTAATGGTGACTATGCTCAAACTGATAAATCATGTAGGGAATGGTTTCGATGCTTCAAGAATGGTGAATGGTGAATGAAAAATGGTAAATGGCGAATGAAGAATGGTAAATGGTGAATGAAGAATGGTGAATGGTGTTGTATACTATGGGCTGCTACAACCTGGCGATTCCATTATGGGCGATCGGTATAGGCTACAATTGATTCGTTTGAGCCGTGCATTACAAGAAAAACGGCCGGAATATGAGCAAAGACATGATAAAGTTATTTTTCTGCATGATAACGGTCGGCCTCATGTAGCTAAAGTCATAAAAATTATTTGGAAAAGCTCAAGTGGGATATTTAACCGCACCTGCTGTATTCGACGGACATTGCTCCTTCTGATTACCGACGGATGTAGCACAATTTGGCAGGTCACCGGTTCACTTATTTTGCAGAAATCGAAAATTGGCTCCTAACTTGGATCACCTCAAAAAATAAGACATTTTTTTAAAATGGAATTCGAAAATTGCCTGAGAGGTGGGAAAAAGTAGTAGCCAGCAATGGACAATACCTTAATTATTCTGTTCATTCATTTTGTTCTGAAATAAATGTATATTTGACCACAAAAAACGGACAGAACTAATTTGTACACCCAATATAATTGCAGTTTGAAAGATATTTAATCATTCCAGACTATTATTATTTTTCAAAAAAAAAAAAAAAAAAAAAAATTGTACTTCATGCTAATAAACAATTTTTCACCTAAAATAGCTATAGCATTTTAAATATATAGACAATCACAATCCATAATCTATGATTCCTTTAATTTAGTCAGACGACTGATCAAAAAGAGTGGCCTCCTTATGGACGTCATTTTTATTTTTGCGACTTTTCCATAAGTCAGGGAATTAAATATGCGAATAAAAAACTATACCAATTGTATTACTCAAAGATAATTTTAAAAAAATAACTATTTTTATCAATAAATATTACACTGGTATAAAAAATAAGTTATTTATTGGTTACAAGGGCCATGAAGCAAAGTTCACCAACACACAGGAATGCTGGTTAGATAGGTCACCGACTAGCGATAATACTCATAGTTTCATCAAGTACAACAAAATTGCCATCATGAACGATAACAATGCACATTGCAATATAGCATAATATCGAGACTATTTTATGACAACTATAATTATCGAGTACGATAATATCGCGATCAATATCGATAGCAAAACATCAAAAAGATAATAATGCGAATGTGTACAGCGATAATCATTGAATATGTTATTAGTGTGAGTGTTAATAGATTTTGTTACTTGTTGTGTAGCCTGGCGCAAGGCAGTTCAACTATTTTCTTAGAAATCTTTTTGTTTCATTTAATTTTTATGTGTTTAAAAAATGAATGAAATAAAAAAAAAGTAGGTGGAGGGGTATATTTTTTGGGTGACTTTTCGCTTGCGCTCGGCTAATCGAAAAGTATCTTAATTTTATATGAATAGCGAAAATATTGACCAATGTAAAAGTAATACAATTGGAAAAATAGTTAAATTGAAAAAATAGTGTGAAATATTTAAAGATTGTTATTTTTTGACAATACATCGTGATATTAAAATGCGTATACTTATTGGTTATACGGACCAATGTTCTCGTTGGCTCCGAATCGGAAACAGTCGCCAACGCACCAAGATCTTTGTAACCGATAAGTACTCAAAAGTGAGAGTATTTTCATACTTGGCTGATTCTCTCTAGAACTACTGAACAGATATTAATAAAATTTGGTACGCACTAATAGGCTCATTCATAGAGGGGCCCGTTACTATTATTAGCCTTTTCTTCTGTTTTTTGATTCTGTGGTCAATATTTTAGACCTTCTTACACGGATGAATGCTATACGCAATCAATCATATATATTAGTACTGTTGAAAGCTTACTCATTTGTACTATATCTACTTATTTTATACCAAGTTCAAATTAAATTCTGCCTAAGTAGTTTTGGAGATGATTGACGATATCTGAAAATTCTCTTAATTTTTAACACCAGTGCATTTGTTAATATTTTATGAAATGATGATCGAAATTTTTTGAATTACCAAGAGGGAAATTTTAAAATCTTATAAAATTGCGTAATCCACCATATATTAAAACTATCATATTAACTAGAATAATTAAATTGTTTTGAAATAACTAAAATTAGTTATTTTTGAATATTTCTTTTCACGACAAATGTTCAACTTATTTTATTTAAATTTTAGATTATTACCAGATTGTTGGTGATGTTTTGAGTGAGATGTTTCCAGTTGAAGCGAAAAACGAAAATTGTCCCGTTTGAGGAGATAGCGCTCATTTAATATTACTGTTTGAGGTGGTGATTTCATATTCGGCGATGCAAATCAGTTTGGCTACGAGATATAATTGATACGCCAAATATAATATTTTATTTCAAAATATTTCTTGAAATTAAATTGAAATCCCCTGCCCATTTCATCCTTTGAATTTTAATATATAATGTATTACCACGTGAATGTAATATATAATTATTTAATATATAATGTATTACTTTGAATATAATGTATTACCATGCTCTTTATAAAAACGGCTATGGTTGAATCTCCCTTTCCATATCTGTTAATCTGGACAACATTGAAAATACTTCGAAAGATTTTTCTTTCAAATGCTCCCAATGCACATTCGTCTTTTAACGTCATAGTCCACAATTCCGAGGTGTATGTAAGTATAGATCTTATAAGTACTTTATATAGTAGTGTCTTGGTACTAAATTTAAGGATATTAAACCTCAGGAATCTATGCAATCAAAAAAAGAAAAAGAAAAAAAAGCGGTTGGTCGCAATTTCTTAAGGCCTATTTATAAATGCAAAAATACTCACAAGCACACTGAGCAATCGGTCAGAAATAAATTGAAATTTTAATGGTTTATTGTATACACCACTTCAACAAAGTGAGTAACGTTCCAAAGATTAATGTATTTGAATTATTTTTATCATCATCATAAAGGACAACTTAAGACAATTTTGATTTTTTTTTTACTTTTTTAAAATTTTGTTTTTCGTTGATTACAGCAATTGTTCATTAATATATCATTTTCGAGGTCGGCCAGCACTTTTTCCTTTTTTGCTCTTGGATTTAGCTGATTTCTTTTCAGGTTTCGGCTTTTTTCCTTTAGTAGATTTCGACTTCTTTCCTTTGACAGGGTTCTTCAACTTAGCTGAGCTTCTTTTACCCAGTGTCATTTTCCCTATATTTTTAATGTCACGAGTAGGCTTCTCTGATTTTGTTGAATCCGGTTGAGTTTTTGCTGGCATATCAATTAAATTGCTGGCAGAATCCATTTCATGTTGTTGTATGGGCATTTCCATTGCTATTCACGATTTAGTTATTGAATTTCAAAGCAGAGTTGATTCAAAAGCAAGGAATTTACAGTTCAAATTAAAAGAAAATACAATCAAATCACAGCTCGTGCCCAATATTTCACGCCTTTGGCAAATTATACACACGAGAATAAGATTAATTGCTTTTATTATAAATATGCTTACGTAATCTTACAAAAACAGATGTACAGTTATTTATTATATCAGCTTCGAATCACCTTAAAATTCGATGTTGGTAATAATATTGTAATATACAAAATATAGCATTATAAAAGTATCTATAATCTGAATAAAAAATCCTTATTTTGCAGTCAACAGCAGAAAAACGAAGAGCAAGCTTCTCCATATTTGATATCAAAATGGTGCTAATTGAAACATTACCGTCTCGTGATGTAAGTGTGTAAAACAAAAATTGATTTGTTTAACATATTTGCGGCCAACAAAGCATGAAATGTTATATGGGGTAAGGCTCCTAACTCTTATTCAGGAGCTCTAATATGAGGTAATTATGTGTGATGTGTGATAAATTACACTCTATAACAAAAAAATCGACCTACCAAGAAAGAATTTTCCGATTGAAATGAAAATTGGTGGATAGGAAGACAATGTATAGAATAGTAAATGATTAAAATTGCAGAACAATTGAATAATTTATTGCAGAGTTACAGTAACAAGTTCAATAAGGTGTTGACCCGCCTCTAGCCTGGATACAAGCTGCCACACGGCGTGGCATAGACCGATAAAGCTCCCGGATGGTCTCTTGCGGTATTTCCTGCCAAATTCGATCCAATTGTCGAACGAGGTCATCAACATTCCGTGCCAGATGCAATCGCCTTCCCATCATATCCCAGACATGCTCGATGGGAGAGAGATCTGGTGATCTGGCAGGCCAAGGAAGAGTTTGACAAGCTTGCAGACAGTTCATAGCAACACGTGCCGTATGTGGTCTGGCATTGTCCTGCTGAAAAACCAGCCCAGGGCGCTGCAAAAGGAACGGTAGCAAAACAGGTCTTAGGATGTCGTCGACGTACCGCTGTGCAGTAAGTGTACCTCTAATGACGACCAAAGGGGTCCGGCTGTCAAAGGAAATGGCACCCCAGACCATAATGCCTTGTTGAGGGCCGGTGTGGCGTGCAATAGTGAAGGCAGGATCCCCCCTCTGCCCTGTGCGTCTCCAAACACGTCTTCGATGATCGTCAGGACACAGTTGGAAGCGGGATTCGTCGCTAAAGACTATACGTAACCAGTCGGCATCATTCCAGCCATATCTGTTCAAAACTTTCATGCATACGAAATTTCAAAGCAATCGGATGATTGCTTCTTGGTGCGTCGATTTTTTTATAGAGTGTATATTTACTAAAATGAAATAAATGTACTGTAAACTTTTTGAGCCATTATTGTAGTTTTTAAAAATGAACAATAAACTTCTTTTTAAATCTAAATATGCTATATCATTACAAAATATACATACCAATTTTCGCTATTAAATTACTGTGCAAGTAAAGTATTTTCAATTCTCGGCACCATTTGTCTAAATGTTCAATTCTATGGAAAGCAGAAAAAAAAATTTACTTTAAACTTAAATATAAGTACATAGTTTTTTGATGCTATATTTTTATATAGTTTATCAGAGCTTATTGGCACATTTAATTTAAACTAATGGCATTAAAAAAATTACTCATTTGTATGTGATTACTCAAAGTTAGATGATTAGTTAAAAATAGAGATTACTTAAAGTTTAGAGTTAGTATGTCCTACCATTATTCTTATTTTGAATAACTTTTAACTACCCTGTCTACGGAAAAAATCTGCCATATTTATAAACGTCTGCAAGTCATAGGTAATTTGATCACAGGAGACCATGGGCATCCTTGTCCTCTTTTCTTGTATTTCGCCTCGCATTGCAAATTCACTTTGGTTTAAGTATCACTAGATTTTACATTCAAACAATCGACAAAATTTTTTTTTCTTTTCTTTATCTGGTTAGTAAATAGGTGAATTTAATTAATTTTGGAGTGCTGATTCAGTGAACTACAACACTTCCTATTTTTCCGCAAATATTGGATGTATATAAGTAAAGGTGGCCGATGCATGTTGCTGACCGCATTGCCTTCTTCATGCCGATTGTGGAATCTAAACTTCCATTACCTTCTTAGACAACAAATGATTGCCTCGAAGTTTCCTTACTTCAAATATAAATCAATATATCGTTAAGACACGGTTCCCAGCAGATCACCGAAGTTAAGCATCACTGTCTACGGTCAGTGTGCTGGTGGGTGACCACTTGGATCNAAAAAAAAAAAAAAAAAAAAAAAAAAAAAAAAAAAAAAAAAAAAAAAAATTCTTTACCTGGTTAGTAAATAGGTGAATTTAATTAATTTTGGAGTGCTGATTTAGTGGAATATAACACTTCCTATTTTCCGCAAATATTGGATGTATATAAGTAAAGGTGGCCGATGCATGTTGCTGACCGCATTGCCTTCTTCATGCCACTGGTATTCAGATTGTGGAATCTAAACTTCCATTACCTTCTTAGACAACAAATGATTGCCTCGAAGTTTCTTTACTTCAAATATAAATCAATATATTTATAAATTGATTTTACGCTGTATTCATTATAATAGTAAAAATAAAAATTAAAAAAAAAATGACACACGAAATCTAAAAATTTAATAATATTATGAGATATATAATGAGATAAAAATATAATAAAAAAGAACTTTGTCATTCCCTTTCATTGTCGTTTTAGCTTTAAAAGAAAAGTGTAAAAATGAATACTGTAACGAATTCTTTATTTTTTATCTTTCAAATTCTCTGAACCATACATGGTACGCATTTTTGAAGGCTATTTCTGATTCTATACAAAAATAAGTAAATAAATGAATGATTAAATAAATAAACAAATTAATGAATGGAATGGAAATTGAATAAAAAATACATATGAAATATTGATTTTAAACCAGATTCTACGGGGACTACTTAGAAGTATTATTTTAAAAAAAGGCGTTATAACTTTTTAGTTTCTTTTCCGCCGAACCTGTGTCCTTTCCAATATACGTGTAGAGATTTTGTTATAATCGTAGATCGTAAAAGGTGTCTGTATACATATTATGTAACTTATAATCTTAAAATATAATATAATAAATAAATAAAACAAATATAATAAATATAATCTTAAAATATAATAAAAATCAATTATCGATTAATAATTTCATTGTTTAAAACATCGGTTTTAATTTAACTTACTTTTTAATGTCTCTTTGGTGCAGGGATAGTTCTTCCAAGCTAAAAATCTCGCATTCATTGTGTTCAGCGCACTTTCGTAAAAGATCTTCTGTAACTGAATAAGAAAATTAAAATTGAAGCTGTTTTTAAACCCTTTTCTGTATTGAATAGATCATGCATAATGCATATGAGATTTACCTATCAATACACAGCGTTCTGCGTTAGGGACGGTTATAAAAAAAAATGCCTCATAAGCTCACAGGAATAAATTTTTGACATAAATTTTACATAAATAATTTTGAAGAATTCTTTTCTTTTAAATTTTACTATTATCAACGCTTATAAAGCATTCGGTTGAGAATGAAAGCCTGCTTTATTTTCAGGACCGCCCCCCCCNCTCAAGGACTGCCCCCCCCCCCCAAAAAAAAAACAATTGTGGAACCGAAACTAATGTGTTCCATTTCTCTACCTTTATTTGTGTTCACGTTGCTTTTCTTCATTCATAAAAAGGATAAAATATACCCTAACTTCACTTGGAAAAAATATTACTAAAATACTTTATTCATAAAATATTTTAGTAAACATAATTCTACTTTTTTTTGAAATTTCACACTGGGTCACATTTTGATATTGCTTTTGAAATTTTGCATTTTAACTCAAATTTTTACGAATTTTTAAAATTTCAGTTAAAACAAAAATTTTCAGATAGAACTTTTTTCTAGGTGATTTTATTACATTTAATATTTTTGAAGTATGTCTTTGAAATAAATATGAGAATGGATCAGATCTGTTCTTATAATCTGTAGTAAGTATTAACATTTTTGTAAAACTTCAAAACGATTATAGATGTTGAAATCCTTAGAGATTTTTAAAGATAATATTGGAAAGATTCGATAATATGTACACCATTAAATTACATGCAAAGAGGTTACTTTTTTTACATACAGCTGCAAAACTATTTAACTAATTCATGAGGCTAAAGTGTTGCACATATTTGCTAGATTGCTTTAAATATGAGTAAACTCAAAAAAGATGAAATAATGTGAAATACTTACTAGAAGCCATAACTTCAAAATGAATAGCAATGCGAAATATTGGTTGCCATGGAAATGGTAGTCTTCTTACAGTAGTACTTGTTCCATCACGCAACGTAGCAAGTCTATCTTTTTTTCCCCTTTTATTTTTCCGTAAATTTTGTTCTGAAGATATTTATATGATATAAATTTATTGCGATTCTTGTCTTTTTTATGAGTTTGCATTATGCATAGTATACAAAACATAAATTTTTAATTTTTTTTGTTGATATAATAAGTATTTAAATTTTGTCATAATTATTATTTTGCTATTTTAATTCATTCTTATTATTTATTTTTTCTTTGGCTTTTATAACAACACTGTTCGAAGTGCGTGATCTTTTTCTTCTTCTTTTTTTTGAGTAAAAGTTTTTTTGACTACTTTTTTAAATAGTCAAAAAAACTTGCTCATTTACTACTCTACATTTTAAAAACTTTTACCTTTTGTCACCTAGGTCAAATTAGACTATATTCCAAACTTTTTATAGTTGCTAATTGGGTATACTATAGCCTACGTCACAGGTTGTGTTATTCCTACTAAATTTAACCCATGAACGGCATTTTCTGCGAGCCTAACTTCAAGCCACAAATAAACAAACGAAGTGTTCGATCGTTTGAATAGCAGCTCGCCAGATTTTATTGCATTATAAAGAAAAGTTATTGAAACTAAATACAACTAAATAAACAACAACAACTAAAACAAATAACAACAACTACTAATAACAATAACTAAATAAACAACAACTAAATTCCATTCGTTTAGCATTGCGTCATATGTTGTTCCTACTAAATCGAAGTAGTTGTGTTTTTTTCATATTATACCCAATTGTGTCATAATTATTATTTTGCTATTTTAATTCATTCTTCTTATTTATTTTTTCTGATCGAGGTGCAAGATTTTTTTCTTCTTCTTCTTCTTTGAGTAAAAGTTTTTGTGACTACTTTTTTAAATAGTCAAAAAAACTTGCTCATTTACTACTCTGCATTTTAAAAACTTTTATCTTTTGTCACCTAGGTCAAATTAGACTATATTCTACACTTTTCATAGTTGCTAATTCTTTTTTAAATAATCGTTTGCAATAAGTTAAAAATAAAATTTGTAATAAGCTCAGACTTAATTCACGAACGCAACGACCTATAGGTGGCGTTGTTATTTAAGGCAAATGATTGCTAGCAGAACCACACGATCATCAGTTGCACCGGAGATTTCTTCAGTGTAGCATGGTAACATTCCATCTTTATTGTGACTTATTAAATTTAAAAACGAAAAATGTTTGATATTCCTCCTTATGCAAGTGAAAACAGAATGGAATCTCTCTCTCTCTTTTTTTTAAACTGAAGGAGCATCATAAACACATCGGAAAAATATTTGTAAATAAACAGAAAAAAAATATGTATCTTCCTATTAGAGTTAAAACCAAATGACCGTGAAATTGATCTATTAAATTTAATGATTTAATATGAAAGGTCCATTTTAACTTTACATTCTATACTTTTTTGAATAATAGTACTTAAAACATTAAAATATGCGGCGAAAAGTATACACAGACACACAATGTTCAAAAAATTTCATTAAAAAANTTCACGAACGCAACGACCTATAGGTGGCGTTGTTATTTAAGGCAAATGATTGCTAGCAGAACCACACGATCATCAGTTGCACCGGAGATTTCTTCAGTGTAGCATGGTAACATTCCATCTTTATTGTGACTTATTAAATTTAAAAACGAAAAATGTTTGATATTCTTCCTTATGCAAGTGAAAACAGAATGGAATCTCTCTCTCTTTTTTGTTTTTAAACTGAAGGAGCATCATAAACGCATCGGAAAAATATTTATAAAGAAACAGAAAAAAAATATGTATCTTATCTTCTTATTAGAGTTAAATCCAAATGACCAAATTGATCTACTAAATTTAATGATTAAATATGAAAGATCTATTTTAACTTTACATTCAATACTTTTTTTATATAATAGTACTTAAAATATTAAAATAAGCGAAAAGTATACACAGACACACAATGTTCAAAAAATTTCATTAAAAAATTTAAAATTTCAATAAAAAATCATTGATTAAATTTTTTATTATAAAAATCATTACACTTACCTGCTTTATAAATCCGGAGAAATCCAAAATGAAATGTTCTTCGTTTGAAAACTTCGTTCTCAAATATTATATACATAGATTATCTCTTCATTACTTAAAGATGACAAACCACTTAATAAAATTTTATGATTGTAAAATCTTGATATGAATTTCAATATGTAACTTAAAAGCAGAAAAGTTGAATTCTAGTTGAAATTAATCATTCAAAATTAAAAAAAATTCTTACCAAGAAAATGATAAAAATTTATTAATGTTAAACACAAATAATACTATTTCAAGTAATTCGGATGATTCTTTATTGTTCGTTTACGAATTATATGGATACAGAAATATGTATTATTCTATAAAGAAGAGGAATACTCTATAACTATTACAGTTCTGTACTTTCAAAAATCACATTTATTTATTAGAAGGAAGTAAGCAATGTGAACTTAAATAACTTCCTTTTAATTTATAATGAATTGAAGACAAAAAAAAATGTATTTTATCTTAATACACCCATCTTCAAAGGTATGCGATTACGAAATCGGAAGTTATCGGTTTCAAGTTTGTTGACGGAAAGGAAAAAATTATTGAGAAATTGTTCTTCAAATGTTGAGAGCGTTCTGCTTCCGAATTATTTACCAATGTTCTGGGTCATTTTTCCAAATTCTTTTTCCTTAGCGTTTTCCTTAGGAAAATTTTGCTTTGTATTTTCTGCTGAAAAAAAATGTGTCCTACTCGACCAATCCATTGATACTGATGGAACTAAATGAAAACTTTATAAATAAAAGCCTGAAAATATCCTCCCAGCTAGAGGGCGTATTCAAGCATTGCGATCACGAATACTGAGGAAAAAAGTTAACTTTTCTAATAAATAAATTCCCTTGCAAGAAAAAAAATATATACCCTGATATTTCTGACTTTAGAAATATCTTTGTTTAAGAATTTTTCTTTAAAAGATTTGCATCCTATATGTTAATAAAAAGGAATTCAAAAAAAAAAAAAAAAAAATTATCGTTTGCATGTACGCTGTTGTTATTGTTGTTCATTTATGTCGCACTAGAGCTGCACAATGGGTTATTGGAGACTGTCTGGGAAACTTCCCTGAGGATGATCCTAAGACATGCCATCACGATTTTGATCCTCAGCAGAGGGACTGGCATCCCTGCTTCGGTAGCCCGACGACTTGCATGAGAAGTCGAGCACTTTATGGTAGAACAGTTTAACGAGGACCAATACCGCACACCCTCAGTCCCTACGCAGACTGATCCAAGTGGTTACCCACACGCACATTGACCGCTGCCAATGTTGCTTGACTTCGGTGATCTGCTAGGAACCGTGTCTTAACGATCACCCCACTACGGTATTTGCATGTACACAATAAGAAAGAAATATAATACTTTCTTTATATAAAACTTATATTAAAAGAAAGAAATTAAACTTTTGGAGGAGTAATAATGTGTTACTCACAAAACTGCTTTGAATTCGAATTGTTTGGGAAACCATAGTCTAACTACTACTGTAGTACCAGTGAGTAAGTACGCTAATAATTTAGCTTCGGATATCTCAGCTTGTTCTGTAGTGTAGGACGTAAATGAACTACAACTACAACAACAACTCTTTAGTGTGAGTAGCGTAAAGGTAGTTGGTTCGAATCCCGGAATTTATTTTTGCAATGTTTTCCTCTAAATTTTGTTATCTTTCTTTCACGTGACGAGGTTTTAGTGGCTATACTATGTAGTTAACCCACAAGCGTAGATATGTATGTATAATAATAAATAAACAACGCAAAAATAAAAAATATAAAAAAACTGATGTATTCCGAATAACTTTTGATTTCCCAAACGGCACTGCTATCATTCAGTCAAGTGTTCTTGTATCTTTGAGATATTGGGTTCGATTTCCGCTATAATTGCCCTTAAAAAATTCTTTTTATACAAGTTTTACGTAAAAACTAATTCTTTTTCTTTCCTGACGAGATGGTAAAAGGGTCTTAAGCTGTGAAAGAAAATATCGTAGGTTCGGAATCAGAAGTCACTGAAGAACTTTAGCTCTATTGAGAAAATTGTTAAGAAGCACTTAATTGAAACAGGTCCAATGTAGGTAAGTTTTTCTCTGAGTTGCTGTGTATTGCTTACCTAATAAATGAAGGCATTGAAGTTAGTGTGTTCGATATCCGCCTGTAGTCAAAATTATATTTTTTTCATCGTTTTCCCATGTCGTGCTGTAAATTGTGCTATTTGCTGTTCAGTTTGATTGAGGGTTTATGCATGCAATGGATATTTACAGACAAACGCTATTTTTGGGTGATACTAACACTTTTAAACCGTTATCGTTCGTGAGGTACTAACATACTTTATTTACTCCACACTAGAGATGAACAATGGGCCTTTGATGATGATCTGGGAAATATCTGCGAGGATGATCCGAAGACATGACATCCCAATTTCGAACCTCTAGAGAGAGAATGGCTCACCCACTTTGATACCCGCTGGCCTAGCGAAATTGAGCACTTTACAGCCTTACAGTTTAACGAAAACAGATACCGCTTACCCCCCGGTCCCTTCGCAGGCTGATCAAAGTGGTCAACCGCATGCTCACTGACACTAGTTAGTGATGACTTTGGTGACTTTGGTGACAATGGTGACAATGGTGACTTTGGTGAACTACTGGGAACCGTGTCTTACGAATCAAAGTCACTGCGGGACATCGTTTGTAAGGAATTTTTTTGTTAATGTCGTAGTAGAGCTGCACTAATGCGCTATTGGTGACCGTAAAGTAAGAAGAAGGTTCAACTGGTTAATAAGAAAATAATTTTAACTCAAATGAAAAGGTTAAGTGCGTATCGATTGCTTGATGAAATCACTAAATAAACAAATCCGATTCACATGCTAGTTTCTCTTGAATTGTAATTCAATCAAATCAAGCTCATCTAGAGCAAACTTACATCACTAGAATTGTGGAGTTTTCCCCCCATTTTTTCAATCACTAAAATTTGAGCTCTACTGTAGAAAAATGGAATATACGATAAAAAAATATGAAGGAAACAAAGTAAGTCATAAGTTTATTTTTGCTTTTAATGTTTCAATCAATTCAAATTTTTCCATATTAACTATTAATTCAATTAATTAATTCAACATTTTATGCTATAATAATTCGTATCTTTTTTTAATTTGTGAATGAATACCCTTACTTTATATTTTAAAATACACCCTATAAAAAGTAGCAGTTTGTGGTGCAAAAATCCGCTTGTTTATTTATAAATAATTTAAAGTGCATAAATAAATTGAAAAGCTTTTGCATGAAATAATTGATTTTACTTTTGCATGAAATAATTGATTTATTTAAATAGTTTAACTCTTATCATACACATCTATATACTATATTTTAATAATGTCTATAAAAAAAAAAGAGCCATCCCCTCTACAGAGGATCAAAATTGTGATGGCATGTCTTCGGATCATCCTCAGGGATGTTTCCCAGACAGTCGCCAATAGCCCATTGTGCAGCTCTAGTGGGACGTAAATGAACTACTACAAAAACAATAAAAAATATTCTTAAATTGAAAACTTAGATATTTGAATGTTTCTAGTACAGCTAGAATTTTCCAATTATATGTACTTTAAATGAATTAAAAATCTCAACACATTACAATAAATAGCGAGTTGCAATATGATATGCATTGTTGAACATAGTAAAACAACGTATAATAATGTAATACGTTAATATACTACATAAACTAACTATCGAAAATATTTTAAGTGCAGATTCATTTATCAAAGAGCATTCTGTTAGAAGAGATTTCTATGATTGATGACGGACAGGAAAATCAAATATACTAAATAAAGCAGTCACTTTTTTCAAATTTAACACCGTTATTTAAGATTTGCTATTTTTTGACTGACTAGAAAGATAGTATTAATAAAAGAATCTATAACCATTTCATTGGTCCATATAGTCACTGACTCTCTCTAGAAGAAATTAGTAAAATCCTCATTTATTAATCCGAATTTGTTTTCACATTTTTACAGTTATATTTTTTAGACTAACAAAGAAATGACACCGCATGCAAATTTAAATTTTGATATCAAACTAAACTTTCTTTTTAGTCACGACGCTGAATTCGAAATATTTAGGTCACCTGAATGTTTTGCCGAGTTATTCCCTGCAAAGTAATTAAAAAAAAATCCAGTTACTCAACGGAGAGAAAAGTACGGATAGTTATCGTGATATAATGAGCAAAATATCAAAACGAACACCCTGAATAGCTTTTAATCTAATGATCAAATTTGTACGTGTAAGGGACTCATACTTAATGGTTCGAGGTCCTAATTTTAAATATATGTTAATTATTTAGTGCAATGAATATTTTAAAGTATACAAAATCTGAGGGGGAAAAACGCCCTTTCTCCTTATAATTATAAACATAACTTCTTTCCGAAGCATCTGCACTTTTGACTCTCGAAATAAGAAACTTTTCACTTTTGACTCTCAAAAAACTCGCAATCTGAAAATTATGGCCCATATAGTTTGGTCAGCATAGAAGAGCGGCTTAAATTCGGACCTCCTTTAATATTAATTTTACTTTTTGTTTATTTTTCCATACTTCCGGAACTCATTATGTAAACCAAAAAAGTTTTGAACTTGTTTACCCAAAGATAAAAAATATCCCAAAACTAAGTGAACTTAAGCAATCCACATATCAAAAGAATTTTACATATTTTTAGTATTCAAATAATTTGCCAATAGGTGTAAAAAATTTTGAATTCTGAAGTGCATAACTTTTTTCTCCAATTTAATTTACGTAATTTTAAATCACGAAATTTAAAAATTTCACGGGCATCTGTCAATAGTTCAGGAAAAACCAAAAATTTAAAAATGCAACTTCTTTTAAATTTTATTATTCAGAAACTATTCGACAGATTTTCTTCAAATTATGTATTTTGTCATTTAGAATTAGAAAAAATTTCCTTCTTAAGCATTAATTTGGGTCACAGAATGTGCATATTTTTTTAATCTTTATTTTAGACAAATGTTGATATACCTTTTTGACTTCATTTTTTGGCAGGTGTTCAATGACAGTTCAGATCTTTTTGAGCTTTTTTGCTGTATGATCAAGCACCAGTGCCTAAAAATTCCTCCATATGTTTCCGAACATCATTTACTTTCATGGACTTGGAACAAATCAGAAATAAACAATGCCAGTCCTGTTATTAAGAAAATAAAGCTTTTAGAAGATTTATGCCACTACAAATTTGATAAGGCTCTAAGCATAAATGATGAAATTGTTTTTAATTCCAATGCGATTAATATCTTACATTCAGGCTATTATAGTCGGCATGGGATAGTAATTCCTTTTAACATTTTAAGCATATTATCAAGCTTTACTAAGTTAAAAAGACATTTTGTTGAAAAACCCAATTTAACTCCCAAACAAGAGTTCATCATTTTGTTACCATCCTGTGATGTAGAATACGCTTCAAAATTTTATTCATTTCGAAAAATCGACTCATTTTTCAATTATTTTCATTTTAAAGGCTCAAGAATTGAAGTACAGCCCGAGCTATTCCTAGGGTTTGAAGACATTTCTAGGGAAAGCTGTTCTCAGAAGACAAAGGAAAGTAATTTTATCTTTGCAAGTTCCCCCACAAGTAAATTGCCTTTTACTGACAAAGAAAAATGTCCTGATTCGATTTGGAATGATTTTATAGAAACAGATTTTGCTTCGAAGAGATCAAATAGTTCTGAGAAAATACAAATGAGTTGTCTTCTCAAATCAAATTTCAAATTTCATTCCGTTAAATCTCGCGACTATTTAATGGATTTAATGAAGAATTATAAACATCTATATTTTCCAATGAAAAGATGCGTTAACGCAGTTCGAAAACAGAGAACTTCAACCAATAGGTTATACAATGTTTTCACTAAGAATAGACAATTCAGTAAAAACGTTCTTTATCGCAATTATCAATGTTCTAAACGATATTATTTTGCAAAAGACGCAACTCCTACTATTGCTAACGATTGCCTTTCAGTCGATACAGAAAATGGTGATAAACCTTGTTCCAGCTTACAAGAGAATTTCATAGATCAGGAAATATCAGGAAAGCACATAAAGTCGAAAATTGCTGAGATAAGACAAAAAATCGAGAATCTTTCACGCGGTGTAAATTGCGAATTAATTCGGAGGGAACGCCATCATCTGACTTTTATCGAACAATGCAAACGAATCAGTGACTCAACCATTTCGTCTCATGATTACAATGAAATCTATCATACGGAATCGTTACAAAATAAGGTAAAAGTGTCGTGTAGTGATGACATTAGTGATTTCAATTTATCAGATCTACATGAAAATGCAAATTCTTGTTATGAAGTTATCCGTCGAAGTAAAACGTTAAATTCTACTAGCGAAGTTCCAAAGAAAAATCAGACCTCAATTCCTCATTCTCAAGTTTTTAATCATCGTAAAGTTAATTCTCGAGATCATGTTCAACATCAAAGTGCAGCTTTAAATTCTCATAAACATATTTTAAAACAAAATGGAGTTTTAAGACAGAAAAATATAAGTTACTTAGGAAACTGTTTTAGAAACTTTCGACATCAAACAGTTGTTGCTTTAAGTACTATAAGCGTACCATTTGTTGCTTTGCTTTTCAGATAGAAATAGCTCGCTCATGACTCAAACTGAGTCATGAACTATACTTTTAATTTTATTTTGTCAAAATTTTTACAAGATTTTGAAGGGTATTTTATCAAAACAATATTAAAACCATAGTTCTTCGTTAAGTTTGTTTTGCTTTTAATGTTTAGTATTTTTACATTTCATTTGTTAGTGTTTTGTTTTATGCTCATGTCATGTATTTAATTATTATTATTATTAAACTTTTTAAATTCATATGACTGATTTCCACAATCTGTACAACATTTTTAATAAAGTTTTATTGTTAAACATAGGATTTGTTATCATTAGTGATGATTAAATGTTACCCACAAAAAAACATCACAAAGTGTCGGAAGTTTTCCAAATTGTGGATAACGACTCGTTGCTTGACAAAATATCAAATGCACAGTAATTATCATAGTCAAGAATTTTTCTTTTTCATCAAATATTTTATAAAATACTAATTTTCTTATTAAAATATATAACAGCTTAAACTAACATTTTGTTGATGAGAATTCATACACTAATTGAGAATTTGATTTATAAAATAGAATAGTTTTTCTTTTGTTCAGTCATGATTATCTCTGCACCAGCTATTCCGTAATTTCCTTTACATTTTGTTAAAAAAAATGACTTCAAAGATTTACAGTATTGGTCACAAATTGATTTATTAAAGTGAGAAGAAAAAATAAAAAGTCTAGTTAAATCTGACGAATCCTTACGAGATCAATTACAGTACAGTCTGGATTAAAATACGCACAAAGCAGTTTTATTGTTAGATGAAGCAGAAAGTTATTTTTAATGATCATTTTTCAACTTCAACTGGCAATAAAATTTAAGTTGTTTTCATGCAACTTTTAACTAGGATTCACTTTTGTAATGGTTTATCAGAACTTGATATTACCTTTATTTCAATAATAATTAGCATCATTGCTATAGATATAATATATAATTTTTGTAGCAGAAAAGTTGCCACGCCTTTAGTAGTGAGTTTTCATTGCAAGAATTGCAGTCAGTCACTAAGATTTTATCTTATATCCGTCGTTGAACAGCCGACCAAATTTCGGGTTTACGACTACTAATGCTCAACTCCGTAGCCTTGTAATTTTGAACCAATCCAGAAGACAAGGAAACTCTACGATCAGTACCCCCAGAGGTATGATTTGTTATGGGAACATGGAGGACTTTGTGACTCAACAGATTTAACGTGCATCAGTCACCACTTACTACACGGGGAGTCTTCGGCCGGCGGGGATCGAACCCATGTCCAAGAAGCCCAGTAGCCTACCTGCCAGGCTACCCCAGGTCCAGTCACTAAGATTGCTAAAATTGTAACCAGGTTGGCGATGGCCTCAATGTGAGAGTGCTTTTCCTTTACTGTGAGTTATTGCAGGATGCTAAAATACGACAAGCTAATGTGGAATTTTGGTCAGATTCGTTCTTTTTAATAATATGTAAGAAATCTTGCTTTCACCGAAAGGACATTTTTTAGCTATTCTTATTTCTCCGGTTACGGTTTGCAAGCATTGAAAATATTATGTAATATACATAAATACAATTATGTACTGTATACTTATGTTCTAGTAATTAACATTTTACATATTCTTTTAATTAAAAATATCAAAATATAACCTTTAGTTACAAATTAGCCTTTTCTTTTAGAAACTGGCTTCAAAAAACATTTCTTTTCTGCTTCTTTTTCCTGCTTCAAGTTTTTAACTAAAAGTGAGTCTTAAAAAATCAACTTTTATAGCTGACTATAATGTAGTTAAAAAAATGAAAAAAAAAATTTTTTTTTAGAAATAATTTTATTTTTAAGTTAAAGTTTCTCCATCTGAATTTCTTGTTGTTGTTACGATGTATTTTAAGATCTGCATTATTTAAGAAAATTTTTCTCAATTAAAAGTTCTGAAGTGATTAACCAGCTCAAAACTTTTAATTGGGAAAAATCATTTTAAATTATATCTAAGTCGAGGAATATCAAACTTCAATCGCATTTTCAGAAAAACATAAATTTAAAGCTCATCCCATCGGTACCTCAGTTACCATTCATTTTATTTCTACCCTATATCTGTATTTTATTTCTATCCTTGGTAGCCCATTGGTTAGAGAATCGGACTCCAGTCCGGAGGGGCTGCGCCGTGGTTTGCTCCTCAACTCCACTAAGATTCACCGAGTACAAGCGATATACACGCTCGTAATTAAAATCCGTGGAATCGAAATCCTGTAGGCGATCGCTGAGCAGTACCAGTACCAAAGGTACAAGGATCTTGAGAAAATTTCCTTCTCATTTAGAACTGCGTCTTAATAAGGTACCAAAAGCCATGTCTTCGGAGCATCCTCAGAGATTTTCCCAGACCGTCGCTAATAGCCCATTGAGCAGCTCTACGTGTGGCGTAAATAAAGTACATATCTACTATCTTTTATGAAATTATGATTGTAGGTAATTTAATCCTCTGCAACGAATCATTTTAAAACCATTATATCATTTTCTTCACCTACAATAATTACAACGATAATCAAAACCTACACCAGGTTTCAGCTTTGATCACAATGCACTTTCTTCGATCATGTCTTTTTGATTAGAAACCCACACTGTCTTTCGTAGTTGCAGTTCAGAAAAGTACAATTTAACGTTATTTTTACTACTACCATTTACTACCCAACCTATGTAGTGCACGCAGGCACCAATATTGTTTACGAACCATCTTGAGCATCATTAGTATATAACGCTAACAATTAAACAGAACCAAATTTTTTAATAAATCTGTATTTAAATGAACGTAACTTTACTCTTATCATTTGCACTTTTCTCGTTATTATTCCTTAGTACTTGATAACACTCCCCCCTCACTTACGTATTTATATGCGATTCTCACTGTGAAAAGTTTTTTCCAGAATTGTTTTATGGAAAAATGATAAGATAAGAACATATATAGTAAGGGAGGTTAATACGGAACACCATGCATTAGTTAAAATAATTTAAACGACTGGCAAAAAAATGAAGAAAAATAATATTTTTTTCGAATAAATTTCAAATAAATTTTAGAAGAAGGGATAAATTCATACACAAACGAAACTATTTTTCTTTTTCACTTTTGGTTTCGAAATCTATTTTTCAAAATTGATTGGCAACACCTGTGAAAAGGAAATTAACGAAGGGAATAACTTCAACTCTAATCAAAAGTGACATCTGTTGACCGGTTTGAAATGTAATGTTGTGATGATTTTGCTGCCGGTAAATAAATAATGTAATTATGTAAAACTCAATTTATAACTTAAGTTGTCAATTGTAGATTCTTAATCTATATTAGAAGATTAAATTGCATAACGACTGAAATTATTTATAAATAAAATACTGTGCAAATTATGTGATTTGTTTTTGTACAAATTATAGATTAGTTTATCATGGCAAGTTTAACAAAAAACAGACGTGCAACTTTAGAACGAATTGAAAAATTCATATCTCCTTTATATTTTACGGATATAAATCTTTATGGTCGACAGTATCCTCAAAAGACTAATCTCCCAACACTTTTGCACTTTGATTCTAATGGAAGAGTACCTTTTAAAGAAGCTATGGAAATTGGAAATTTTGCACCCACTAAAGTTGGAGCCTCATTCGGGCCTACTTGGACTACGCATTGGTTTAAGGTTTGTATTGTTTGTAGATTTGCAGTCCAGTTATATTACTTTTAAGAACATTTATTTATTTTTTGCTTTGCAGTCGTTTTTGATGCAAAATTGTTAAGAATTCTTAGTTCAAAACTTTGTCAACAGCTTTTTAAATTTTTTTTTAATGTTCAAAGCTTTGTTTGATGCAATTTAGCATGACAAGTTTAACAAAAAAGCTTAAGATTTGTAATGTTCATAACATATATTCATTTTATTTTTTAATGACAAACTATTACTTGATTATTTACTTTGTATTATTATTTGATAAGAATTGATTGTATTACTTCATACGTACCAATATAAAGTAACAAAATAGCGGAAAATTAGTTCTGTCATCATAACAAAATCTTATGTGCAACATGAAAATTTTTTCTACTTTCAGTTTTGTCTGTCTGAAAGGATTAAAAATTCTATGCTACTTTTATATTATTTATTTATGCTGTATTTTAAGGATATGATAAGGATTAAGAGCTTGGTTTCCTATAATGAATAATATTTTGCATGTATTTATTTGAAACGTATCAAAACTGCTGAAGATTCTAAATTTCCATGTAATAGAGAGTTTGCTAACAACACATCTTTGCATCAAAATTTTTTACTAGATACTATGCTTGACAGTATTACTTTTTTAATTGAAACTGAAAGTGTAGCCAACACATTTTTCAGAGAGATTAGTATGGAGGCATTTAAATTTTATGCAAGCATATTTTTGAAAATCTTGGTCCCCCCCCTTTCAACAATTATAAGCAAATCTCAACATATGGTACCATAGGTACATAAAAATGTCGAAACTCCCTTTAGATTCCACCTTAACTTTAATTGAAGTAAACTAATTTTAAGGTCAGATTCAAGTAAAAGATACAATTTAGCATAAACAAAATTTAAATTTTATTTTAAAAATTTAGTGTTTTTAATAAAATACATAAGTATTGATTATATCCTTTCTTCACTTGTAAGCAAAAATGATCATATCACAAACCTGCAATCCTCATTAGATGCTTACATAATATTTGAACTGCTCTAGTGGAAATATGACCAGCTGGTTTTTCAATTTAAATTAACTTTTATGCTTATTTTGTGCATTTAAAAGTAATAAAATAAAGTATGAGATATTTTATTATGAGGCATATTAATAAAATATGAGGTATTTTATTATGAGGCATATTAATAAAATATGAGGTATTTTATTATGAGCCATATTAATAAAAATATGAGGTATTTTAATTAAAAACTCCTGGAATATAGCAACAAAACATGTTACATTGCCCATTTCGTACTTCACACCGCTTTTTACGTAATTTCCTTCTGGTCCGTGACAATTACGCATGCTGATAATGTTAAATTATCCTAGATTTGACATTGTTCTTTTTAAGAAAATTCCACTTCATGTATTTTTCTGACAGATGATAGTAATTTTTTTTCTCTATAAACCTTGCACAAATTTTTCCTGAGTTTTTTTTTTTTAAAAAAAGATTTGTTTATTAGTTGTTTGTAGCTTTTCTGAAAATTTTTCCATTCTATTTTATTGCCCTTTTGTCTGTGAAAGGGTATTTCCCCCTTTAGTCAAAATCAAAAGTGTGAGATGGGAAAAGCAGTGACAGGGTGGATATAAGAAGTATGAGAGCTTTAAGTCTAAAGTTTGTGACTCAAATTTTTTCCAGCAAGCTTAAACCTTTGAATCTTGGAATTATCCTATCATTTATAGACTGTTACACTAAACTGGTTAGATAATCATTTCTTTTTCTTGCCGGTAACCTACAAGATGTTTCTAAATCGAAAAGAAATTAATTTGATTTCTACAGTGTTGGATAGTGTCAGCTTAAATGCATTACAAATGGATTTAATAAAACTTTTCTGGGTTAATTGCTTTTTGTTTTCTAAAAGGAATATTGGCCCTTTGGAATAAAATTGCAGTTTTTCCTCAAAAAATGACATGTATGACTGCAACACACATTTAATTACTTTTCAATTCCTTCATTATCTGATTTGATTCCTATTCTTATTGATAGCAATGAAAACATTGAAACTGAGTAAAAAATATCGTAGGATACATTTACAACTGATCAAATGTTTAAAATCGTAAAAACTCTGAAACATTTGTGAATGTAACAATTTGCAAACAATAGTAATTTTTAAAAGGGATACTGTTGAATTTGTATCTAAAAGCAAAAAAGCAAAGAAAAACCATGTAAAAATTGCAAATTTTATTTTCTCCTAAATATAAATTTTAAAAAGACATACTTAAAATTTTTTTTACTATGATTTTACGTTATCCTGCTTTGCACGGTTTTTAACGTTTGTCCAACATAAAACATAGAATCAGGGTTCCACTGCTATACATTTTTTATTATGTAGTGAAGTGCACTTAATCAAAATATTATATCTTACTGGTCAAGAGGTAAAAGTTATGGCATTCTTGCAAAAAAAAGTTAATGGAATTAATTGTGGAAAAGTAGTGTGTAGCCGAAAAGCTTCAGTACAATTTGACCTTCGGAATCATCACTTAAAGAATTAATTGTAAAACTTTTTGATTAAGAAAATAAATAGAATCATTCAACAAAACAATTAATAAACATTTTTAATCTAGCATTATTAGGGATTCTAGTAAAGGTTTATCTCTCTAAACTTCTCTGTAATTCTGCACCCTCAATATGTATTTTTACAACTTGTGCTAAGTTCTGCATGGTTGATTTTTTTTTAATATGTAGATTATAAAATAGGTATTTTTGAAAGATTAACTAAAAATCAATCACATCTACAATAAACCAAGTTAGAAGATATATCACTTTAAAATGTTTGAAGTTTTAATATTTTCTAATATTTTAATTGAATAAAACTAACCTAATTTTTAAAATTACTTTCCACCCTTTTTAGAAATTCTTGTTAATGGGAATTTTTTTAAAAATAAAATGTTTTCATTTCTGGCATATTGTACAGGTTCGAATTGATATTCCTGAGAGCTGGCTTGGGAAAGAAGTTCATCTAAGATGGCAAACTGGTTGTGAAAGCATGATTTGGACATCTGATGGAATTCCACTGCAAGGTCTCAATGGTATGCATTTTTAGTTTTTAAACTAGGTTATCAGAAAAATATTTCATCCAAAATTTTGTCTTTGATAGTCTCTGGATCCATGTATGTAAGTGATGCAAACCATTATGTACCTATTGAATTGCTTTAAAGTTTCGAGCTCATTCTATTTATTATAAAATAAAGTTTGATGAATGGTATTCAGTTAAAATTACTATGTATGGAATGATCAGCACTGTTAATATAAAAATGCAATTTTTTTTAAACATTTTTAACTAAATGTAAAAAATGCATTTTTTAAAAAAATTAAATTTCCTCTCTATAATTTTTTTCTGAACTATGATGGTTAAGTGGTCAAGGCACCTAGCTATCATAGAAAAGAACTAGTGTTAAATTCCCTATGGTGGCTTGAAGCTAACTCAGCTTCATATTGATGGGTACTAGCTTGTCTGAGAAGTAAAGGCGACCTGTGTGTGTGATATGTTGACTATGTTACCACAATCATGTTGTAGGTCACGAAATTTGGGAATCTTAACCTCCATGACCCTTCTGACCCACAAAGGGCTATAGTGGAATATTTGACTTTTTTTTGAAATATTTTTCTATATATTACGAAAAAAAAAATGGATTATTATGCTACAATTCATTTACAAAAAGTTTTTGGAAGAAATTTTTTATTTCAAATTCTTAAGCCATTTTCTTTTCATGTAACTAGCTTGTTTTGTACAGCCAGTTATTATTATTCAGTTTGAAACATAATTGTAAAAAATATTTTTTGATAACCTGAAGGATATTCAAATCTGCTTAGATATGAATAAAAAAAATGTTTTTTATAATAAAAGTTTCTATGTTATACAATTCAATGTATTCATGTATTTTTAATATTTTTATAGGCAAAGATAGACAAAGTTTTATAGTTTCCAAGCATGCAACTTTGGAAGATTTGAGACAAACCTTTTACATTGAAATGGCTTGCAATACTCTGCAAGGTGTTGGTGCACCTACAATGATATCACCTCCTGATAGGAAGAAGTACTTTACTTTAGAGTTAGCTGATATTGCCTGCTTTGATAGACAGGTAATTTATTTAATTCATTGACTTAAAATATTTTTTAAAGCTTCTGAAAGGATTTCATATTTATCAATCAGTTCTTTTCAGTAATTTTCAATGGCCATAAATCTTTCTAAATTCTGGTTCACATATTATGTCAACTGATTCTGCCAAATCTTATTTTCCTTACTTGAATCACTTTTACTTAATAAAATTTAGTTTAATTAATTTAAAATAAGCAATTTGTATGTATATTAAAACAGAATTTCATGAAACTGAAAGTTTTTATTGGTATTTTGTGTAGTATTAAAAAAAAAGAATGAATTTTTTTTGTTTTATGGCATCTAACATAGTTTTTCCTTATATATTTTTCTTTTTTTAAATTTATGCACATTTATTTAATTTAAGGAAAAAGAAAGTGCTAGATATTCTTTATTTGCAGTATTAGATATTCAATGTTATATCTTCTCAAAAATTATCTCTTTATTTATATCTGTTTCTCTACATATATATTATATTATTTTTAATTGAATAAACTGTGATTATTCGTCCCAATAATTGGATACTGTTAATTGAAAAATGTTTTTAATTAGGTTTATGATCTTGTCATGGATTTTGAAATCCTCTATGGTATTGCAAAGCATTTGTCTGAGAATTCAACTCGAAGTTATGATGCACTTTATGCAGCTAATGAAATGATCAATATGATTCAACTGGCAGATTAGTAAGTGCATATTTATATTTCTTTTTACTTTATTTTCTTTATCATTAAGATTATTTTCTTTATTTGATTTTCTTTATGGATTAAGATTATAATTTTTGATACTTTTTTCAGTTCACGAGATAGTTATGCAAGTGCCAAAGAATTGAGTACTAAGTTTTTCTCTCAGTTCAATGGAGAAAGCCAGCATAAAATAATTGCCATTGGAAACTGTCATATAGACTGTGCTTGGCTCTGGCCGTATGAAGAAACTGTTAGGAAGTGTGCCAGGAGCTGGTCTACTACAGTTCAATTAATGGAAAGGTATCCATCATTTAGATTTGCTTGTTCTCAGGTAAGATTTGTTGTTAAAGTATTTTTATAAAATGTGTATTTTTAATGCTATAAATTGATTATTATATCAATTTGTATTTTTTTTATCATTTTACTTTATTAATTTTTTATTCAACACATTCAATTTAGTGCATTAGCTAATTATTTTGCATAGCATCAGTTATTATTTATAATAAGTGTTAATATGGGCTATCTATTACAGGGGTTGATCTTGGTGGAAATTAGGGCCTTTTTGTGGCTCTTTCACAAAATTCAAATTCTAAAAAGACTCTCTCTCAAAATTTTAATTTATGAAAACCATCTAATACTAACTATACTTGTGATACTAATTTGTGAAAATGGCCACAATTATATTTCCATTTAGTTATGATTCAATTAGTTTTAACTTATAGAAATTAACAAATGAAATTGTTCAAGAACTTAAGAATGATTTAGAGCTTAAACTAAACTTATTGTTAACCAATCATTTCCATGTCAGCCAATTATTTTGGTCATGTCAACCAATTATCTTTAGAATTAACATAAAAAAAAAACAGAAAATTTGAAAAAAAAACAGATAAATTAATTAATACAAATAATTAATTTGAAAATGTGGAGTCTGTTTTTAATAGATTGCTCATTACAAAAATAATAATTATGAAACATGTAAATTATTTATTTTTAACGAGAAGGGTTTCCATTTTAATTCCACCAATATTCATACTTTAGATGGCATGTAATGTCATGTTTTTCTCCCCGTCTCTTTCATGTTTTTGAAAATTTGTCCAATGTTACATTTTGCAATTTTATTTTAACTGTTGCAGTTGTTCATTAATTGTATTTCATTGTGGTGTTCATTGTGTGTATGTAAACTGCAAAACTTTATAAATTATTTAATTTTTTGATTTTTTTTTATAATGGACTCCAATCACTTTTCTATTGTTACCTATTATTAAAATTTTGGAAGCATTTTTCTAAATAGTTAAATTAATAATTGAAATAAGATCACTGTGAAAATTGTTACCAGTTAATTGTGAGAAACCAGTTTAATTTTTAGTGCTGAATTTACCATTTTTGCATGTATATTTTTTATTTATATAAGTTTAATTTTTTTTAATAACACTTTAAGAATTGAAATTGGTGTATTCTAATATAGTTTAGCATAACATCATATATAAATAATATGAATACTGAAATTACCTATGTATAGAAAGCATAAAAAATGTTCTAGTACTTGTTGAATAATAAGAAACTTTTCTCCATTTGGTTTTCAACATTTAAAAATTATTTATCTTTTTGCAAGTTTCTTAGTATTCAATGATTGATTTACATTAAATGTCATTAATTTGCAAAAATATTTTAAAACTTACTAGTAAATGATATTGTAAAACTTATATGACTGACTGTGATATAATCCTAAAATCACTTTTTAAGCTCCTCTTTATATTGGTTTTGAATTGTAACCTCAGTTTTTTTTTATTTCATGTTTATGATGTTTCTTACTGCTTTGATTTTTTTAAAAATTTTTTTGTCTGTTTGATGGTTATTTTATTTCATTTTTTTTTGTAGGCTCAACAATTTATGTGGGTAAAAGAAAACTATCCAGCTTTGTATGAAAAAGTGAAATATTTTGTCGCCAAGGGGCAATTTATACCTGTTGGTGGTACTTGGGTTGAAATGGATGGAAATTTACCAGGGTACATATTTCTTTTTTTATTTTAGTGAACACATTGAAAATGTAAAATTTTAAATTGCTTGATATAGGACTTGATTTTCTGATATATCATTCTATTCTTTACTTTGAACTTTTCTTAATCTTAATTAATCTGAAAAAAAGCATGCATATCTTTATCTATGGTATTATTAGTAGACATTTCAAAGTATTTCATATCAATGCGTCTACTGTACAGAGATACAAATTTATGCAATAGTGGACTTATGAATTTTATTTATATCTTATTTAAGCTGAAAAAATTAAGGCAACCAAGTTTATTGATTGAAGGGTTAAGCATACTATACAATAGAGAGCAAATTAATTCAATAGTAGGTGAAAATGGAATAAGACTGGGTAACTAAGAAACTGCCAGATGTAATCAAGATATTTCAAGATATTCATTGTTTAGTTAGTGGGATCTTTTTTATTGAAGATATTTAATTGTAAATGTATTAATATTGAAATAAATTTTTAAAATTTCAAATGTGCATTCTAAACCAAAAATACATAATACAGTGAAACCTCGATTTTACGTCCCCCGAATTTACGTTTTTTTCATCAGGACCCAGTTTTTCCGTATACCTCCAATGTTAATTTTACCCGGATTGTAAGTTTTTAATTTACGGAATTTCCCGCATTTTACATTTTTTGTAGAAATAAAAAAAATAAAAAAATGTTTTAATAAGCAATATTTTTTCTATGTTTGCTTTTTTAAAGCTCATCCACGTTGTTGAAAGTAAATCTATGAAAGCAGAAACGCATTCCACAGACTACCGTTTTCTAGAACTTTAGTCCTCTCTCCCCCTTCCTTTGTTGAACACCTGCTGCCTGTCTCGGACAAGGCAGCGGGCGAAGAAACAAAAGTACAGAAACAACACATTTCATTGGTGCAGGAATGAGACAGATAGGAGAAGAGACACTCCAGTTACCAATCAGATGAAGTGACTTATTTTCTTCCTTGGAAAGCAAAGGGGATCTTTACGTTTCTACAGCTTTTCAGACTCTGTTTTTGTTTAGCACAAGGTGGTCGCATTTCAAACCATTTCGTACGAAAATGGTGAGCAAAAAACGCAAAAACTTTTCTGCTGCTGAGAAAGCCGAAATTGTTAAGCAGTTTAATGAATTTCATGGAACAAAAGTAGCATTCGCTCAATTGCAAGGAATTCCCGTAACAACCCTGCAATCCATAGTACAAAAAAAAGAATGCATTGATAAAAACTTTGAAAAAGTCGGTGAAAAAAATGCCAAGAAACTGAGAACAATGAAAAAATCCCCGTACGACGAGATGGAAGGGATTTTAGTAAAATGGTTTAAAGAGGCTCGTGACGCTAATGTACCTGTAAATGGCACCATATTAAGAGAAAAAGCTCTAGAAATCGCCGATAGACTTGGTTTAAAAGACTTCACAGCTTCCAATGGCTGGATTGACCAGATGAAAAAAAGACATAATCTTGTGTATAGATCGCTCTCCGGAGAATCATCAAGCGTGGATGAAGCTACAATAGAAGAATGGAAGAAAAATTTACCAAATTTGACCAAAGGATACAAGCCAAAGGACGTATTCAATGCGGACGAGACCAGACTTTTCTTTAACCTTCTGCCGGATAAAAGTTACGTTTCTAAGGGAGATTCCTGCCACGGAGGGAAGATGTCAAAATTGCGTCTTACGGTTTTACTATGCTGTAATTCTGATGGATGTGAGAAGGTGACTCCACTCGTTGTTGGAAAATCACGCAAACCACGATGCTTTAAAAACGTGAGAAGTTTCCCAACAAATTACGAAGCAAACAAAAAAGCGTGGATAACAAAAGCCCTTTTCGAAGACTTTTTGAAGAAACTGAATAAAAAGATGAAATTTCAGAACCGCAAAATAATTTTGTTCATCGATCAATGCAGTGCACATCCGGATTTGCAGCTATCTAACGTTCGTGTTGAGTTTTTTCCTGCAAACTGTACAAGCAAATTACAGCCTTGTGATCTCGGCATTATTCGATCATTTAAGGTTTTTTACAGAAAGCAACTTGTCCGGAAAGCTGTAGCTGAACTAGAGAACGGAAACCTAAATGTCGCCTGCAAACTAAAGTTAAGTGTTCTGGAGGCTATGCATTTTATTTCTGCTGCTTGGAGAAGCGTTACACAAAAGTGCATTTCCCACTGTTTTGAAGAAAGCGGAATCGTAGCTTCTAATGAACCGTTAACAGATGCAGGATTAGATAGACTAGACTCGGAGAATGACAATGAAACAGTTAGCTATGACTTCGACGAGTACATCCGAGAAAACTTAGCAACATGCGAAGCTGAGAGAACCACTGCTCCATCCGTGGACGATGTTATGGACTTTTCATCCGCCGATGAAGATGAACAAGAAGAAACAGAAGCACAGCCCGTTCCTTCTTTCAACACAGCATTGAGAAGTTTGCTAATAGTGAAAGACTATTTTCTATCATACAAAGACCAGGAAAAAAATTTGCAAAAGATTTCAGTCCTGGAAGATGAGGCATTTACTTTGAACTCAATGTCTAAAAAACAATCTACTATTGCGCACTATTTTGCACCTAAATTACATGATTCTTAACAAAAATTGTAAAAGTGATCTTGAACTGGTATGTTTTTTTCTTTAAATACTAATATTCTTTTCGTAAAATATAGATTTTAAAAGTACCTTTTGAAAGAGTCATCTTTACTACCTTTAGTTTGTTTTATTTTCCCATTATTATTATGATTTTTTGCTATCTAAGTATTTCCCGTATTTTACGTTTTCCCGGATTTTACGTTTTTTTTACCCAGTCCCCTGAGAAACGTAAAATCGGGGTTTCACTGTATAAAAATATATTGTTTATTGTATAAAATTCTAAATCTGAATATTTCATGTTACCAAAGTCTTTTCCTAAATATCAAGACATCTTCTTTTTCTTAATATTCATGTATTTTTCTAAAATTTTCTTTTCTCATATAAAATGTAAAAAAAAAAAAATTCTTTCAGAGGGGAATCTTTTATTCGCCAATTTCTGTATGGACAAAGATTTTTCCAGCAAGAATTTTGTAAAAGATGCAAGGAGTTTTGGTTGCCAGACACTTTTGGTTATTCTGCTCAGTTACCACAAATTATGAAGTAAGAATATTTTTATTTTTTAGGTTGTTAAATAATTAAAACTTCATTTATCCATATAAATAATCTCTTTATATTTGCCAAAAACCTCAAAGATGGAAATATGGCCAATTTGAACTTAGAAAGTGAAGTTTCTTCATTTTCATCCCATGATAATTTATCTCACATAGTTGTTGTGTTTAAAGCTTGAATCAAATCAAGTCATAAATTAGTATACGATGAGTGTGGGGAAGTGAAGAACTCAATTTTTCCCTGCTTTCGAATTGCATGCAGTGGCATGTGCAAGTTGTTCAATTTAATTAAACTGAGCGAAATTTTTCACTCATCAACTTTTTGGACAGGTTTTTGGTGACCGACCGTAGAGATAAATTATCTAAATAAGTTTTATTACTTTCTTTGCCTTCTTTAATACTCCAGTTTTTATAGCTTAATATATTTTATATTTTATAATTTCACTAAAGGCTACAATGCTTGTTTGCATATTGCTTGCTGACAATGTAAATTATTTTATTGCACCCAGACTTGAAATTTAATCAAATTGAGAAACAGTGCTCATCTTCAGATTTTAAAGTAATTTGTTGAAAAAAAAAATCATACTCCTGTAATTAGGTTTTGCAAAACTGAATTGCAAAGAACTTTTACTTTGACTTGAAGTAACTAACACCAAAATTTTCTGAAACACTGATGGGGGCTGTAAATATTTGTTAATAATGAGGATAATTTTGTAATCTAATTATTTATATTATGAAAAATATTAAAATTAGCATCTTTTAAATGATTATTTTCTGAAATTTTTCATTTTGTTTGTAAAATGATTGGTTTTTGATGCTTTATTAAGGTTTATTTACTGTCTTTTTTTCAAACCTTATTGTTCTTTGTTTTCCAAGAGTATTGTGCTTCATTTTGTTGTGCATATCTAATTAAAATGTTAATTTATCGCCTGCATTTAAGTTTTAGCTCGCAAAAAAAGAATTAATTTAAGTATCGTTTCATTTCAGTTCATAAGGCATAAATGTTTGTTCGGTCTTACCATTGTTTTCAGAATTGTTTTTTAATGTTGGTTGTTCTATGTCTAAATTTTTATTCTTTAGATTATGTGGAGTTGAAAGATTCCTTACTACTAAACTTAGTTGGAGTTTGGTGAATACATTTCCTCATGACAACTTTCTTTGGGAGGGAATTGATGGTTCAAGTGTATTAGTTCACTTTCCTCCAGCCAAATGCTATGAATCTACAGTTTCTGTTGAAGATGTAAGCTTGCTATTAATTTTTAATTAAAATATTTTCCTAACATTTATTTCTATTAATGCTTACCTTTATCCTTTTTGATTTATCCAAATTTGATTTAGTTTTTTTTTCTTCAAACGATGGTTAAGTCCTTAACCCCTCCAAAAAAAGAACAAATATAATTATCTTTTGACTCTCTTACTTTTGGTTTGCTTCATTGACATTGTCTTATAATTTTACATTCTTTATTCATTGCTATTTCTGCACTTAATGATGTAGAATTAATTATTTCATTTAATAATACTGCAAATATGATTAATAATTCAAAAACTTGTATAGGGGATCATTAGTTCAATTTTTATAATTTTAAGCACATAATAATGGTAATAAAAAAATTATTCTTCATATTATGCAGCTTCTTACAAAATATGTTTTAATTTTTTAGTGGAAATTATTATAGTTAGTTAGCACTTTTCCCATTTTGTTTAGTGTATTTCTGCTTTGTTTCCTTACAATTTTCAGGTATTATAATTTTGAAATTTCTTTCAATCAACTTTGTTAAAATAATTTAAATTTTGCTTTTTGATTTGTAGTTTATTTGTCCAAATTTGATTTAGTTTAGATTAGTAATTTGATTACCGAAAAAAAAAGAGCAAATGTAGTTATTTTTGACGATTTTTCATTTGTTTTGTTTTACTGACCTCTTCTTATAATTTTACATTCTTTATTCATTGTTATTTCTGAACTAATTTAAATGTAGAATTAATCTTTTTTATTTTATGATATTGTAAATATGATTAATAATTCGAAAACTTGTATAGGGGAATATAAATTCAATTTTTATAATTTTAAGCATGTAATAATGGTGTTAAAAGAATTATTCTTCATATTAAGCAGCTTGTAATTTTCTTGTAAAGTGTTTTTTAATTTTGAAATTATTATAGTTAGTTTTCGTCTTTTTTTCCTATTTTGTTACCTGCATTTTTGCTTTGTTTCCTTACAGTTTTCAGGTATTATAATTTTGAAATTTCTTTCAATCAACTTTGTTAAAATAAGTTATTAATAATGAGTTAGTTAAGGTATATCATTAAAAGCATGCATTTGACAATATTTTATTGTTATTAAAACTTGCAGGTTGTGAAACTTATTAATAATCTTCAAGACAAAGGTCGGGTGTCATGTAGTATGATGTTGTATGGACATGGAGATGGTGGAGGTGGACCTACTGAAGAAATGTTAGAGAGAATTAAAAGATTGAATAATGTTGATGGTTTGCCATTGTGAGTAAAGTAATTTTTTTAATTAATGTTGCTTTAATTTTACATCCTCAAATTTGTTCTTTTTTTCTTCCTATTATTCAGCTATATATTTAACTATATAAATGTTGCAACTATAAAATTTTTTTGGCAAAATTGGATGTGTAATTTTTGTGAAATTAAAAATGAGACCCACATTGATTATTGCTACCCTTTTTCCCACATATTTCCACATTTAATATTTATTTCAATTTTAATGAAAATTGCATCATTATTTTGATTAATGTGCAGATTTTCATTAAATTATACATAAATTTAAGAAAGAAATAATGTTTGAACTGAATTTATTGTTTAATTTTAAAGGAATATCTTTTTATTTTAAATAGGTTTTTATTTTGAAGTACATAGTAGTTTTTTGGTCATCAATTGTGTTTTGACATAGTTCTTAGTTTTTTTGTTAAAGTTTTTGATTCAAGTGATTGAAGCTCATCAAATTTTATACAATTCATGACTTAAAAATATTTTGTAAAAACTGGTAATTTCTCATATTTTACCTTTCTTTGATTTTAGAATTGTTTTCATAATTTTTTTTTTTTTTACAGTTACGAATATAGCCTAAATAAAAATAAATTCAATTTTTAAATGTTAAATGTAAATATTCTACTAATTTTATTAAATGACTCTTTATAATTCTAATTTCAATGTTTTGATTTCTCTGGAAATTTTTTCTGGAAAAATTAGAAAGGCTTATTTTATCAATGAAATATATTGTGAAATCTATAGCAATGTTTCAGATGTTGTTATTAGTATTTTAGTAGTAGTTATAGTAAGTAATGAAATTTTTATGAAGCTGTGTTTTTAAGATTATTTTAGGATTTATTTTTAAATAGGGTGTCCCAAAAGCACTTCAACAAAAGTTTTTAACTTTATTACACAAAAAATAATTAAATTCTAAATAATTAAAAAAGAGTTTGATTTTAGGAAGTGATATATTTAAGCTGTTTTGGCATGCCAAACTTCCGCTGCAATTCACAGCTTAAGGTTCCTTTTGAAACTTTCCGTTATGGGCTTAGATCTTCTGATACAATTCTTCTTATTTGCATCGCAAGGGTTACTTTAGGAAACGCAAGCTTTTGTGGTGTTGAACAATGTTCTTGGTTTACAATATTGATTTATTTTCCTGATGTGTTGTGTCCAGAAAATGAGTTTTGCACCATGCTTGCATCTAATGGCAGGTACATATATAATACCTAACGTCAGGTACTAGAGAAGATTTGATAAAACAAAATAATTTGGATATTTTTTATTAATTTGTTCTAGAGTGTACCCCTTAAATTTTTTAAAAGTTTCTTTTGCACTTTTTTTTAAAGTACTAAACATTTTTTTTTATTAATTTGGTGTAATTTGAAACTAATTGGAAATATTTAATTATTTAAAGGGTACAACATGGCACACCAGACCAATTTTATTCTATAGTTGAAGAAAAGCATAAGAATCAGTTATGCAAATGGTCAGGGGAACTTTACTTAGAGCTTCATAATGCTACATACACGTCACAAGCCAAAATGAAATTTTTGAATAGACAGTGTGAAATTCTCCTTAGAGACACTGAACTTTTACATAGTGTTTTATTAGCAGCTTGTAGGGATGAAGATAAAAAGGCCTACCCAGAACTAGAATTAGAAAGACTATGGAAAATTATGCTTCTTAATCAATTTCATGATGTTTTGCCTGGTTCATCCATTGAAGATGTCCATAAGGAAGCAGCATTTTATTACAAAGAAGTGTTGAAAGGTGCTTCAGGGTTAATGGATACTGCTGTCCGTAGGTTGTTTGGTAAGTGTATTTATGTCATGTTTTTTTATGCAGTCTTTATAAAGAATACTAGATTAAAATGACCTATTCATGCAAACAAGTTTGAATAAAAATGATATCAGCTTGATTATTTATCCTAGTGAAGAAATGGTTATTTTTGTGCTGTATATGAATAAAGCTAAGCAAAATGAAAAAAATAATAATAATGCAACGTAAACGGATAAAGCTGTAGTTTTGGTTTGTGTTTGTATAATAATGAAGTTTTTTCTTTATTATACAAGCACAAGTAGTTCTTTATTGTGCAACAACAGTAGTTTTTTATTATACAACACTTTATTATACAACAACATAACTGAACACTTTAGTGTTCAACTATGACAAAAAGTTTTCCCTTATAGAACCAAAACTATGGCATTGTATGCTTTACTTCATTCAGATATATTTATTCAATAGATTCAGATATTCAATAGATTTATTTAGCATAAAAAGTTGTAATTTAAGTTTCTTTAGCATAAACTTACATTAAATCAAAAGAATAAGTACACAAAATAATTTTCAATGAATGGATTGAAAAAAAATTGGTTTAAACATTCAAAACTTAAAAAAATTTAGTGTTTTTCCTGAAAATTCCTTGATTGAAGTAATTTTTCTGCTTGAAATTTTTTTAAGTTTTAAACATGATGTTTTATATTAAGCCTTTTGACTATCATACATATGAACGAATTAGGAGAATTTTTGCTGCTTGAAATACAATTTCAATATGAGTCATCACTAGCATAACCTTAGACAACAAAAGGGACATAAGGGGAATTGCATTGTATTCTTAGATTCCAGAAGATCTGGCTATGGTTAAAACATAGCACATCATAAATACCAATTCTTCTACCAATCTCATCACTCGTGTGTCTTTGTGAATGATTAGATAAGATTACTTTTTCCGGTATTTTCTATTTGTGATTGGCAAGATTTTAAGTTTACTTTTTAAAAAAAATAATTTCCAATAGGTGTACCAGAAGGTAGAGGCGAAGAGGAAGAACTTGTGGTTGTGAATGTTTTGTCGTGGCAAAGGACAGAACTTATTAGAGTGCCTTGGTATAAGGATGAAATATCTAGACGCATGTGGATAGAAGGTGTCGGTAAAGCTATGCAAAACATCAGCAATGAGTCTGGTGGGGGCACTCTAGTTCCTGTTGTTGTAGTTCCTATGGGTTATCAACTACTTCGTGGTCTCTCTGCTGTTAAAGCCCCTGTTTTTATAGGTTTGATATTTTTTGTCAAAATTATTTTATAGGAATGTTTCTATTTATACAATTTGCAATGAATTATGCAAAAATCTGAGAAAGAATTGAGATATTGTCTCAAACAAAATTGCTTGAATCTCATTTTGACCATTTCTTAATATGCCCAGAAATGTTTTTCGTCCCTTTAAGTACACTAAACATTGAAATTAAGCATATGTTTTAAGAAATAATTGAGTCATAATTTGACTATAAAATGAAAAAATTTGAATTCTGCTTATTTAAAGTACAAATTTACCACTTTCCTCGAACATTTAAACAAAGGCAACTTTTATCTGAAATTTTTTATAAAATTACGGTACATCAATAATTTTAAAGTGTGAGATCTGAGCTATTTTTCATTTTATTTTGTTTTAAGTTATATACCAACTACATTTATATAGAGCCTTACTAGTGTATATTTTCACTTTTTTGACGTAATTACGTTTACTTCAAATTAGCAAGCATTCTATGCAAATACGCTCTAAAACTGACAAATCTGTAAGGGCCAAATAGATTTCGACACTCTATTTTCAGTAAACTACTGAATCATTTTTTGTTTTTATAAATGCTTGTAGGTGTAACATAATGGTTTAATTTCTTTTGTTGTTGGTAAATTAGAGCAAAATATGCGACAGGTTGTAGCACATGAGATGTTTACAATAATTTTTTTTTCTGTTTTTTATTCTCTCTATTTAATATTTTTTTTGTCCATTTTTATTTTATATACTACCACTGTTAATTAATGCCTGTTTTTTTTGTAATTTTTATTGCTGCTTTTTACAATTACATATTAATATCCTTCCCTTTAACAAAGTTAAGAAATGAAGTACTATGCATATTAAAATGCTTGCTGTGGATGCATCATGTTTGTTTTATTACACTTAGTTTATTTTTCCGTTTTTTTAAAGTTTTACTTCCCTAGGATATTCTTACTTCTATTTGTTTTATGCATTTCTTTATTTACATACATATTGTAGATGTAGATTGAAAATATTATTTATGATTTGCTGAAAGTTTTGAGCCAGTTGGTTTGAATAACTATACATCAAAATTTTTTTTTTATATCCTTATATTGTATTTCCTTACTGAACTCATTTGATTTAAAACTAAAATATTTTGCAATGAAATAATATTCAAATTTCATAAAATAATCGCTAAAATTTTATCATATTAAATTTGTGCTACTGTGTGATAGTTTCTACAGTTAATTTATTTAAAAAAAAAATAGATTGATTTTTATTTTGGATTTTAGTAAGTTTTTTATTTTTTGATGAAGAACTGTAACATTCTAGAGTCAGCATTTTAAGTTTTTTCAGCTTTTTTGATGCACAAATGTAATAAAGAATATTATTTTTTGGCTACAAGAAAAAGTATGAAGTCTTTTAATTAAATATTAAGCAATGCACAGTCTATTTTAAAATGTTATTTCCCATCAATTCATCTCAAACTTTTTGTTTTTCTTAGTGTATACACTTTTAATTAAGTGTAAATAATAATATTGAAATATTGCAAAAAATTGAATCTCCTAGTTCTTTCTTGTTAAAATAAATAAAAACAATATATTCTATAATGTTTCAGAACCTAGAAAAGATGGCAGCTATTTTTTGAAAAATCAGTTCTTAGAAGCAATTATTAATGCAGAAGGATGTGTTTCTTCTCTTATATTATCAGAGTGTCGCAAAGAAGCAATTGCTGCAGGCTGTGTGGGCAATAGATTTGTCTTATTTGATGATATTCCTCTTTATTGGGATGCATGGGATGTAATGGATTATCATGTTGAAACTGAAAGGAATGCCATAAGAGAGGTACTCTGTTATATTGATTAAATGTGCTGTTACTAATTTTTTTAAAATAGGTAATGTCACAATTTCCTGTTTATAATCTACGGATCACCTACTAAAAAACATAACAATCTTCACTGTGGATAATCCAATGAAGTTATTTTTATTGAGAATAGAGAAACAAATTATGTATGGGGAATTAACATAATATTATGATTTGCACTTAATATTATATGCATAATATATATTAATATATATAGAGATTGTATATGCACTTAATATTATATCTGCACTTAATATTATAATTTGATGCAGCTTATGAATTTAGTTGTACTATGCCCGTTTCCAAGAGAAAATTTAAGAATTCCACTGCAACCAAGGCAACACATATCATGGTTCTATGGAGAAAGATATTAGTAAGTCAATGGGTTAAATAATGTAACCTGTGTTAAATAATCTCTAAAATTAAATATACTGCTATAACAGAACTGATTGGTTACAAAACTAACGTGTATTAAGTCCAAAATTAAGTTTAGTATCCTAGAAAATATAAAAATTAAAACCCAGAATATTTATCATTTCGAATAGAATTAGGCGACTAGGGGCGATATAATGATAAGCTACAGATTGAAACTGTTTAAGGGAGTGTTTCTGGTGAAAAAAAATCTTTCATGCTTTGGTGTATTGCTCTGTTTTCTAGTGTAAACTCCATAAGTTAGTAAATTTCTGGTCTGAAAACAATTCTAAGAACATAGTTTGAAGAAAAACTGTCACCTTATTACATGGCTCATCATTTTATGGTCTTAAACCTTTCAATTATATAAATAGTGTGAAAGAGGGCAGCTTTTTCATGCATTTTTCTTAAAAACAAAGTGGTTGAAAAAGTAAAATGAAAATTGTTTTTTGTTTTGAAACTGTAAACACTTACTTACTCTTGGAAAACTATTCAACATATCAATCAGACTTTTTTTAAAATAAGCCTTTTTTTTTAAAAAAATATCTAGTTACATCAATTTATTTATAAGTGGTAAAACAGTGCATATTTCCCATTTTTTTAATACTAACAAGAAAATATTACAATGTTAAAGGGTTATTTATACTAAAATAAAATTGTTGATTAAAATGACAGAATAAATTTTTATAATCTTCTCAGTTACCTGGCAATGAAAAGGAGTTTGATAAAATTATGCTATTTGACAAAATTTCCCTTTAACATTGTAAAGTGTTTTCATGTCAAGTAATTTCTGCAATTTTTATTTTAAGTATTGTTCGATTTCATTGACAGATTTTGCATACGCACAAACAGTTCAATTATTGAAGTCTGTAATGAATGTTATGAAAAGTTTTAAATGTCAAAAAGTTCGTAAAAGAAGAAAAAAAAATTAAGTAAATTCTTTTTTAATTATTTTTTTTTCTCTTTTCAGCATCAGTTTATGTGTTAGTATTTTATGTGTTAGATTTCCTCGGAATTTCTTTTCTATGTTTTATTTATTTTTAAAAATTATCTGCATTGATTTAGTGATTGTTTGATTATCTTTGAAATAATTTTAAAATAACCGTTTTTTATTTAAAGGTTGTAGAACCCCTTAAAATAATTGAACAAGGTCCTTTAAGAGCTTCCCTTTCTTTTCGTGTCAAGATTGGCAATAATAGTGAAATGAAGCAAAAGATATCAATTGATGCTGTTCATCCTTACTTGCTGTTTGAAAGCACAATTGTTTGGGAAGAAAATCATAAGTTTCTAAAGGTATGGTTTATTATATTTTCTCTTATGTTAAAGCATCACCTTCTAGATTACCCTCACATTTTTTATTTATAATTTGTTGCAACATGTTAATTTTTTTGTTGTACAATTTATTGATTTTTAATTTGCTGTTGTTGAGGATGTTTTAAATTCATGCAAGAAATAATTTCAACAGAAAATGTCCTGGTTTTTAATTAAAAATGTTAAAATTTATAGTAGCATATCAGATAATGAGATTGTGTATACTGTATCTTACATTTTTTCTCTAAATTTTAAACAAATGTTTTGCTCAAATGAAGCTGCATTTTGTATAACACTTAATATTTCCTGCTACAAAGCATGTGTGATCATGTTCTTATTGGCATGACTTTTAAAAATAATATAAATAAACTAGTGGGTTGCGCCCCTTGCTCGCTAACACTCGCCAACCCCCGAAAATTGCTACCCAATCTTATAAGGTTTGCTCCGCAAACCAAGCTCGCTTCACTCGCTAACAACTTAGGTACATTGCAAGTACACAAAATTCTAAGAATTCAAAACAATCATTCAAATCCATATAACAACTTTTTTTTAAAAAACAAAATTACATCTTTTTATCAAATACTAAGTCATTAAAATAAATTTGAATTCAAATAAATGACATGTAATTCATTAAACCTATTAGAAATGTGCTATAGTATAAAATCTTAAAGCGTAACAGCGCGACTGAGACTCATTTTTCAATGAATAACTAATAACAATAATAAAGCAAATAAATTCGTGATATAAATCAAAAATCGTCAAATAAATTCGTGAAAAAAAGCGCTTTCGACAAAATACTAAAATAGAGATCTATCGACAAAGACTACTCACTTCTGCCTAGCTTAA